TGCACTGTTCGGTCAGCAACGTCTCATCGTGGCGGCTTTTTACTCAAATATGACGAGTGCTTACACCAGAGACTTGTAACTGATTGATTTCACTACATACTCACTGAAAATTGCCGCACATCAATATTATTCACCGCAAATTCACCGCAAATTATGCCATATGTCGCGTTTTTTGCGATTTTTTCCGCAATTTTCCCCGGGGACAGCCGGGAGGGGGGGGGGGGTCCGTTCTCAGGCTTGATAACAATGCAGGGCTGAAGTCTAAAGGTCACCTGCGCTCGTACTGAGCTCCCCGTAACAGTATCTCTCTTTTCTTTATGAACAGGTGGAAACGATGTGCAACAATTTAGTGAAGATAAAGGAGGAGATAGTGAAGAAAAGAACAACGGAGAAAGATTCGAACAAGTTTTCGAACAGCACTCGTCAGGAATCTTCAAGCCGTGGTACCAATGAACACGACGCACAAAAAGAACTCATATTGTACTAAGAGCCACACGGTGCATATCATGCACCTTCTTATCTTTTCGATTCCTTTGTCTTTTTGGAAGACACCGACGTTTACGGTGCACTACTTGTACATCCCCAGCGGTCCAAGAATGCCATTACTCTGTATTACCAAGCAATCTTTATCATCAGGTTCTGCCTGGAGCATAGATACAAATTCTGTTAAAAAATCATTATTTTAGATACGAGGAGACCACACACAGGAGGCCAGGAAGGCAGACATGGTCGTGTGTGTGTTGGGGGGGGGGGGGGGGGAGAGGAGGGCATTTCCCTCGGATAATAAGGAACATAGCAACACAAGAAGAAAGAAACAGACAAACAGTGTCCCAAGCCTCACTTCGCCATGGGAATAAAACAATGCAGACACGTGTTCTGACAAGCGAAATTTCATGATCTAAAACGCGGTGTTCTCTAACAAGTAGCATGAGATTGGCACGAAGCGAAACAAAACAAACAAAACATGGTGAAAATAAAGAAATTGATAGCAGTGGTAGCAGATGATGACGGAAAACCTCCCCTGGCTCCCTTGGCAGGTACACAGCAACATGGGCAAAGCCGAGATGCATACAGACAAACAGGCAAAGCCGAGATGCATACAGACAAACGAGCAAGCAGAGTTGCATACCGACAAACGAGCAAGCCGAGATGCACACAGACAAACAAGCAAGCAAGCAGACGAAGAGCAAGGGCACGTGACGCCGTGCGCATGCGACTCAAATACACGGTGAACGCCGGAAGAGAGAAACACGGCACAGTACAGCCATACGCCAAACAGTACAACACTACTCCTAGCGTGCATCATAGCCGTAGTAGAGATCCACACCCAGCAACCCGTCAATGTACCGGACTATACCGTGCAAACACCCGTAGCCAAGAAAACGAGTCACAGTAACAGATATGACTACACCATCGGCTAAGCGAGCCCTGCACTGGCCAACAGAAGCGCTCCCTGCACTGGCCAACAGAAGCACTCCCCTCTCGTCTCCCCGACGTCGCTAGTAGAACTCATCGTCATCGGCGGGTTTGGCATGGGACGTCTTCTTGTTCTGCTGGCTACGATACATGTCTGCCATCTGTGTGTGGACGGAGATAGATAGATAGATAGATAGATAGATAGATAGATAGAGAGAGAGAACATTGAGGAGACTGGCTCGCCAAGAATTTTAAGAATTTACAGTAGCTTCGCTTCGATGATATCATTCACCAATGAAACGAGATGACAATGGATCCAAGCCCTTCTGAAATGCCCATGATCACAACCATGGAATACTGAACAAGGAGGCTGAGCCATGCTTTAACTCTCTCACCTGTTCACTGCTGGTCGCGTCCTCCGCTTTCTTGTCGTCACGGATACGAATGAAGCGCGGGAAGCGCATCGAGATGCCTTTGCTGGCATCGACCTGCAGAGATATTGCAAGCAGAAACATCAGATGGCGGTAGAATCCTTTTCTTGGGAGTTCTATACAGTAGGTCGAATCATATTCTTGGGAGTTCTTTCTCCAACAATCAAGGACATTTCGGGCATAGTATTATAAAAGAAGGTTGCGTGCAAAATTCTAAAAACTACTTATCTGGCAACATGCACTAGAATTGCATGTAAAGGGGTTTACGCACATATGTGACATATCACAGCATTTGACGGCGCTGGACATGGACATGCTCTTTGTGTCGCCAGCCCACCTTGAGTCCGGGACTTCACAACACTCTGTTAATTCCACAACCACTCGGCCAAAACGCTGGGTCCATCATCGTATAATATCAATTCTAAAGGGGTGATTGCATTTTATTTTATTTTAATTTCATTAAAGAACGCAATCCATCATGTGCAACACTAGCCCGGTATAAATGACAGGGGGGGGGGGGGGGCACATAGAACCACTCCAGCCCAGGCTGGCTAGCAGTCTCGGTGGCAGCCGGGGCTTGCAATGAGCATCTGGTTTTTCAGGCATGTACACAAACAGAGTGAATACTAGCACTCGCTGTGCGTTACGGCGGCAACCGGGCTGGCGGGACCTCAAGTGCCTCATGCCGCGATCCTGGCTGCCCAGACCAGCCTGTTTGCCGACTACACTCACAACGAGTTTTCGCATTGTTTCTGTACACACATGACCAAGGTCCGCCTGCAGACGGTCGAGCAAGCTCCTTGGCCAGCCCGCGCTGGAAATGCACACAAGGGGTGTAGCTGGCCCCTCTTTTAGGGGGGGGGGGGGGGCTTTTTAGGGGTGGGGTGGTTGGTGGTGGTGCACGACCGCATATGTGTAGGATGCCTGGTGCATGTCATTCATGGTCATTATGTGCATATGCATGCTGAACTTAGGTCGAAAATTGGGGGGGGGGGGGGTGCACGTGCCCTCCGTGCCCATGCGAGCTACGCGCCTGTTGACACATCATCGTCATCAACCCCTTACTAGAGATACACAGAGGAGGACAGGACTCACCAGACCGGATGCGGCTGTGTAGACTGGAGAGATGGTGAAGTCAGCAGCTTTCACCTCCCACACCTGAACAGCAACAAGAGTAAACAGCACCACAAGCAACAGCAGCTCTTATAAGTTATAACGCTCAGATTAGTATTGGCCATCATCCGCCAACATGAGAACATAACTAGAGAACACATCCCACTGACAACAAGAAACGATTCATCAAAAACTCCTTTACTCCGAGCATGGTTGCAGCATGCCTCGACGGTAGTTTGAAAGAATGGATTTTGACATCACACACACACACACACACACACACACACACACACACACACACACACACACACACACACACACACACACACACACACACACACACACACACACACACACACACACACACACACACACACACACACACACACACACACACACACACACACACACACACACACACACACACACACACACACACACACACACACACACACACACACACACACACACACACACACACACACACACACACACACACACACTACTATCAATGCTAATCAATCAGCTACCCCTTGGGGTCACATCGCCCTCCACTCAGAGAACTGAGCGCAAGGTGAGGGGCAGTGGCGCAAACAAAACAGGAAGTACAGCAAAATGAATTGAAAAAAAAAAGGAAATCAAAACAAGCTGCCATATTGATGGAAAGGGACTCACAAACAGAGGAAGGAAATATCACAAACCAGATGAACAGTCTGCTGTGGGTCCACTATGTATAACATGCAACGACTGAAAAAGGAACACAATTAATGTGAACATGATGTTCTGTTCAACAATAACGTCTGTACGCGTACTGCTTCGGCCTTCATGCACCAGGAAAGCACAATCTTGAGCTGGAGGGTGGGCACCGAACGTCCCACAAGGGCTCCACAAGACGTACTTTCACGAAACGACGAGGAGTATGCGCAGCAAGCTAACATCACTACACCATCGCCGCACGACGACTGGCCACTCAGGTCCAAACAACACGACAAATTCACAATTCCAGCTATCACCACGCAGGAATAAATTGTTGCGAGTGTGACCTGTATCCTTCCTCATCCAGGAATCCACTTGTTTTGCCGAACGCCACTGCATTGTTACAGGCTGGGGATTGATCCGAGGGCTCGCCACGCCACTGCGGAGGATGCGGAAAGGACGTAAGAAGACGGTGACGGCAACAAATAATTACCCGCCCTGGTCGTCAGCTCACTGAATGTCCTTCCGCGCGAGCGAAACCGGCTGCAAGGCATGAAAAGCCTACTGCCAGTCAATACCCAGGGACGACCCTGACCAGAAGGCCAAGGCCGCCCCGTGGAGGAGGCCAACAAAGAGAAAACCAGGAGCTAACAAATCTGCTTCCTCTACACACTCACACACACACTCACACCTCACACACACACACACACACACACACACACACACACACACACACACACACACACACACACACACACACACACACACACACACACACAAGGCCTACCTGGACAGCATCAAACCAGACATCAGGCTGCTGTGCGCCACTGCCATGTGAATAGTAAGACTTCGGTCCACCAAGAACATGCTCGGTGAAGAACTTTGTGTGCTTCTGCAGCTCATCGTCCTTCAGCCCTGTGCCAATCTGAAACAATATGGAATTCAACACGGGGGGGGGGGGGGGGAGAGGGAGGGAGGGAGTGAGTGAGTGAGAGAGAGAGAGTGAGAGAGAGAGAGAGAGAGAGAGAGAGAGAGAGAGAGAGAGAGAGAGTGAGAGTGAGAGTGAGAGTGAGAGTGAGAGAGTGAGAGAGAGAGAGAGAGAGAGAGAGAGAGAGAGAGAGAGAGCGAGAGAGAGAGAGAGAGAGAGAGAGAGAGAGAGAGAGAGAGAGAGAGAGAGAGAGAGAGAGAGAGAGAATCAGACGGAAAGCAGAATGGAGTTCCAATGACAGTAGTCAAGACGGAACAAAAAGAATCACTCCAAAAGAATCACTCCAAAAGAATCACTCCAAACGAATCCTAACACCCATCCAAATGTAGACAGAAGTACAGATTTGGTCAGAGAAATCAGACCTCATGAACAACGTAACACCGTGTCTGAGTGAAGTGAATAGTGTTAGGGCCATGGCCATGGACATGTAGTGCCAGGGTTTTTTTTTTATCCACGAGGTCAAATTTCTCAGACCAGGACTGTACGAACAAACCAATGCGCGAAAAGTGATAACACACACGAGCACATTATACACATACACACCCACATGCACACGTACACACACACACGTACACTACAGTCCATTCAGAAAAAGATGGACTTCTAGCTTTTGGCCATAAATGGGTCAAACTTTGAGTTTTTTTAGAATTTTTCTGCAATCCCCTATGGAATCCTCTTCCAGTTATATTTCTGAAGTTTTTTTGTCCAAAAAGCAAGCCATAACAAGAATAGGATTTCGGCCAGGTTTTGCTCCAACAGCACTGAATAGGGAAAACCCTAAGAATCCAGGCCGTTTGACCCCGCCTGCAACAGTGCATTGTGCGGTTCGAACCCAAGTTCAGGTACCCTTTTTGGACACTTTTTCAAATTTCAAATTCCGCACCACTGCACTGTGTACGATGAAATCACGAAAAATCGCCAAATACGGGAGCTCGCCAGAGCCAGGGCCCATCTTTTTGTGAATGGACTGTAACACACAGACATAGACACACAGACATACACACCTTACCTTACACCTAACACCTGCCCATCGCGGAAGCGATGATAGCGAACAAGCTATGTTAGACATAGCAACTTGTGCTGGGATTACAGCATTCAACAGTACGCACACACATACACACACACGCACACATACGCACGCACGGTGCAGCAGTAGAACAACTCACCTTGCAGACGGTTTCATACTGTTCACTATCCTGGTTGTAACACGCTAGCAGGAATGCACCATACACTCCCTGGCGCTTTCCAGCACCAAAGTAGCCGCCGAGCACTGCCAGGTCTAGAGAATCGCCCATGCCTTCAAGATAGTCTTTTTTCACCTGTGCGTGTGTGTGTGTGGGGTGAGCGTGAAAAGGAGCACAAGAAAACCACACAAAGATAGTCAGTGCAAGGGCAGTCAGTGCATCTGCATCTCCATCCCTGTTCAACACTATACTCTTGCCTGATCCACTTCACCCGCACCACATCACCAAAACAAGGACAGTACTGTTGCAGTGCTGACATTGCCCAAAGCCTGACCAAACGCACAGCTGCTTTGCACATTCCGAGCTCGCCAATAGAGGAAACAAAATAGAAAGGTACAAGGAGCAGAAGTACAAGGTCAAACTACCGCAATTACGGACTCCAGACATCAACCCGACAGTAGAGTCAGCTAGGGTGGCCAGTGCACAGTGAAATCAAACTCAATCACTAGCTCCAGGGCACAACCAGGCGGACAACAAGGACCCAATCGAGTGCAGACTGCACAGACGCACACACACACACATGCACTAACACACACACACAAATGCACACACACACGCAAAACGTACCTTGAGCCAGTTGTGAGAACGCTTTGCAATCTCGTACGTCGCCTCAATGTCTAGCGTCTTGACCATCAAACCCTCGCAATTACCTGTGAAATGTAAAACAGAGAGAGAGAGAGAGAGAGAGAGAGAGAGAGAGAGAGAGAGAGAGAGAGAGAGAGAGAGAGAGAGAGAGAGAGAGAGAGAGAGAGAGAGAGAGAGAGGGGGGGGGCATGAACACGAAGCGAGGAAAAAGCTTCTGCAACAAACAAAGTCAAAAGCTGTCCTGCAACATCGAGGCAGTGAAAGCAAAAAAAAACCAGGAGTTGACATCCTGAGAAAGCAAGAGAGAGAGAGAGAGAGAGAGAGAGAGAGAGAGAGAGAGAGAGAGAGAGAGAGAGAGAGAGAGAGAGAGAGAGAGAGAGAGAGAGAGAGAGAGAGGAGGGGGGCTCAGCTACCTTGGATGGAGAGGTCCAGGAACTCCTCGATTTGCTCCGGCTCTGTGCAGTCACGTTGTGTCACAAACATAAACTCCTGCATGACAGCATTGAGGTTAACGATGACAGCAACAGCAGCACCAGCAGCAGCAGCACCAGCACCAGCAGCAACAGCAGCAGCAGCAGCAGCAGCAACAGCAGCAGCAGCAACAACAACAGCAACAAAACAAGAACAATGTGAGAACAAGGATGTACACATCCAGAAGAGCCGAAATATTCACAGCATTTCCAAATTTCTCGAGTTTCACCGGCACACGAGTAGAGTACTCTTCAGACAACAGAGCACTCGGCTTACTCGCACGAATAATAACTCACAACATTAGTGCCAGCACCAACAATTGCCATCCGCAAAAGTAGAAACTGTCCTGCTTGTGCTGAATGGCCCTTCTATGCCCCCCCCCCCCCCCCCCCACCACCAACCACACACACGTCCAAACTGTTCAGCAGTTGTCCTAGCAAGCGAGGTATAGACCAGTAGAAAGAAGAGGACACGTAAACTAAAAAGACTTACTCCATCGACGGTGTTGAACGAGTCCTGTAGCGCCTGCCGACGTGCACGGAAAGGTTCCTTGACAAAGCACTGTGTGAGTGCACAACAAGACAACAACACACACACGCACACAGGCAAGACAACAACAACAACACAGGCAAGACAGGACACGGTCACCGGTCAGCTAAGCTGCAAGAAAAGAACAGGGCCTGCGTGCCCTAGCTAGGGTATAGCCCTCCCCTACCCCTAAAAATCGAGACACCTGCATGAGCCATGTAGTGATGAATGCGCAGGCTCCGTGCCGCTGAAAAAGAGGACACGCTCGACATGATGCTTAGTACTATGACTGTGGTTCACGTGTGAATATCAGGCAAGCCTGATGCTAGCTAGCTCGGCTGCACACTCCCCTGCATGATGCTGTGCGACCGCACAGCTAAAAACTACGAAGGGCATTGGGCATGCCACGGCAACAAAAAAAGGCCATTTCAAGATCGACGTGATTCCGCAGCCAACGGAATCACCCGACCTCGCAACGATCTTGTACTTTTCGCCAACTGATGCAGTGGTGGGCAATTTGGCCAAGAATGTGAAGTTTTGGAAACAAATCGGAGTGTAGAAATTCTGAGCGTAATCAAGAATAGGTATGTGCTGCCGTTCAAGTGCTGCCCAGCTGCCAGGCAGTTGAAGAACCACAGTAGCGCAATAGAGCACGAGAAATTTGTAGAGGAGAAGGTCCTGAACCTGTTGGGCCTTGAAAACATCCCAACCCCACCTGAGTAAATTGTAGTTCAGATGGCTGACCGCCCCACACTAGAATACCTTCCGACACCCCTGGCTCAGAGTAGTATCTCACCTTGCCGTTCAGATAGAGCAGATCAAACGCAAACGTGCACACCTGCACCTTGATCTCGCTGGCGTCAGCATCCTGGTCGCGAACACAAGCAGAAGCACAGCAATCCCTCAAAGCAGCCCCGGAATTTGACAGTTTCCCCGGAGACAAAAAACGCTAGAACACTAATAGGCCATTCACATGACATTCAAACACATTGAAGTGTGCACTTTCAACAACCGACACGTTGGGAGGGAGAGAGAGAGAGAGAGAGAGAGAGAGAGAGAGAGAGAGAGAGAGAGAGAGAGAGAGAGAGAGAGAGAAAGAGAGAGAAAGAGAGAGAAAGAGAGAGAAAGAGAGAGAGAGAGAGAGAGAGAGAGAGAGAGCGAGAGAGAGACGATGACCTCATTGTGCAAAAACAACAACACACCTTTCTCTTGCGTGTACTGAGGACTTGGAATGGCTGAATCTCCTTCTTCTCACAGTCCCAAGCAACTGCTTCTGTGTCGATGACAAACGACTTCACACCCTCTTTCACCATCTACATATCACAGAGAAATGAGAAATTGCAAACACCCACACACACGCGCTCATGTCAAGGGTCAGGGTTCTGGCAACATAGCATCCCCCCCCCCCCCCCAGCACCTGCTGTATCACAGCGAACACCCATACAGTACGAGTAGCCGGGACATGGACTAGTTTAGAATTTGCAAACAGAGTTCGAACTGCCATTCAGAAACGAATGTATGTACACTGATCCAGTACAATGATCTTGGATTGGGTTTCCTAACTTTGATTGCGGAGGAAAGGGACATGAATGAGGGGAGATGAGCGCCACCCTTATCGAACAGAGCTCATGAAACAAGAGGGCGCCTAGTCCGGTCAGAACTTGATAATGGCCACTGGAACCGCACAGCACCTGGAATTAGACTGACAGAGTGACACGAAGTGAAGACATCGAGGCATGCATTCAAACAAAGTGGCGTAACGTCGTGTTTGCATATCATCCTGACAGCGGCCGCCGCCCGCCAAGGACTCACATTGGGTATCCGCGCTATGATGTCCGGGTATTTGCTAGTGTTGTCCTCACGATTGCGACTGAAAATGCGAATGCTGCCATCTTCCAGCAAGTGAATCTAAACACCAGACAGAACAGCAACAACATCAGCAACAGCAACAACATCAGCAACAGCAACAACATCAGCAACAGCAACAACATCAGCAGCAGCAGCAGCAGCAGCAGCAGCAGCAGCACCACCACCACCAGTAGTAGCAGCAGCAGTAGCAGCAGCAGCAACAACAGAAAAGAAATCAAAAACATCAACCTCAACATAACACAAGGCATCTACATGTAGATGAGGGCATCTATCCCACCCACAACCACCAGCGCCACAACCACTACCCCCCAGCAGCAACAAAATAACTACCACCACCACCAACAGCAGCAGCAGCAGCAGCAGCAGCAGCAGCAGCAGCAGGGCCACCATCAGACAAGCCATGCATGTTGGAAAACATCACTGTATATACTAGCAGTACCTGAGCTCTCTCTCCGTCATACTTGTACTCGCACGTGAAGTCGCAGCCATCGAAGCGACGCAGCACCTCTGCTATCTCCTTGGTCGGATGGGCCAGCATAGGTTTGAGAGGTATACCTGAATACAGAGGTGAGTACAACACACACATACACACATACACATACACATACACTCACACACACTCCCAGACACGCACACACCCACACATACACACACACACACACACACGCACACACCCACATACACACACGCGCATACATACACCCACACCCACACCCAGGGCACCAGACGAACAAATGATTGCTGCATGAGTTCTTGCCAGATTGCAAGGGACCTCTTCAACACTTTCCCTTCATTGAACACACATATCTCATACAAATATACCTACCCAGGGGCGTACATAGGGCGGTTCCCGGGATGCCCGGGAACCAGTAAAAAAAATTCGATATTATATTTTTGATCCAGCCTTTTCAGGCCCTGCATGCGCTCGCAGTGCAAGTAAGTGCATGCAGCTGTGCAGTGCATGCCTAGCGCCTGGAGTCCGCGCCTGATGGCCAGACGGTCCGAGGTCGAGGATGGTGACATGACTAGCCCAGGTGTGAAAGCGGTGCTGGGACACAGCCTACTGAGCTGGGTTCAACAAAGTCTCTACATCGCCTCGATCTCCGAGTCGAATTTTCTGTTGCAGTTTGTTTTGACAAAGTTCGTCGTGTTTTGGACGATGCTTTCGCTTTGTGGAAAGGAAAAATGAAGCGTCGACATCCAGAGGGCCAGCGCTCTATTCAGAGCTATTTTGAGCAGCAGGCAAAGAGTGTAGCCAGTGCTAGTGGCGAAGGTCAAGAGATAGGTGAGAATGCAGACCGCGGCACCTGACTTGCAAGCGAAGACTGCATGCAACGAGCAGCGCTGAGGAAGAAATCGTCGGCGAAGCTGTAGAGCGACCGTTGTTGGAAGCTGCTCGATCATCCAAAACTTACTTCAGTGACATGGGAGTGTGTTGGAAGGGATATTCTGAAAGTCGACGTCTACAATGGAATCCAGTCCCCCGACATTTGCCGGACACGGAAAAGATTTCCGTCATCGACAATCATTGTGCGCCACCGAAGGCGAAGGATTTCATTTCCTGTGCGTGTCCAGATGGATGGCAAACAGCGCCACTTTCAACTATCCTTGTTAGAGGAATTACCCTGGGTAGTCTTTTGACAGGCATGCAATGGTGGCTTCTGCTTGCCCTGTGTGATGTTTGCTCCAGATGATTCGAAACTTAGGCAGCTTTCAAGACTGCATGCAATCGTCATGCTGAACGAAACATCCATAAAACGGGGAAAGGTTCAGTCTTTTAAAATCAAAAATGCGTAGCAATGACATCGTCCAGCAGCTTGTGGATGTTAATTTCACCCAGTCTGAGGAGAATGTGCAGAAACTCCGCGGGATACGAAAACAGCACTTCAATTGTGTGGAATGTTGGTTCATCAGTTGGCATGGGAACCACTCCTGGAGGCGAGCGGCGTACGCCCCTGCTACCCCCCCCCCCCCACACACACACATACTCAAACACACGCGTACATACACATTTTTCTTTTCTTTTTTTTCTCGTTCGAGGTTTTCCTCTGGTGAGAAGGCAGAATGTGCTCCAAACGAATTCAAATAAAAGAAAGAAAAATACAAACAGACATACCTGGTGTCATCTTGCAGTGCTGTGGAAGTTCGTCGACGCCGTATTCCAACAGAGCCGGTACAATATCGTCGTAGTTGGGAAGCTCACTGCGAGCACAAACACACACACACACGCACGCACACACACACACACACACACACACACACACACACACACACACCGAAGCAATGATATTAACAAACAAGCTATGTTAGGAGGCACATCCAGGGTCCACGCTAGTGTTCAGATTGCCCTATACAACAGCTTGCAAGGTTGAGAACTACTCTAGCCTGCTAGTGCAACACACAGCTGATTGGAGTGGCTTTCTGGCAAGTAAATCCCTATTCGTTCAGATAGTGGTGGACATCATGCAACTGCATTGTAAATAAAAGGGGGTTTGTCAACTAACAACCGCTCTATTTAGTTGCTATTCACTCTGTAGATGAAAATTCTTTTATTAACGATGTCGAAAAATTATTGACGTTTCGGGCAAGTCGCCCATCGTCAAAACAGGTTCTGACGATGGGTGCAGTGTTGCCACAACATTTTAGCCAAATATCAGTAGGATAGAAAAAGAAAATGCATCATCTGGGGGCTTCGCCTCCAGACCCCCCAATCATAGTAACCACAGTATACACACGCATACAGGCGCCAGAATTTTCGCGATTCTAAGTGAGACTCAGACTGAGTTTTCCATCTTTTCCCAAGACTGATGATGATCTTGCTTAGCAGGGTAGGAAAGAGCTACAGAAACACTCATGATGACCGGTGTAGGCAACAAAATCGGGATCATGACTTCTAAACCAAGCAGAAGGGCAACATTGGACATATCATGGCTGCTGTCGGCAGGAGAAGGCCAATTGTCGGCAGGTCGTGACATGCCTCCAAAATCAGCAGGCTACTGACAGGTCGGCAGGTGTGGCAACACAGTGGGTGACTGGCCCGAAACGTCAATAATTAATAAACGAATTTTATCTAAAGAGTGAACAGTAACTAGATAGAGCGGTTGTCAGTTGACGAACCCCCTTTTACTTAAATCCCTATTGTGGATTTTTTACACCGACACAGAAACACATATAGACACACACACACACACACACGCACACGCACACGCACACACACATACACATACACACACATACGATACCTCTGCGTGGACTTGACGATGAGAGTTGCCGCGTCCAAACGCGCCTTGAACTTCTCCGCACTGACACCATGGCTGCAGTCCAGCTTTGGAACTGGTATCTCTGTATGAACAAACAGCACAGGGGAAAAACACCAGATCACAGAGGCACCACAGAGAGTGGTCAACGGAAAACCAATGCTCGGGCGAACACGATCTACCTCTAACTCCGTTGGTGGCAAGCTTCCTTTGCTTCAATGGAAACAACGAGAGTATGTCACAGGGATGGGTGAACACGACAAAGCAGCAGCAACAGCAATAATCGCATCATCACATGCAGCAACAGAGTTACATTTACAAGTATCACCACCACTATTGCCAGCGGCACAATCATTACCACCGATGAAGTCGACATCACCAAAGGCACCACCACCGCCATCATCACCACCATCAGCATTAGTATCACCAGCAACAGCACTGGCAGTAACAGCACTGGCAGCATGACCACCATCACCATCACCACCATCACCAGCAGCAGCACCACCACCACTAGCACCAATGCATTGCATGCAGCTAGCTCACCTGAGCTGGGAGGCGTGTAGACCACGGCATGAGCAAGTGCCATCAACAGAGTCTGCTCAGCAAGACCAATACGCAGCTTCCCCGTCAAAGATCTGATCAAAACCATCACATGGCAAAGAGAGAAGAGAACAGCAACAATGTCAAGAAATCGGAAACTCGATCACATTCAAAGTGTACAGCGCAGAGCTGTGCTGAAAACTGCAAAAAATACCAGAGCAAAAAAAAGAAATTGATGTTTCCACCCGGGATCGAACCGGGGACCTTTCGCGTGTTAGGCGAACGTGATAACCGCTACACTATGGAAACAGCTGATGATCCCACGTGTCAGGCGACAGTAGTAGAACCACACACCATTGCTCTGCTGTACACAATACATGCGAGTGCAAGATGAAAATGTGCACAATCCAGCATGCTACAGTCCGTTTCAAAAAGATTTACAACCCTGGCGATCGCCCGCGGAGTTTGGCGTCTTACCGTATGAGCACTCGAGCGCTGCCTGGAAAAACTCACTGTGAACTCGAAGAAATATTCCGCGCGAAAGCAGGAAAAATGACAACTCACTCACGTTGACACAGTCATGGACGTACGTCTGGTTTACAACAGGGAGTCGTAAAATACCATAATTTACGACTCCCTGGTTTACAACAAACGAGTTCTTCCTCGTATCGATAATGGAGTCAGAGAGTACATATATGTACATGTCGAAACGAAAGTGTTGTAAATGTTGACGAGCTGCATGGGTCCGTTTTGTGACCAAAATAGTTTCTTTGAGCTGCGATGCAATTTACTCACCGTGTGACGAAAACGACATCGACACGGACTCATTCCCAAGGCCATGACTTGGCAAAGCTATCCGTGTGACTTCGACGACATTTTGAGAAAAGCAAACGCTTGTGAACGCTGATAGAAGACGGCGTTGACTGCTAAATTCAAATAAATTGGCGATCTTGAAATACTAAAATAAATCTCAAAAAGCTACAGCGCGATGACTTCCACTATAATTCACTCACACCATTGCAGTGTTGTGGGTGTGTTCACATGGCGTGAGCCAGTCAAGTGTCAGTCAGTTCGGCAGGAAGCGCGAGCTCCAACAACAAGTCGTTTGGTGCAGCCACCTTCTTTGTCTTGTACCAGCTTGATCACCAAAACAATGAAAAAAAAGTTTGACTTGAGGATAGGCTAGGTTGGGATTTGAACTCACAACTTCATGGTCAGCAGACAGCATTCATAACCACAAGGCCAAAAAGGAAAGGATAAATCGTGGGTTTCGATAAAAAATCGATACTGGCTTCCTGGGCAAATTGTAAACCATGGGAAAAGGCCGGAAACCTGGCCGAAATTCTAACTCCTTAACGGTTGGTCCAATTGTTCCGAAACCTTCACAGAACAATTTGCCGTGTCCTAACAAGCCATTCTATGTACTTTGTTGTCCAAATTTCCCTTATCTTCATACTTTTTAAGACCCAAACCTGATTGTAAATCTTTTTGAAACAGACTGTAGGTCTGATCTTCGACTTGTCGTACATCGTACTGCACTTGAACGACTTGATCTAATTCCCGCCCCTGGTGAAAACTCAGCTAGGAAGCGACACGACGTGGGGGTGGGGGGGGGGGGGGGATCAATGGTACTTTACAGTATTCTTGCTACTTATGCGAACAAGACAGAGGAATGCACAACTGCAACAGCAAACGCAGCGATCGAGCATCGCAAAAGGAGAAAAAAAAGAAATTGATGTTTCCACCCGGGATCGAACCGGGGACCTTTCGCGTGTTAGGCGAACGTGATAACCGCTACACTATGGAAACACATCACGACACAAACCAGCCATACTGGCCGTCTTGAGCGAGATATTCCACTAGTGCAGCTCCGCATCGATACTGCGTCATACCAAGAGTACATAACCAAGAGTGTGCAACTCCTATCTTGAGCTGCGATGGATTCACCCACTGCGGAATGTTTTTATTGCGTCATTCTTTGGCTGAAGTATGACGAAGTGGGTATGCTTTCCCGCCCTTGTTTTGTAGATACGGTGAGAGTTCGTCAGGTTCAAGACACATCGATCTATTGTCCGTTGTTCTGCTTCGACTACCGTAGCTGTGATGTACACAAATTATTTGTACTTTGATCTCTGGCTACGCATGATGGCATCAGTGAGCCAAACCGCCACCAAAGAGTGATGTCATAAAAAAATTCCGCCGTGGGCTGGGGGATCGTAGAGTTGCACACTCTTGGTCACACCGATCTCATGGCGAAGCTTTTTTTGTTTAGGTCATCATGAATCTTAGAAACCCTGTCATACAATACGTTGAGTACAAAATCGCCGCATCACGACGGTCACAATGGGAGATTTGCGTGCAATTTTCACCTTTTGTAACGACAAGCAGCAATGCGCAACAGAAATCACCTCGGTGATACAGTAAAACCACCATGTGAACCAGTGCGAGCTGCAGCAAAGGTGAGTCACTATGACCAAAAACAAAACTTCATAGTGCGGTGCTGCTCCCGGAGCTGCACAGTCTGGCTATGCACTCTTGATACTGGTACACCAAATGCACTCCGTCCTCGTTGTCGACAGTAAATCAATCCGGAGGCTGCCTGATAGGCAATGTTTTTTTTTGATTTATCACAATTTCCGGGGCCGCCTGCCAATGGTCGTGAGTTCCAGCCAAACCCCATTCTTGCTTGTGCATAGGCATACTTGTGCACATTGCAAACCTGTATGGATGACATGACATACACACACACACACACACACACACACACACACACACACACACGCACACACACACACACACACAGACACACATGCATGCCCATGCACGCACACACAGACACAGACACATACACACACACACCACGCCACACAGCAGACAGCAGACAGCCTTGGCACTCACCGTGCGATGTACCGTGGTTCACAGTCGCGACCAGCAACGAGCAGAGAATTGATCTTTTCAATCTTCTTCTGTTGAGACTGCGGCGGAGGCCAACAAAACAACATGTGTACACACACACACGCACACACACACGCACACACACACGCACACACACACGCACACACACACACGCGCACACAGTACCATGAAACTCGGAGTTACAAGGAACCTGAACGTCCTCTGCCGAGTCTGCTATAATCCGCTGACATAGGAAAATGTGTGAAATGTGGATCGATTGCAAAGAGAAGCAGACAGCGTCAAACTGCAGGTGATGCCGGGGAAAAGGTGACGACGTTTGAATGGAAAGACCAGGACAGGACGGTGGTTTCCGGAGGAAGTACCAAACCCTGTACATTGCTGCAACATACCTTGCTTCCTGTCATCTGTGCAATGTCCTTGAGCTGCGAGAAGACTTTCTTGACAGTCAACGCGGCCGGTACGTACATCATACTCTGCTTGCTGCGACTTTTCTGCACGTCAGCACACATACACGTCAGCACAGAGACACACATGTATACATGCACACGTGTCAGCACACAGATGCATGCACACGCACAGACATACATGCACACACATCCGTACACAGACACAGACACACACGCACACACACTCAGACATGCCGGAAGCGATGATAGCGAACAGTTATGTTAGACATAGCAACATGTGCTGGGATTACACCATTTAACAGCTTGCAAGGCTGATGAATTGACCGCCACTAATTTTAGCCTGGTATCCACCACACGGCTGATTGAAGTGGCTTTTTCTGGCCAGTAAATCCAGTGCTGCCAAACCGTCCGATTTTTCGGACAGTGTCCGATTTTTGAAGGCTCTTCCGAAAACCGGTCCGAAAAGGGAAACGTCTGAAAAGCAGCCAAAATGTCGGAGATCATTACTTTCCTATGCAGAAGTCCTGTACTTTCACTTTTCAGCGCAACTGAAGGCACATATCACTGTACATTTGCTTCTAAAAAGGCTAGCGCATGGCTGTGGAAATGCAAAGTAACATGCCTGGATCAGGCTGGATGGCATGTACACTGACAGTCTGTACACAGTCAGTGTGCGACCACACTCATCATTACAAAATTCATGACAACTCTGGGGTTACCATGGCAATGAAGCGAATTTTCATGGTGTATTAGGCGATATATTGATTTCTCTGTAAAAAATTTGCTGAGGAGAAAAATTCGCACCATGTGGCCAGCCTTGGCGGTGAAGGGTGTCCGATTTGGGGCGAAATTATTTGGCAGCACTGTAAATCCCTATTTTTCATTTTTTCCATTTACACACACACACACACACAGAGGCAGAGAGACACACACGCACACACATCTTATGTGTGTGCGTGAAAGCCAGCGAAACTTCACAATGCGAGTGCATGCGTGTGTGCGTGCGCGTGTGTGTATTCTAGCTGCACTCTACAATATCGTAGTACCTACCTCTGCAACCAGCCCTAGGTCACCTAGCTCAACCATTTGACTCTTCAACGCCTGCATAGACCGTCCTGGACAACAGTGGCAACGCCAGAAACAAGCAGAGACATCAGAAACATCCCAATCGATAACCGGATTGTAGATAATGCTCGTCATAGACCAACAATTTGAAATCCCCCTGGGCTATCTACTAACGAGGGTAGACCTGCATCATACATCTGCTGCTGCTGCAAAAGAATGGCCCATCGTACCTGTTGCCATTGAAATGGCCTTCATGACGATGGAGTCGCCGATGCCTAACTCCAGACCTTCGTGCGCTGGTCCAAGCTGACAATGAACAACGCAACAACACAGACAGGATAAAGTGATTGCAATCTTCAATTATAGTACGACTGGGGGGGGGGGGGGGGGCTTGAAGCCAGGCCCTTTAGGGGAGCACTCCCCTTGCAGTTGTGCCCAAAGAAATCCCCCATCCACCCCTCCTACTACCACCACCTCCACACTAACACATGTGCGTGCGAGCACACTGCAAGCGGATATGTACATGCGGGTTGTTGGGCGGGGGGGGGGGGGGGGGGGGGGAGGGGGGCTACATTTTGAGATGGATGTGGGTCACTAAAGTGAGGCCGGGTCTTTTGGCCTAAACTGCTGTGCATTGGCCTGCCTCTACACTTTACAAGGGTGTGGGTCCCCATGGCCGGGTGGGATCTTTTGGACCCCGCTGTCGTACATGTATATTATTTTGCGTCTTCACTTTTGTTCAGCCTACCTCGTTCAGGCAGAGATAGATACACGCAAGCAATTGATCGGGCGCCAGGGCTATCACAGAGCGGAAGAAGTTGCACAGGATGGACGTGATCTTTAGCCTGCACCAGCACACACGTGCACACACACACGAGAACGCACGCACGCGCACACACACATATAAACAAACACGGCGTTACAACTCCTCTGTCAACGGTGACAGGACATGATTGAAAAAAAAACCCCCGCAATGGTCACAATTTTCAGGCATGAACACGACAACATACAACTCGCAATGAAGGCCAGCACATGTTTCATGTGTGCCTTGTCCACGACAGGTGACATGCATTCTCAAAAGAAAAAAGGTAACGTCAACAAACAAAAGAAATGCCGAAACCCGGGATTGAACCAGGGACCTTTAGATCTTCAGTCTAACGCTCTCCCAACTGAGCTATTTCGGCTCACATATGAACATGTCTTTGTTATGGGGTATTCACACGACAGGCAAATCCACGTGCACCGGAAAGTTGCTATGGTATTTTACCTGTGAACGAGAAAAGTGCCTGAAAGTGGCTGAAAGTGAGCTGGGGGCCCACTTTCACGATAATCGTGGTGTGCACGAGTACATTTATACCAAAAAGCGCGAAACAAGACTTGATTTTTTACGCGGCTCTTTAGAACATGATAATTATCGTATGTGTGTTTTGAAAATTTGAAATACCCTTGGCTACTTGTCTGTGAAGCATTCAAAAATGCAAACGTGCCTGTCGTCGAGTGAAGCTCTGTGAATCCACACAGTCACTTTTCTCGTATGTCACTCCCTGTAAAACGTGCAAGTGCCTGTCGTGTGAATACCCCATTAGTGCTCAAACCAGTACAGCGGGCACACCAGCACCCGCTGGCCGAGTACACGGTACGGTTAGGGCCGGGTTCCACTGCGGCTCCGCGGCACTTGGCCGCATGCAGTGGAGCAGCGCGGTTCCACTGATACTCGCCATTCGCGGTACCGTGGCCGTTCTCCACATCTTTTGATGACGTTTTATTGCATGCACACGCGAAATCAAACAAATCTTTGTGTTCTGGCCTGCGCAACAAATTCAAATTTGAATTAAAATCCTCCCGTACAAAACAATGCCAAGTACAGGAAACAGGTCGAGCCGCGACTGTGGCTTGCAGTTTTTGATCAAGAATCGTAGCGAAAGCTCGCGGTGAGCCGCGGCCTCGCTAGTCCAGCTCGAGCCGCAGTCACTATGGCAATGATGGCGTTTCAAGCCACGGATGACGAGCAGCGGAGCAGCAAAGCCGCAGTGGAACCCGGCCCTAAGGGCGCGTTCAGACTACCGAGGACCCCGCCAAACCATGAACGGCGATAAACTGTGAAGGACATTCGCACTACCGATAAACTATACTTATGATACTGGTGCAGCTCTCACCGCGGCACTAAGAAGGGTTTCTCCTACTCCCAGCCTGAGTACCTTTGTTTACTGCTGGAATGCTGTTTCCGCCACAGCAGACGCAACAGTAACACTTTTCCGCCGGCAAAGTGCCAGGACAGTCACGTGATCAAATCACCTTGGACACTTTCCCATTCCGTCACTTCTTATCGGTAGTCTGAACGCGTCCTTACATCACTGGGTAGGGTAAGATAGACTGTATAGACAGCATGCTGCACACTACATGCGCCATGCATGCAAGTACTGGGGTACATGCGCCATGCATGCAAGTACTGGGGTACATGCGCCATGCATGCAAGTACTGGAGTACAGGCGCCATGAATGCAAGTACTGGGGTACAGGCGCCATGCATGCAAGTACTGGGGTACATGCGCCATGCATGCAAGTACTGGGGTACAGGCGCCATGCATGCAAGTACTGGGGTACATGCGCCATGCATGCAAGTACTGGGGTACAGGCGCCATGCATGCAAGTACCGTTGATCCGCCCCCACGCCATGTCGCTTCCCAGCTTGGTTTTCGGCAGGGGGCGGGAATTAGATCAAGGCTGTCAAGTGCAGTACGATGTATAACAACGTAGAAGTTCAGACTCGATGTGCTGGATTGTGCACATTTTCATCCTGGATTGGCAAGTATTGTGTACAGCAGTGCATGCGTCGGTTCAACATCGTATTTTCGTTGTATACGCCGAAGTCGCTTCACAGGTAGAAAATCGACAGGGGGCGGGAATTAGAGAGGGGGCGGATCAACGGTACTTTACGGTAATGAATTACAGGCTCCCTGATGTAGCCCAGACCAGACTGGCGTGGCCTAAGAGACGTACATCATGTTGTACGGTCCAACAACTCCCTGATGACTGGATGTAGGGACATGCTGTAGTGTATGTTACTGCACTCGACAAGCTCTTCATACCCCAGCCAACACACACACTGCCAGCTTTATAGTCTAAAACAGCCTAGAGGCTCTTTCTAGAGAAGGGGGGGGGGGGGGGGGGCATTTCTACTCCGAAAACCAAAGTAGACAGACGGTGAGACTGCTGAAAACATATTGCAGCCCCAGCCAACACACGTACACGCATGTGCGCACGAACGCACACACGGACACACACACACACGCACACACATGCACGTGCACAGAACCCTAGGACCACGGAGCAATCAAGAAAGCACTCACGCACACAGACTGAGATCTCACCTTGCGGATGTCTCCTCTATCAGACACAGTGTGCGGGCGAGTGCCAAATACGGAACGCTGGCAACAACAACATACACACACACACACACACACACACACACACACACAACCGACAAGAACAAAAAAAAAAGGATGTCGAGTGTGGGGATACAAATACAACATTTACATCAAGAAATAAGCGGACATAAAGATCCATGTGCAAGCCGAAATAGCTCAGTTGGGAGAGCGTTAGACTGAAGATCTAAAGGTCCCTGGTTCAATCCCGGGTTTCGGCATTTCTTTTTTCTTTCTTTGTGCTCCTTTTGCCCACACTTCTTTCTCAGTCAGGGGTTCGGCTGATAAATGGTAACAGCCTCTCCATCAAAAGGTCTTTTAAATTTTAATACATTTCACCAAGAGTCCATAAACAGGTTCGCTTGAGGCTCAGTCAGACTGGGTTCTCAGCATCCGTAGGAACGCCACCACTTGCAAATATCAAAGGCACAGATGCATAAATCCTAAATACAGATTTGGCAAGTCACATAGCAAGAAAGGGCCACAGGCATGTGTGATATCCTCCATGCCCGATAGTAAGAGTACAAACAGAGCGTGCAACTCCAGGAAAATCATCCCACGGCAAAGCTTTTTTCGTTTACGCCATAGTGATTCACCTTTGCCGCATCTCGTACCGGTTCACATGGTCATTTTTACCGTATCACCAAGGTTATTTCTGCTGCGCATTGCTGCTTGTCGTACAAGATGAAAAACACACTCGAATTTTCCGTGATCACCTTGGTGATACAGTGATTCGGCACGGAACCTACTACGGTTGTCTATGATTCATGATAACGAAAAGAAAAAATCTTTTCCGTGGGATTGGTTTTATGCAGCATATGCGGAGATGCACACTCTGGTTTATGTACTCTTGCCGGTAACTTAATTCAGTAATTGGTAGGACACTGTTCCCGGAAATGGGTTGGAGTCCGGACCGTGGGTCCTTCCTTTGCAACCGTTATACTGCCATCGCACATAGCACGTTAAAGCCGAGGTTACCACAGGAACAAGACAATGAACATGTCGAGCAACCCGACCGGAGGTAGAGAGAGGGAGGTAGAGGTAGAGAGAGGGAGAGTGAGTGAGGGAGAGAGAGAGAGAGAGAGAGAGAGAGAGAGAGAGAGAGAGAGAGAGAGAGAGAGAGAGAGAGAGAGAGAGAGAGAGAGAGAGAGAGAGAGAGAGAGGGAGAGAGAGACTTACTTTTTACTATCCAGTGTCCAGCAAGCATCAGTGACTGGATGGTAATTGGCCTTGGCTGGATTGTAGACTTGTGGCTGACAGCTCTTCTCATCAGTAGTCGCTGACCCCGGAGTAGACGATGCTTTGGTCGCTGTCTGAACCGAGCTACTCTTGGGTGCTGTAGTGGAGATACGTCAAGAAGAGAGAGATAGAGAGAGAGATAGAGAGAGAGATAGAGAGCCAAAGTTCACTTATCCGGCCTTTGTCTACCTGGTTCCCTTGCTAACCGGTAGAACAAGGTTGGAAGAGAGTGACAGTACCCCCCCCCCCCCCCCACACACACACCGGTGTGTTCGTGTGTGTATGTCTCCGGCTCCAACCCTGGCAGCCGCTGTTCGTCACTCCCCGCCAAGCATGTGCCCCCCCCCCCCCCCCCCCACACACACACACATACACACCATCGCCTCTTCCGCACACGACCCACTTACAGAAGAAGGACAGCGGAATGCGTTTCTTCGGCGATGACGCATTGATGGCTGGCATCGGCATAGAGCTGTGTCCTCCTTTAGCAGACGATGACAACGACGACGATGACAGCACACTCGCTGCCTTGCCTGTCGCCACCGTCGAGGATGTACCTTCACTCTTCACACCGGAAGCTGCTGTCTTGCTCTCAGCCTTGACTTTGCAGGTGATTGGTGTCGGCATGGCTACAGCAGATACAAGTACAGACATGTTGATCTAGTCCTACGGGGAAACCATACTTACACGTGTATACTGTATAAGCATTGAGCAAGACCGGAAATTGAATGCCAAAAAGTGATCTTCGCACGTTGCCGGCATGCCAAGGCATAGACACTACCGTATTTCTACGAATATAAATTCAAGGGTAAAAAGAGGGGTGCGACTTACAATCGAGCGTGACTTACTACTGAAGTCAATATATCAATTCAATATTGCTCAAGCCTGAAAATGGGGGTGCAACTTATAATCGGGGAAATACGGTACTCGCTATGATTTGTTTGAGCTCAGCAGCACTCGTACGTACAACCACGCGTACATGAAAACCAGAGTGTGCAGCTCGGATGGGTTGCTGTCACGGCGGAATTCCGTGATTACATCATTTCAGTGATGTAGTGCGTACAAGCAGGATTCAAGCCGGTCTCTTTCTGCACACCTGCAGCTCAGTTGTACGCACTACGCCATTTCCCGCCTCAGATCTGCGCCAAATATGATGTAATCACGGAATTCCGCCGTGACAGACACCCATAGTAGAAAAAGCCCCAAGCTGCACACTCTGGTTTTCATGTACTCTTGGTACAACTGGTTTTGAAATGCACTTCAGTAAGGTGTGTAAACAGCACAAACAATGTGGCTGTGGCTAGACACATTCATGTACAAGCCGAAATAGCTCAGTTGGGAGAGCGTTAGACTGAAGATCTAAAGGTCCCTGGTTCAATCCCGGGTTTCGGCATTTCTTTTTCCTTTTTTCCATTAGCTTCCATGATCATTATGCCGTTCACACAGAAATGGGGGTTTGAGCCTAAAGCGGGATTCACAGAAGCTTTTTTTGCGATACGATGTTCGATGTGACACGATCTGCGACGAAGGTGTACGATGCGAACTCGCGAAATACCATTCACAGAAGACGTGAGCGATGCGATGCCACTTTGCGGATTTGGAGTGAAGTTCAATGCAGGTGGGTAAGTCAACATGGCATTCACGTGGCTTGATAAAAATTGTACAAATTTACAAGCAACTAAGCTTTGTACAACTTTGCTGCAGGACAGGTCAAAATCGTCCGCCACTTCGCTTGTCGCATCGCGAAAGTTGAGCCAAACTCGGCTCAACTTCTGCGATGGCCCAGTTGTGACAGTTGCGAGATGGATACGATTTGGGGATTTCCCGGTTTTGCGGCCGTCGCATCGCGTATCGCACGTCACATTGGATTTGCACGATGAGAAAAAAAGAAGCTATGCGAACTTTTGAATTGTGCTCCAAGTGTAAAATCTAGCACTTCTAATGGATAAAAGAATACCGTATTTTACCGGTTATAAGTCGACCCCAGTTATAGGTTGACCCCGGTTATAGGTTGACCCCGGTTATAGGTTGACCCCGGTTATAGGTCGACCCCCCGTATCCGAAGGTCTTATTTCTGTTTTTGAAGCTTTCACCTAACCAAGCACTGCTAACTATTCCCTTCACTAACACATCCACAAATCACATCAACACTCCTCGTTGGAGGGTGACATGTCAAAATCATGGAAAAAAGGGCAAATAAACTGGCAAAAAGGCGTACACACGGCACACTCGTGCATGCAGTACAGGTCATTTTCGGAATTGCCAGTAGTTTCCGGTTATAAGTCGAATCCAGGTTGTAAGTCGGCCCTCAACTTTTCTCCTTTAACTTTTAGTCGAAAAAGTCGACTTATAACCGGTAAAATATGGTATTTGCTTTGTTTGTTCCTTCATTGGAACCAATGGTAATGTTAGGATGGAGCGGAAAAAGAAAGTTAGCGTTGGCAAGCTACCTTCTCCTCGCCTCGACGGAGTTTTTCATAACTTTATATCGAGAAGATGATGACCAAAACTCTGACCTGATTCAATATTAGTGCTCAAACGAGTACTCTATAAGCTATCAAACGAGTAGTGCCACTATCGAGTCGAGTATCGAGTACTCTAATTTCACAAATTTTCGGTGTTCTTTTATTTTCGGTACTTTCGGTGCATCTGTTTCATACCTAAAGTTTCAATACACCGAACAAACACCAACACACGTAATCCAATAGGGAACAGCTTCCCTGTACCTAACCTGGCCTTTTGCCCTCATACCGAAAATATTGAGCACCTAAAGTCTCTGAAATTAGAGTACTCTATAAGAAACCGTCCGGGGTTACCGATTGTTTTACAAAACGAACAGTTTTAGTATTTTTCAGCCCCCACCCACCCGCCTTTTCTGCAGATAAAACGAATTCCAATAAAATATTGATGTCAATTTTCGGCACCCAAAAGAAACTGGCCATTCTCCATCTGCTTTCAATAATTATTTTTCAAAACGAAACTCCATCAAACCCACCCATCCCCAAACGAAATTTGTTCGTTTTGAAAATAGTATTGGTAACCTTGGACCTAAGGGAACCTAGTCGCTCATATGTGCCATGCTGATAGGGTCCAGCTTGTTCTTCACGACCGCAGGTGTGAGTTGCAGCGCGACTTTTCGTCTTCTCCGCCGTCAAGTACAGCGCCAGCTTGTCCGAAACCCACACGAGCTGTGATCTCAAATTTCCCACTCAGCGGCAAATATACATTGTAAACCACAGATTTTTTTTCAAAATTTCCCTTCGTGTGACCGGTCCCAAATGCTGTCTAAATTGGATCTGAAAAAGTCCAGATGTCAATTGGTTGTGAAAGGCTTGTACAAAGTGGAAGACAGAGGCGGGCACTCACGTTCTGAGGAAGTGTCCATAGGCTCTTCCTTCTCCTCCTTCGCAACGTCCGTGGTGCGGGTGGTGTCTGCACTCTCGGACTCCTCGGTCACCGCATTGTCCGCACTAGATGCTGCTGCTGTTGTCTGCTCCGTCTCTGCCGCCGCCACCGTCGTCGTCGCCGTTGTCTGATTCGTCTTGTCTGGCTGTTGCTCTGCAGCAGGCTTCTTGCCCACACTGGCGATCTTCTTCATCAGCATCGAATTGCCACGGGAACGACCACGAGCGGTTTTCGTCTGCAGGTTTCCATGGAAACACAAAATGGATGTCACAACACATGAGAGTGCATGTCGCAACAGAAATAGTATGAAACACAGTCATACTGACTAAATTCGTTTGCAACTTGCCCACAACGGAAAAGTCTCGAGTTCTCGACGCGACGCTCATCGCACCAAAGGTGAAGATCCGTGAGCCAAGGCAAGAGATAAACCCAATCAAGAGGCAAACAAGTGCTCAGCCTGGGCAATATCTGCTGGGGTGATACTAGAAATTCTCTTATCTGGGGTGATACTAGCAGCCTGGGAAATATCTGCTGGGGTGATACTAGAAACTCTGCCATACGCATCTTTATTTCTGCTGCCATGGTGTAAGATAACCATGAACGGGTGCGTACCGACTGCTCATCGTGACATAATGTATGTGTGTGTGTGTGTGTGTGTGTCTGTTTGTGTGTGTGTGTGTGTGTGTGTGTGTGTGTGTGTGTGTGTGTGTGTGTGTGTGTGTGTGTGTGAAGATTAGATCCCGGCTCATGCCAAACGTCTTACCGGCTTGCTCTTGGTGGCGCTGACCCTCTTCTCGGTGTCCTGAGCATCGCCACCAGTCTCCTCGGGGGTGGTGTCCTCTTTCTCACCAGTGTCCGCGGAGGTGGTGGTGTTCGGTGCTTCGTCCTTGCCAGCACTATCAGCTGGACGAGCAGAATCAGCGTCTTTGGTCTTTCTGCGCGGCTGCCGCTGGACAAAACAGGAGAAGTACATTGAAGAAGTAAGGTTACATGTACATTGCATGTGTGAGGTACACTGCATACACAACACAGATTCACTAGCCAAGTTACAATGCAGAGAAGCTTAGTCGGTCATAAACTTCGCTCCAGTCCAACGAACGACAGTCCATCAGGCTACTGATCTCACAAATGGACCATGGAACAAATTGAAAGGCCTCCCACGCCCAACAGAGGTTGCTACAAGGCCTCCGGATTATTCGAATTCCTGTCATTGGACACACTTGCCCAATTGAACCGCGAATCCAAATAAATAAGAACAACAAGAACAACTCCTCGCCACACACGGCCTACGAGTTCTGCCAATCTCCAGAAACACATCCAAGGAGCGCACACCGCAGGACTACTTCCCATGATGATGACCTGTTTCGTTTTGAAACTGCTCTTTCAATACGTCTTTTTTCAGACATCATTCTTCTGACAATACTAGTATCCTTCTTGGAGACAGAAACCAGTACATGTACACATGTGTATCTCACCAATTCATTACACAATTCCATTAATCCAAACCCTGGGCCTATCCAGTACTCATCAGGGGAACTGCAATGGAAGAAATGAGAGTGGCTGGCAATGACAGGAGCATTTTGTTGAGAGCTAGCGCTAATTCAGGCGACGTGACAACATGTGTTACTCAAGTGCAAGTCTGCCAGAGTGACGGACAGGCTCTTGTAGGTGAGAAGGAGTGGAGTGTGGAGAGATGATCAGTTAACACCACTACCATCTTAGTCACTGACATCACAACACGTACACAACTGCCTTTGAAGCACCTTCACCTTGAGCTTCACACATCCACCTCCACCTTCACACCCACCTCAAAGCCCACACCTCCACACGCACACCCAAACCCACACCTCCACGCACACCCAAACCCACACCTCCACCCATACCCAAATCCACAACTCCACACCCACCCAAACCAACACCTCCACATGCACTCAAATCCACACCTCCACACACACACACTTCTGAAAGACACAAGGTCGTTGAAACGCTCAATTCAAATGCCGGTGTTCAAGATAACACCTGTGTTGCTTACCGATGAAGAGGACGGAGTGCTTTTCTTCCTCGAAGCACTTGTCTTCTTGCTCACTGGACTGCTTGTTTCCTTGCTCTTCTTCTCTTCCTCCTCGCCCTCGTCTTCAGAGCTGGAGTCGAGTACACGAACTTTACGCCGTGTTCTCTCTGGCAAGCACAGCAACAACATAAAACGATGGAGTCATATAACGCACTAGGTGATGGAAGCAAACAGAAAGGCTGGTTGAAATCGACCGCATCACATGTTTATTGGCATTATGTCATTGTGATTGTGGAATAATAACAATAAATCTTAAAGGGGAAGTTAAGGCAAAAATCAAAAATTTCACCAGTTGTAGTCTTCGGGGTGCTGAGTCGAATGGTCTTGGTCCGAGAAAGCTGAGACGCTCCCTTCCTACTTGAATCCCAATCGAACTCGCGCACTTCCACCGAAACTGGGTGACTGCGCCCTACTAGATGGGGATTTGTATGCAAAATGTCACTAAAAGCGCCATTTCGTTCTTATAAAAGCACGGATGACCGCGATTGGCCCATATGTTGTAGTCTTTTGGACGCTGAGTCGACTGGTTTTGGTCCGAAAAGGCTGCGATGCAGCGTTCCTCCTTTATTCCCAATCGAACATGGCTGAGCAAGCAGTCACGTGCTCCTGTGTACACCAGTCACCTGGTCACCGTGCCTGCAGGGTACAACTTACTAGCCTGTTTGACCTTTTTTGGGTGCAGTCCTGTCACTCGAGTTGAACTCGAGTTGAACCTTGGTGTGAAAGTTGTCGCCTGCTGGCGTGGTGACCAGGTGATTTGTGCACCCAGGAGCACGTGACCACTTGTTCAAGCATGTTCGATTGGGAATAAAGGAGGAACGCTGCATCGCAGCCTTTTCGGACCAAAACCAGTCGACTCAGCGCCCAAAAAGACTACAACATATGGGCCAATCGCGGTCAACCGTGCTTTTATAAGAACGAAATGGCGCTTTTAGTGACATTTTGCATACAAATCCCCATCTAGTAGGGCGCAGTCACCCAGTTTCGGTGGAAGTGCGCGAGTTCGATTGGGATTCAAGTAGGAAGGGAGCGTCTCAGCTTTCTCGGACCAAGACCATTCGACTCAGCACCCCGAAGACTACAACTGGTGAAATTTTAATGTTTGCCTTAACTTCCCCTTTAAGAAAAGGAAACGGATACTAGCCCCGAGTTCTTGCTTCCCATGTGCACAGGCGTTGCCGTTGGAAATGTTTCATTTCACTCAGTTTGACCTTAGGATCGGAAACAATGTAAACCCCAAATTTTAGTGACGCAGAAAATTCCATGAATTCGTTAAAGTTAAGACTCGCGAATAGAGTTTTCTGAAATTGTCGAGTGCAGTTGGCATGTACAACGGAATTCCTTGATCAGTAAAGAGTAATAGTACGAAATAGAGGTTGCGACTTCAGCGATGATTTTGTTTGTCGGCGGAATAGCGCGAGCTCCAGTGTGGGAGCAAACTCATTCCTAAGGGGCCGTCCAAGGTTACCAATAATATTTTCAAAACGAAATGTTTTCGTTTGTGGGTGGGTTTGACGGAGTTTCGTTTTGAAAATAATTATTGAATGCTGATGGAGAATGCCCAGTTACTTCTGGGTGTCGAAAATTGACATCAATATTTTATTGGAATTCGTTTTACCTGCAGAAAAGGTGGGTGGGTGGGTGGGGGCTGAAAAATACTAAAACTTTTCGTTTTGTAAAAACTTGTTGGTAACCCCGGACGGCCCCTAAGTAAAGAGTAATAATATTATAATATTCGCGGGATCTGCGTTAGCATCACTTGAATGTTCAGAAACACACAAGCTATAGCCTTCGCTTCTGCAGGCCACCACTACGCCAAGAGGACCGCTGCTAATAATACGTTGACACCATGAAAAGGCCAAATATATTAGTCTCTAAATTAGGATGTTGCAGTAACGATTGGTTAGGGTTGGTTCACATAAGCAAAATCGGCGGCGCAAGACATCGCAAGACATCGGCGGTGAGCCAGCTCCCGATCCGTTGCGCATACCGTTCGAGTACCAAATCTACTACAATGTAGTACAGAATGTGTCCAAATGCTACGACAGGTTTGCCAATTGAAGCTTGAATTCTTTGTTTCTTCAGTAGTTCAAGGTCTTTCGGTGATGGCCACTGGTTGCTACTTTTTACTGCAGATCATGAAACTACTTCTACACAGCGTAATGCGCCGGGAGAGGTTGCAAGAGGCCCATTCCCGGTGACTCCCGGCGCGTACCGGCGATATGTGAACCAACCCTTACACACTGTACCGGGATTTTTGGAACGCAGCTCACAATTGAGAAAAAAAAAGAAATGCCGAAACCCGGGATTGAACCAGGGACCTTTAGATCTTCAGTCTAACGCTCTCCCAACTGAGCTATTTCGGCTCACATTCAACAACATGAGCGGCGAATAGTTTGAATGCACAGACTGCAAATTCGGCGGTCGTTCACGAATAGTCAGCCCAGTGTCAAAAGCAAGTGAAAGAACGTGCAGCGCCAGCCTTCGTCTGAACCATTGCATCCTTCCAAATATTTCCAAAACAAGGCAGTACTTACTTGAACGAGCGGTGACAGCAGGTTCATCGTCTGCTTCGGCATTGTCAGCAGATGTGACTGTAGCTGTAAGTAGATGCATGACAAGGAGGACAAGAACAAGAGACAGTCAAGGAAGAGGGCTTAACAAATCGTTACTGCAACATGAGAGGGAGAGAGAGAGATAGAGAGAGAGAGAGAGAGAGAGAGAGAGAGAGAGAGAGAGAGAGAGAGAGAGAGAGAGAGAGAGAGAGAGAGAGAGAGAGATTGATAGAGAGATAGAGAGAGAGATAGAGAGAGAGATAGATAGAGAGATAGATAGAGAGATAGATAGAGAGGGAGAGAGAGAGAGATAGAGAGAGAGAGATAGATAGAGAGGGAGAGAGATAGATAGATAGAGAGAGAGAGAGAGAGATGGGAACAAGGGGACTGCTGGAATACCAGACATACATATACATGCACGTACACGTACACGTACATGTACATGCAAAATACACAGGAATCAGACGTCCAAGCCAATCGCCAAACTGACCTTCAGCTTCCAGTGCATCGGGCTGTACGTCCTGAGTGGCTGGCGCATCCTCAACCACATTCATGGTTTCTTCGGCTGTAGCTTCCTCAGTCTTGGAGGCCTCTGCAGTGTCAGCCTTTGACTCCTCTTCCTTGGCGACAGGCGTGTCAGCAGCTTTCTCGGTTGCTTTGGTTTTCGGAGGTGATTTGATCTTCTGTTGTTGCTCGGCTGGTTTCTTTCCCACACTGGCAATCTTCTTCATCAGCATGGAGTTACCACGGGAGCGGCCACGGGCGCTTTTCACCTACAAACATCCGACGGAGAGGGGAGGAGAGGAAATGGCCCACAGAAGATAACAACTAGGGGACATGTTCAGTGATCGTCCAAATGCTGCAGTTGAGACTTGCTCTGACTTGCAGAAAGTAAATGTTTTCGCTTTGATAGCAAGAAAGCGAACACGTCCGCATTGGCATGTGATACTAACAATGTCAGCATGCCCACTGCATGTAGAATCATCAAGCAGCGAATTTGATAATGCAGCGCATCGTGACAGGGGAGGGAGAGAGACGTATACGTACACACACACACACACACACACACACACACACACACACACACACACACACACACACACACACACACACACACACACACACACACACACACACACACACACACACACACAGACACACACACACAGACACACACACACAGACACACACACACAGACACACACACACACACAGCTCTGATTACACCGTGCTGGCCAATGACATTTGCTACCCCACGAATAAATCAATGCCATGGTCTTTTCTTCCGGTCAGTATTCACAACGGCTGGGCCGTATGGCTTGGCTTGGTGTGAAAAGGAGGCAGGGGGGGGGGGGGGGGGACTTCACTGTCCACGCTGCAAGGAGAAACATACTGGCTTGCTCTTGGTTGCAGTCACTCTCTTGCCAGCTTCCTTTGGACTGGTGACTTCCTCAGCAGCGGCTTCGGGTGCATCCGATACCGTCTCACCACCTTCCTCGTCGTCATCACCGGTCTCCATGGCTGTGTCCTATCAGGCGTCGGCAAAGCAACGGCCGGGGAAGGAGACAGACAGAAAACGAAACAGACAGACAAACAGACAGACAGACAGACAAGAGAAGAGTGACTCAAAGATGAAGTGGCTACAGTGGAGTCTGCATGCCCCAAGCAAGGTGTTTACTGATGCCGTCTCACCAGGCTAATGGTCAGCCTTCCACAAAATTAATTATGAATAGGGCTCCAGGGCTTTTGTTATGCTATGCTGATGGACCCTTATAGGACAGTGCAGAAAACGAAACAGACAGACAAACAGACAGACAGACAAGAGAAGAGTGACTGGGCCATTCTAAAGAGCGGTAGAACTGGCTACGGATGAATCTTTCTGAATGGATCCGTATCGACTGACCCGTGACCGCCGTCTGGAGTACGCGAGAGCACACAAGCAGAACACCTGGTCCGGCATTCTTCTCGTGCGTGCTCCAGACGGCAGTCGTGAGTCAGTCAAGTATCAGCCAGTGGGCAGGAAGCACGAGCTCCGTTAGGAGCAGCCACCTTCTTCTAATATTTACCACCGAAGTCGCAACATCTCAGGTCATATTTTATTTCACTTCATCAAATAAATAGGCACCGATGCCTTCTTTCACACAATTATACACCACTATCCAAAAACAGTCTCTCGGCTACAAATCCTTTCAAATAAAATAAATAAACTCTATCCTAATTTTCAGGCCAGGCCCATCCTAATTGTGTTAGAGATGAAGTGGCTACAGTGGAGTCTGCATGCCCCGAGCAAGGTGTTTACTGATGCCGTCTCACCAGGCTAATGGTCAGCCTTCCACAAAATTATGAATAGGCTCCAGGGCTTTTGTTATGCTATGCTGATGGACCCTTATAGGACAGTGCAGTTGCTGTGCACAGCTTTCAGTTGCAAAGGGTTCACAGTGCAAATACCACAGCTCAGAAGTGAAACTTACAGACTGCTCTTTGCTGCTCTTGCTGTTACTCCCGACAGAGGACGAAGTGTTGGTATGAGGCGATGTAGCACTGGTGTCCTCGTCGTCATCCTCATCGGAGCTCGAGGCAAGAACACGAACCTTACGTCGCCGCTGCTTCTCTGCACATCGACACAATACCAACGCAATAAATGCCAAGGTCAAACCCAAATGACAAGAACAAGAACAAGAACAGCCGTCTTTGCCCAGATCCAAAGCACACCACGTAGAGAAAGAAAATACATGAAAACTACTCAGTCACTGAGTGTGCTGGTTAGGCGGTTGATTGCTACAGTGCGCAATGCTGAGACTGAAGAGATCTGCGAGCCCAGCGCCAATTCTTTCCCGCCATGCCATTCCATTGGCATATGGTATCACGAGTTTCAGGAGAAAAAAACTGGGGGTTGCGGGGAGCACATTGAAAAGAAGAAGAAAAAGAAGTGCCGAAACCCGGGATTGAACCAGGGACCTTTAGATCTTCAGTCTAACGCTCTCCCAACTGAGCTATTTCGGCTTGCACATAAGAGGAGATGAAGACAGCCAATTCCAACAGTGCGTCGCAACAGGCAGTCCAAACATGCCGGAAACGACATACCGGTACCAGGAGTGAGAAAGTCTCTGCAAAGTCCACCACCGCAAGCACAAACCGTATTTTTCCGGTTTAAATAGGGGCTGTCCATAATTAGCGATCTTTTACACAGAAAGAAAAAAGCTTTGCTGATAGGTGAGTGGGTCAAGGAGAGTTTCGTTATGAAAATGATTGATATGTGAGATATCGATGCATTCAAGTAATCTATTTTTCGTTCAAGGGGGTGGGTGGGTGGGGGAGGGTCCTAACTAAACTTTTTTGTTTCGCGAAAATTATCGATAATGCCAGATGGCCCCTTATAAGTCAACTTAAGATAAAGAGGCCCCAAGTGTTGGGGTTCGACTTACAACCGGTATAATACAGTAACACATCCTGCCACATAATGCACAATCTAATTCCCAGGACTGCTTGCTGATGTTGTCGGTCTTGTCCAGGTCTGGATGTTCTTGAATCATATATTCCTAGAACTACGATTGTGCAATAAAATTGCAAGCCAGAGCCGACCCTGGTGCGCACACAGGGAATTTCCCTACTTGAAAACAAACCCTAGCTATCTCTCTACATACATTTACAATTCACAAACAGCAACAGTAAAACCAAGTCCTTCCTCCTGTCTACCTGTCTACACACATGTGCATGTACACTCATATCGCGTCAGTACGGGCAGACAGTACAAGCTAAACCGGTGGCAACAGAAAGCCGACCCCTTGAGCGTTCACTTTCTAGCGGTCTCTATTTCGTAGTGTTATAATCCCATGCCGGGTCTTTGCGATGTGAGCGCACCGCTCAGGGGGTCGGATTTCAGTTGCCAGCACTGTACAGTCAACTTCGCTAAGGCCATCATTTTTTATAGCTATGTTTCGCGTCGTCCGCACGCATACGTTTTGACTCTTTTCGGAAAAAAAGAAAAAAATCGAACATGCACAGTGAGTGTACGATCGTGCGAGTCATCAGTGTGGACTGGTTGCGATACGGCGAAGCTGGGATTCAGAAATGGCCTCTAGGCCAGCGTTGGTAAATCGTTTGTTCGGCATCTGGGAGCAATATTCTATGAGCTTACACCAGACCGCATTGATCGCCTCAAGCTGAGAGGATGCGTCCTTCCGGAGCTCTTTGCACCGCTGCTGAAGTCTCAGTACAATAAGCCAGCGAAGCATGGGCACCAACGGTTGCCTCCTCTGTCCAAAGTGAATATTAATTTTACTCATGCTGATAACCCAGATGTTGTGCTTCGATGTACGATTTTTCTCTAGAATGTACATCATACACGAGCTATTGTGCTATGTACAGTGCATACACCTCTGATGAGCCTTTTTATTATTTTGCAACTTTTTATTTTTTCCACCTCTCGCATATGATTCTGGAAGTTGAACTGACGCGAAACATAGATATAAAAAATGATGGCCTAATAACGACTGCGGATATTACGACAATTCGTGAATAATGACAGAGTTTCCATGCCCAGAGCAAAGTCCATTCTACCTGTACACATACAAAGAGACTTCGGGTATAAGGACACCTCGCGAATAAGTTAAGAACAGGTTTCTGATGCCCCGCCGAGTGTCGTTACACGCAAAGTTGACTGTAGCTTCCATGCGAGAGGCTGTTTCAGTGTACAGATACCTCCCATGTGGGTACAGTCAGACCTCGCTTAACTGCACACATCCGTTTTCCACAAAAATATCCGGATAGGTGAGGGAACCGGATAATCGAACACACATACTGTATGTATGCATGGCATATGCTGTAAAACGGTGACCAACGGTTTTCTTCCGGACGCCGCGGGATCCGGATAAAAGAGGACGGGATAAGCGAGGTCTGACTGTAGCCGGTTACAAGCGATGGGTACCTGCTAGCGATACTAGTACAGCACGGTACTATACATAACAGTACATGTAGCAACAGTGTGAAGTGCCAATGCGTAGCAAATGCTTACTTGAGCGAGGTGTTGTGGGAGAGGCATTGCCATCATCCTGTGATTCTGACGTGCCTTGTGATGCGACAGTGCGGGGTTTGGAGCTAGGCGCAGACTCTTGTTGCACTGGCGTTTCGGCAATTGATACGCGCTTCTTCTTCTTCTTGACAGCTACAGCTGTTACGCATACAGCAGAGAGGGGGGGGGAGAGAAAGAGAAAGAGAGAGAGAGAGAGAGAGAGAGAGAGAGAGAGAGAGCGAGAGAGAGAGAGAGAGAGAGAGAGAGACAGAGTGAGTGAGTGAGTGAGAGAGAGAGAGAGAGAGAGAGAGAGAGAGTGAGAGAGAGTGAGTGAGAGAGAGAGAGAGAGAGAGAGAGAGAGAGAGAGAGAGAGAGAGAGAGAGAGAAGGAGAGAGAGTGAGCGAGAGAGAGATACGCTGTGCTAGCTTGGTAACACCCAATCTGGGCAATGCATAGGCAGCTCGAACCTGAACGGTTGACATCACTGTTACAGATCCCATCTCAATTGCACAAACTCAGTGTTCTGTCACTTAGCTCCATAGCAAGCCATCTATCAGATTAGACAGTAGGATGATGTCATTCCTATACAGCAAAACCTGTCAAGGTGACCACTCGGATAAGGCGACCACCTGTACTAGAAGGCCACTAAACCTGGACCAAGGGATGCTATTTCCAGTCAAATGACCCTGGATAAGGAGACCACCTGGTAACAGAGACCACATTTTGAAGGTCCTTTAAGCGGTCGTCTTAGACAGGTTTCACTGTATTAGACAGCACATACGTACCGGTATCATCCTGCTCAGCATCGCTGCCAGACTCGATGGCCTTGCGCGTCCGCTTGCCCGTCACCACGGTGGCAGTCTGATCGGCGGTGGTCTTCGCGTCACTGGCCTCCTTGCTGATGATGTCCTCACCCTCCGTCGCTGCTGCTGTTGCTACCGCCGCCGTCTCATCCTTTCCCGTTGCTGTCTTTGCGCTGGTAGCAGGCAGAGGCTTGCTGCAGGAAAGCAGGTGGAAACACAGTGGTCCCTGTATAATCCGGCACCATTTTGTGCTACGGAAATTCTGCTAAACTAGGGAGGGTGCTGGGTTGACAAACTGATTAAGATTTACTGCTGCAATGTGCATGAAGAGGACATTTTGGCTACTGATTATCGTGCTGGTTTATAAAGTGCTGGATAAAAGAGGAATGACTGTACAGAGAGGATGGCATAGTGCTAGTGACTGCGGTGATGGCAAAAAAAGTGGGTGGTGTCCCGTACGTGGGAGCTTGCCAACTGTAAAGTCCAGTGGACAGGGAAAGCGCAAGCTCCCGGCTAGGGAGCACCACCCACTTCCAGCACACAGAGGGCCAGGGCTGTAATCAGGTTACGGCTGTACCGCAGTGGTAACAGTCGGACACTTCACTACAGAGATTATGGCACGAACTCACGAACACACACACACACCCACATACGCACACACACACACGCGCGCGCGCGTGCATGGCCATGACTATCTAGAGTTGATGATGAACTATGTTGCGCTGGTATCGGAAAGTCTTCCTCGCAAGCAACTGTACAGTGCTGTTGGACGCCGAAGAACGAGCAGGCTAGGATTTCACCAAGCACAGTATACCAATGTATACACTGTCACAGTGACTTGACTGTGCATAGACTGTAGTACATGAAAATATGAACGACCTAGGCTAGGGGGGTTGCCCCCCCCCCCCCCCCCCCCACCCCAGTTCTTCGGCACCCGACAGTGCTGTACTGTACGTGACAACACAGGCCATGGAGGTTCTATGCCATGGAGGTTCTATTGCCGTATCATGCTCCGTGCTCATTGCTGCTCCAGTGGCCTGCATGCTATGGGCAAGTAATGGCGGTGACCACCACTAGCAGCATGGACAGTATCAATGATGGTGCTATTGCTCCACAGCTGACACAATACACTGTACTCGACTACTCCTACACGCCGTTCCAGTCTCATTTCCTGTCCACGAAACAGTGAACTATACAGGTGCTGGGTGTATGGTGATAGTACAGGCAACAGTAGCGATTGTGCCATGCGCTGTGTAGATAGATACACGTTATGTGATAGAGGAGGGGCTAGGGGGGGGGGGGGGTATACATTACCGTACGCGTCTGTATATAGCGTACACAACCGGCTGTGATCAACAAAAAACCTGTATGTTGGTGGAAATAATTCCACGCAGCAACATGAAATCAATCTCAAGGTACACGATCAACTCACTTCTCCTTGTCCGCTTTCTTCCCGAAGAAAGATCTGTACACGACAGGTACACGAACAGATGATCAACTCAGTTCTCCCTACCCTTCTAGGCCAGTGCTCCGTGATGGTTTTTGTAACTCACAACAGCGAGGCTTGGGCCATCATTTTCGTCTCCGAAAACGGACGAGCTCCTTCGGTGCACCTTCCCTCGTACACCAGCGTAAAATCAGAGTACAGTCCTCGCTGCTTCCACACTCAACACGTACGGCCTTCACAAACACCACGCGTGAACTCGTAAGCCCGAAAAAACTGCTCCAACCTGATCAAAAAAATTCTTGCCCTGCAACAAACTGCAAAGCAACGAGGAAGATGAAGATGAGTTCGAATGCATTTTTTGGATGGTCAAGCACTTCCCGCCAAATGTTCGTATGAAACACGTGATCATTTTTATTCCCAAAAACCTTTATGAATCCGGGAAATATTACGTCAGGCTCGTTGGAGTAGTCTTTTTACAACGCCGAGAATCCAGAGAGCTTGTAGAGCCAGATGCAGAGTCAGATCACCGTCAGCAAGAGTTTCTTTTTTATGTGTGCTGTGATCTGCATCAGGCTGCAAGAACGTGAATCACTGTTGTCCAGAACTACTAGTACAATCTTTACCCAAGCTTCGGATTGTTGACCACTCCCTGATATCTGGATATACAGTGTACCATGGCATGAGACCTAGACCAATACTAATCCCCCCGGAGCCCTCCCCAAGTACCTGGACTTGTGATGAGATCGACCAAACCGTAGACTCGCAACCAGGCAACCAGAAGGAAATCCCAGAAAATACACGCCTGCAAATCCACACTCACACCCATGCTTGCAATGACAACAACAGTTGACTCCTCTGACACACAAACATGCACCACACATCAATCAATCGCTTTCTATGAGTATTCTTGCAAACAACACTTTACGCACATGTTTACCACCAGTGGTAGAAAGACAACCGAGATCATAGATATTCAAAAACCACATGCATTTTAAATTTTGGGATATGTTGGAAATAGCAAGAAAATAGCACTTAGAAAATAGTGGGAAATGCAACAGAAAGCAAGCAAGTCACAGAAGCAAAAAGAGAACGTATGCAACGTAATCGTGTTGGAGGATCTGGGGCATAGACGGTAGTGAAATGCGATCGCAGGCCAGAATGAAGAGCACATTGCCCACACTAGACTACTTCGACTAGTGGCATTGTGAAACCGGCAAAGAAAGCAACAGCCATTGCTAAAACCACATGCATGCAGGCACGGATATCTTTACCATGAAGCCATTAGAATGGAGCGATGCACCAAAAGCCGGGGGGGGGGGGGGGGGGGGGGAGTAGCATACAAACAGCGAAAGCTACTATAAATCCGTAATTGGGCAAGGTAAGTCAAATAAGTACTAGTGATAAAATTGTTCTGAAAATTTCAAATAATCAATGCGACGAGCATCCCCGCGAGAGCATATCAACAGACATGCCCGTGTGCTAAAATAACATTCGCCGTACTGCGCAGCATTCAAACGCGTGGCACAGCAACGCAATGCGGTCATGCCTGTGCTGACGGGGGCAGCCAACGGAAATTCAAGTCCTTAGCATAGTTAGACAGCTGTTGCGTCGCAGTCAAGCTCCCAGCACTGGGGCAATCAGCATTATGAGTACATGGCCATACATGTCTCTATGGGTGATTGTCCCATTCAAGAAATTATACATGTACATGCACTTGAAGAAACAAACAGTCCGGCCATCACCTGGGCTGGGCTGGGACATGGATAGGATAGGCGCTATGAGTATGTACAGCATACGCCGATAACAGCAATGCATAGCATAGCACAATACAGCACTGCATAGCATATTGCAGCATAGCATATCACAGCACAGCATAATTATTACAGCAGAGCATAGCACAGCATAGCAACACATATCACGGCATACATGTACCAGACAACGCAAAACAGAGCATACGCGAGCACAGCAAACGCATGTCTGTAGTCTACGCCGGGGGCAAAGTCAGACTTTGCACAATGCCTCTCGACTAGATTGCAGGAGATAACCAGTCAACTTCAATACACAGAACTGGAAACGTATCACAGGGCAAACCTGCACGCAGGATAACTCTGCCACCACCGTGAATTAGATTTGGAAACCCATACTCAGATTGCACTTACATGTACAACTGATCTGGAGCATAGCCAATCCCGTGTTCAGTCCATGCTACAGTAGTGAGGTCATACCGCACCACCAGCCTGTACCGGCCATGCCAGATTGGCAAGTCTACAGCTGAAGTTCACCGTCATCCGTACTGACGAATAACTTGGACTCACGACACCCACATGCACCATCCCCAACACCATCGTGCCAAGTTGAAGGAGCTGAAGCGTGCAACGCGGCAGGAGAACGCCGTCATGGCGAAGCACACCTCATAGCGGTGTAACACACACTTGTCCCTATGGACTACAAGCTAGGTCTGGGGCCAGTCAACTCGGCGCGCAAGAACATCAGCCACCTGTCTGCAATTGAGATTCTTGACGTCCATCTTGCTCAGTTCTTTCTCAGCCGACTGAGTAGCACTTCCCTCCAGCCTGGCCATGCTGCTGTTCTCCTTGTTCGCCGCTAGGAGCTCATCACGCAGCAGAGCGGCAGAGCCCGGCCGTAGCGTGAGCAGATAGCACGCCTCACGAACCCTGCACAGGGCATCACAGCAACACAGCATCACAGTGTTAATATGCATGAGAATTACACGTGCATAAAACCGAGACAGCCAGCCCTTGTTTCAACACAGATAGGAAAACATGCACAAGCCTTATAATTCCACTTGCGCATAATGGCGGGGGGGGGTGAGAGAGAGGGCAAGGGCGACAGCCGGTGAGAAAGAGAGAGAGAGAGAGAGAGAGAGAGAGAGAGAGAGAGAGAGAGAGAGAGAGAGAGAGCTATGAATGGAACACGGCTGCCTGAAAGGACAGACGGGTATCCAAAGGCATACATGAATCAAGATGTGGCGACAGTACCGGTTACTCACAGCGGGAAATAACGCTCTGGACGTGCAGTGCATATACTGAACAGTGTCACAAGATTACGCATCAGATCAAAGTGGAGCTGACTAGCACCACCCTCCGTCAATGTGACACATAGGATGACCTGCACATTCCACACACAGACACAGACGGAAGAAAGATCAGGAAACGGAACATGAACACAGGAACAAGACATGTAGCACAACAACAGCAGTAGCAGCAGCAGCAGCAGCAGCAACAAAAGACCTTGAAGCAGTACTACTTTTCAAAAGCCAGTGCAGAGTCACAGTTGGTGCACTGCAAACACACAGATGTGGACAAGCGTCTGATACCAATAAACTCAGTTTCGATTTCATGGCTTGCTAAAAAATAGTACATGATGAAAAAGCACAAGAGGTGAATGACAACCAAGACCTACCTGTTCACTGCAAAGCTCTTATTCTACTGCCTATCCACTGACAATAAAAATTATAATGGTTATGCCACAACGTCACCATTCCAAGGTGGTGCTTTACACGGAGTGGCATGACAACAAAATAATTCACAAGCGCTGGTTTGCCAATCGATACAAACAAGAGTACATGAAAACCAGAGTGTGCAGCTCGGATGGGTTGCTGTCACGGCGAAATTCCGTGATTACATCATTTTAGTGATGTAGTGCGTACAAGCAGGATTCAAGCAGGTCTCTTTCTGCACAACTGCAGCTCAGTTGTACGCACTACGCCATTTCCCGCCTCAGATCTGGGCCAAATATGATGTAATCACGGAATTTCGCCGTGACAGACACCCATAGCAGAAAAGGCCCCAAGCTGCACACTCTGGTTTTCATGTACTCTTGATACAAAGCATACACGATGATGTCACTTGCATAATGACTATGACGATGATGTCATCTGTCCATACTATGAGTGTATGACATCAATCCCAGTCATATGATGACATCATATGCATTCACAATGATGTCATTTGTATAGCATCTATACAATGTCATGCAGTACCTTGTCAAAGACAAACACGTCCAGCTGTTTAGCTAGGTTGATCCAAACCGGCGTGAACAGAGCCAGCGGCAAGCGCTTCTCAGCCAAGCGTAGGTGATGGCGCAATGACACCAGCAGATCACACGCCGCGTCGGACACCTCCGGTACGACCACGTCTTGCGGCGGCGGAAACGCAACCCACCTGCACGGGACGAGCACCGCGGACAGACACAACACAGCGGTGCACGGCAAAACTGGTGTCAGGTGACCAATTGTTTATAGAAACCGGCAACTCCAGGCCCAGACTATGCATGTACATACAGTGTTGCCCAATGAAACCATTTCGTAGCCCAGTGTTCGCAGGTCTAGAGCTGCGTAACGCCTGGCGAATACTTGAGTGACTCGATCGGATTTCATCGAGCAGTTACTGTGCATTGTGCTGAAGTACACTCAGACCTTGCGGGGGGGACCGGATAATCGAACACCGGGTTTTTTGGATGCATCATGTATGCTGTACACCTGCAACCAGCTATTTTCTTCCGAATGGCGAGGGATCCGGATAAAAGAGGAGCGGATAAGCGAGGTGTGGCTGTACTTTAGGGCATACAGCCATACACACACAAACCTGTGTACAAAGACTACCTGCCTCCGGAGACCAATCATCTCAGACAGCATACCATATTTCCAGGCAATCACAATGCATAGAGATCACCTGACTTTAGAGATCACCTGACTTTAGAGACCAATTGTCTTTGGAGACTGGTCATGTCAGGCAACCAAGCCTTGTTACAAAGTTTTCACACAGAGAGACTATACATGCATGCATCACAGCGCTTACTTCTGCTGCACAAACGGTTTGCTGGTCAGGCGGAACTCGCTCAAGATGGCTTCCACCATGTTCTCCATCATTTTCTGCTTGATCGAGTTCAGCTTGATGATGAGATGGGAGAACACAGATCTGAGCAGAGCCAAGCGATGCACACAGCATATGCAAACAAACACAAGGTCATAACCACGGACACAACCTCGAAAACACGTACTTCAAGAACCTTTTTTTTCATTGCTATCAGGCTCGGCCTCATTTTCTCTGCGCTGCGCTCATGAGCCCACAAAGGACGAAACAGTTCTGTCCGCAGCTTGAGTATTTCGCTCCTGCTCTTGTAGCAGTTGAGCACTCTTGCGTGGGGTAGTGCCTTTGCTGTTTGCGTTATGCAGAGCTCACTGACTTGTCAATTTGAGCACTCTGGCAAGGTACGTTCAGGCCTGGCTTAAATCTGGCTTTGGAAAATGTTTCATTGCTATCAGGTTCGGCCACATTTTCTCTGCGCTACGCTGATGAGTCCACAAAGGACGAAACAGCATGCTGTCCGCAGGTTGAGCATGTCAAGAATCGGATGAGAGTTACGTCACCACATGTACAGGATACAGATGGGAGTTACGTCGCCACATGTACAGGATACAGATTCCTCTGCAGCACACCGCATGCACTGGATCAAGTATCAGATAGCCCTACACAACAAAGTATTTCAAAAAGTGCAAGGTAATGCTGTCTGATGCAACCGTTGTCCAGAAACTCAAAGCAACAGCAATGACGGAAGCAGCAGAAGCACTATCGCCACCACCACTACCACCAGCAAAGTGGAATATTTCTTCTAACCTAATCTGAGCAACGTGAGTTACCTTGACTGTTGCTGTTGCTGCTGCTGCTGCTGCTGATCCTTGCTACTACTACCAGAGAGAGACAGCGAAGCAAAGCGCGATGCAAAGAACATGGCTGCAGGTAGGGCGGATGTGTGCAATGGAGATGACTTTGACGAAGACAATTCAGTGTCAGCTGCACTCTCCTCCTGGAGACGCTCCTCCAGTGATAGGAAAAACTGCGTTGGGAAACACAAGGGCATAGAGAAGAAAGTGTACCAGAAGACAGAAAGAAAGGAAGAGAGGGGGAGAAAGAGAGAAAGATTTTAGTTCTTGAAAGAGAGAGAGAAAGATTTTAGGTTGCGCTAAACAGACGTCGATTTCGATGTGTGTGTGTGTGTGTGTGTGTGTGTGTGTGTGTGTGTGTGCGCGCGCGTGTGTGTGTGTGTGTGTGTGTGTGTGTGCATGAGTGTGCGTGTGTGTACGTGTGCATGCCTGTGTGTGTGTGTCTGAACATGCAGATACGGCATTGACGGCGTCTCTCGCTAGTTGCTGCTTCCAGCATTGTCAACGCTGCAATCGCTGCTTCAAGTCCCGGGCTGGTTTTAACCGCCATAACTGCAACCGTGGAAAACGTCTTGCTGCAGCCGATAGGGAATCACTGCCGCTGATCTGCATGCATTGCCCGAAACGTTTCCGACGACAGCAAGATTTGACGAGGCACCAGAAGTCCTGCCAATGACGGTGCACTCCAAACTCTGGCCCCCTCCGGGGGTGACATTGCCCAATGGGCAGTCATGCTATAGTAGTAGTAGTAGTGTGTGTGTGTGTGTGTGCATGAGTGCGCGTGTGTACGTGTGCATGCCTGTGTATCTGATGACGGCACAAGTCATATTACTTTTAAAAAACTCGAAATCACAAACCATTTAATTAACCGTTGTACCAGCATCTCTCCACAGTATTACAGAACTAAAAACAACCAACATTTCGCCGGGGGACATCTTCAGGTAATGCTTTGTTGCTAGTAGCTTACCGGCTGTTCTGACCACTCGGACAACACATCCGCTACATACTGGACAGCACAGAGCAGCGAGGCAAACATCATTCCCGTACAGTCACCTAGCTCTGCCTCCATGCGTTTGACAATGCTCTGGGAAAACACCTCAACCGACTGCACTTGCAAGCGGCAGAAGAGCAAGCGAGGCTCCAGCGACGGCAGCAGCTTGTAGCGATCTGCAGGGCAGGATGAACACCAAGATTCCACACACAGAGTTCATGGACAATAATTAGCACAGTATTTTCCAGCGTATAAGCCGCATTGGAGTATAAGCCGCACTGGAGTATAATCCGCACCGGAGTATAAGCTGCAATCAGATTTCTTGCCACGAAATACAGACATCTACCCTGTTGTATCAACGCTAATTTGACCATTGTAGTAACAGCTGCACCGACCTTGTATTGGTGTTTAAAACGCGGCCTATACTGTATAAGAAGAAATATTCGTCTGGAATTTAATTTCGTCTTTTCGTCCAAGGAGCTTTTGGACTAAATAAAATGCCAGACTAAAGTCGGTTTGTCCAGCTTTTCAATACACTCTTATGATCCATAGACGAAATATACAACAGGACGAACTCCCTATCTTCGGAGCTGGACGAAATTATTGACCAACGAAATTTTCTGCTTGTACAGCACTCCGGAAAATGCTAGTGCAAGTATCAATTGCAGTGTACTCAGTACAATGCGTAGTCGAATGGACACCAAACGTACACTATATGCGTGGAGCCAGAGCGCTGGTCGATTCATGTGCAACATTAGGAGTCTAAGTCGCAGGGGCAATTTGACATGTTTTAAAAGTGTGGCTGTTGCTGGCTGACCAACACCCCCCCCCTCCTTTGCATTGGCTGCTGCCATTGGACGGTGAAATAAAATTAAAAATTAAATTAAACACTCTGGAAAATACAGCAATAGCTGATACACACATACTGTACATGTACAGTGCGTATCGGTTATAGTGTGGTCGTATACAAGAATATACTGCCTACAAGAATGAACACTCATTTTTTCATAATCATAACACATATTTTATGTGTATATTTATTCTTACAAGCAGTATTATCGCATAGTAGAATATATCGGCCCTAAGAATGGATTTTGTGCAGCAAAATATGCCACATTAGTGCAAAGTGTATCGCCTGTAGTAATAGCATCTGTGCTCTGTGCATACTCAATACAATAATATTCAACACAAAAAGAGAGTTATGTCCAAGGGAGCATTGGAGAATCACTTTTTCTGTCCAGTCGGACTCTTTCTTCCGACTTCTCTCGTATCCGCTGCTCCGCAGTCGCCTAGCACGACCGCGAGTCTGATTGATCCGTGTGTATCATGTGTACGTGTCCACATGCCATACGTGCACGCATACATGTATGATATGTCACACGTGCATATGATATGTCACACGTGATTTATCGTGTGTAAGAAATATCGGCAATAAGAATCAAATGTCGTTTTTCAAACACCCACGCTATAACCGATACCTACTGTATAGTGGTAAATGTTTGATGCGTTGATCTGTAGATACAGCCTGTTACCGTAACATTGCCCACACCAGTTTACACTCTGACACTTGTCTCAGATCATTGAGAACTCGTACAGATGTCACAGCGTTCATGAATCATGGACTTGGTGCTACTTTCTCCTTCAAAAGCCATCAGTTGTTTCCATAGTGTAGCGGTTATCACGTTCGCCTAACACGCGAAAGGTCCCCGGTTCGATCCCGGGTGGAAACATCAATTTCTTTTTTTGTTCCTTTTTCTTCACAAAATTCATTGGAAATTGCATTTCTTGGGAGGTGGAATCCAGCCAGTAACGAGAGAAGATAGACAGGGGTTACATGAGAGTTTTCGAGCCGGGTTGAGTTTCAACCAGGGAGCAGTAAAAACTGTAAAATATCTTTGCCACCTGGCTTCGACCCAACATGAGAACAGAATGACGAGTGGTTACATGATACACAGGTTGATGCGGTTGAAATCGAGAAAACAATTTCAAAACATACTACGGTACTTATGCGCATAATTCACACCAGGAATGCAGTACCCCCCAGTAGCCATGCGGCCATACAAAGCGCTAGAATAGAACTTTGTCGTCATACGAGTCAGCTCTTCTCATGTCAACCCTCTTCACGTCCACTTTCTTTCTCAAATCGTATAGAGCTCCAACCTGAATCGAACTCGACCCAGCTTGAAGGATCCTATGCAAAACCCACCCTGACTGCCAGCTCTCCATGTGTTTTGAAATAAAACAAAACATTCCAGAAAAGAAAAAAGTATTCATAGGAGACAACCAGCCAGAATAGAAAAGCTTCAAACTAAATCGTATACTAGTACTAGTACTATGTCCGAGAGAGGCAAGATGGAGGGCAAGTTTCATGCAAATTAATACCTGTCTTGTATTAAAGCCTATCTCGAATAGAAGCCTGTTTTGAATACAAGCCTGATTTTCAAGATATTCCGTCGGCACATAAGCCTGGTTTTACTGTTGACACACATACCGTATATTCTCTATTATAAGCGCCGTGCTTATATTTGTTCAACACCCTTCTACTTATATTGGAGACCGCGCTTATATTGGAGACCGTGCTTATATTTTTTCAACCAATGCATCCATACAGGGCAAGAAGAAATACATGCTAGATATCATGCATGCCGCGTTGATTTCCACCAAGACCGTGCTAATAATAGAGACCGTGCTTATAATGTTTCGAAAGGTGCTCACAGTGTGCTAGTATTAGAGACTGTGCTAGTAATGGAGACCTGTGCTTATAATAGAGAATATACGGTAAAATTAAAATACCTGATTTGAATAGAAGCCTAGCCCTTACATCGGCTTCTACATGAATAAGCCCGGCTTTAATGCGCGACACTACGGTATCACCGGGCTTTGAACACAATCCATACAATATCAGTACTGCTGCTACCTCCCTTACCTGTGACGGCATGTGCATAGGTCATGACTACCTCAGCACACTCCGGTGCACGCGTATCATCAATATCTTCCACCTCGCGATAGTGTGCCTGCCAAGCAGTGGGTGAGGATAGCGATTTCTCCACATGCTCCATGATCACTGCAAACATACATAGCAGAAAGAGAGGGAGAGAGAGAGAGAAAGATAAGGCTAAAAAATAGCGAAGCCCCCATGATGCTCATTTATTCGAATAGTGACCGAATACTATTAGTTTTTCATTGGTTTGAGGGAAAGATGCAAACGGGAAAAGTCTGAAGAAAAATGAGGGTCACCACTAGGACTCGAGACAGGGACCTTTGCTTGAGGCCAGTAACTATTAGCTTTATTGTATTTCACTGATTCTACCGCTGTAACATAGAACACTTAGTCCTTACACATCTCTTCTATAGACAGCCAGGCAGTGAGTAGATCCTTCTGTTCCAGCATCACGAGCAACGCTTGCTTCTCCGTGGCAGTGGTCGGGGAGATGGTGCCCAGGTCGGAGATGAACGACAACAGTTCATCGATGGTGTGCGAGAGAAGAGACGGCTCGGCGAGGAGTTGCTCGCTGTCCTTGGCTAGCTTGGTGGTGACCAGGGATATCATTGCACGCACAAACAGTCTCTGCAAGAGGGCAGGGCCACAGGTGAAAGAAAAGAGACAGACGCATGCATGTACTGAGTGAATGCGCATAGAGTGTTGCTCAATGAAATCCGATCGCACGAGTCAAGCACACATTGAGCGTCCTTTTCGTCCAAGTAGTTTTGGGCTGAAAACAAATGTCGGACTATAGTCGATTCGTTCAGTTTTCAATACATGTTTTAGTCCATGGACAAAATTTCCGATCAAACATACTCCCGCTCGTATGTAGTTGGAAGAACCATTCACCGACTACATGTTCTACTTGTGCAGTAAGTGCATGTCCTCTACGAGCTCGTAGTGAGCAGCTTGCATGTCCTCTACGAGCTCGTAGTGAGCAGCTTGCATGTCCTCTACGAGCTCGTAGTGAGCAGCTTGCATGTCCTCTACGAGCTCGTAGTGAGCAGCTTGCATGTCCTCTACGAGCTCGTAGTGAGCAGCTTGCATGTCCTCTACGAGCTCGTAGTGAGCAGCTTGCATGTCCTCTACGAGCTCGTAGTGAGCAGCTTGCATGTCCTCTACGAGCTCGTAGTGAGCAGCTTGCATGTCCTCTACGAGCTCGTAGTGAGCAGCTTGCATGTCCTCTACGAGCTCGTAGTGAGCAGCTTGCATGCCGTCCCTGGCACTGCATTACACTATTTACACTACAGTTGGCTCCACTAAAAATGAACTTGCAAAGAGTGAGTTTCGTCAGCACGGACAACGGTTCGCTATATTTTTTTGCGAACCGTTGTCCATGTCCCTGTTTGAACTCATACAAAATTGACCCATTGTAACAAACCGTTTTCGCTAGTAACAAACCATAGTTTGTAGGACCGCGTGTTAACCAAGTGCACTCATACTGTCATGAGCCACTTGCCAGTCATGACTTGCTGCTTGTATAGTGTGAGTGCACGTCTGTGATAAAGAACTTTGGCTATAAAGAACTACAGTCATGGCAAGTGAAATCCGACACTTGGCATAAGGGACTGCACCATGCAGTCTGCAGCCCCTGCAGCCCTGCATACGTACAGTACATGTGTTACATATAACTTCTATCTGCCTCATGACAGTAATCGTACTCATCACAATCAAGTAGGGGTGAATGTTGGCACTGAGATCCCGAGTTCGAGTACTCTGATTTTCTCCGATCGATATTCGAGTATTCGAGTATTCTTCATCTCCTAAAAATTGCACACCAAGGGCCTTAAAATCACATGATACAACCCTGATTGAACCGAGTAGCAGTCATTTTTCTCGGGTATATTGGTCCGTGGGTCATTTGGGCTCTCTCTACTCGTGAACAAATGTTCACCACACAGTCTGCACCTCAATATCTGCCGACTGCTGCTCTGAAACTGCAGATTTCTGTGATAAATGCATGCACCATGTATGAACGAGTACTCTGATGTATTCCGAGTACGATTACTTTTGAAAAAACCGAGCGAGTAGTCGAGTACTCGGTATAATTGTTTCACCCCTACAATCAAGGTTCAGGAGACGAGTGTACATATACTAGGGTGCCATGCATCGCTCAGCTAGGAGAGAAGGAACGGTACAACTATAACGGCTGAACATGACATACATGTACGTATCAAAAATGCAAACCGAAATTCAGACGTAACCCCGTTCACTCACCTCGACGGGAACAGGATTTCCACAGCACTCACTAAACAGTGGCTGGATGGTACCCTTCAGGAATGAAGCATGAGCGGTAATCCATGAGCGGATTTGAGTCAAATACCACTCCGGCTACGAAGGCACAGAACACACACACAAAGATAGTGAAACGTCAGTTTAAACGAAGAGATGCAACTGCACATGGACAGCGCCAGCGAGCGACTGAAACAGGCAGCCCTCCGGCAAGACCAGCATCATTAATTTTTGCGCTCCGCCTTCAGGAGGTTGTCTCTATGCAATTCCAGCACTCCATGGTGATGCACAAAACACCCCCACGGCTTCATGGATGCTAGGAATCCTTGGCGTCAAAAAAACATCCTCACAGCTTCATGGATGCCAGCAACTCGCCGTGGGGTTCCACAACCCTCGCCACCGCTTCATGAATGCTGGCATTGATCCATAGTCGTGTTCCACAACCATCGCCACAGCTTTATGAATGCTAGTGCTGATCCATGGTGGTGCTCCTGTGCACAAAACCTTTCCACATCATCAACGCTTACCTTCTTGATGTCATTGGTCTGGCGTTTGCTGTGGAAGTGATAGCGGAAGCGTTTTCTCAGCGGCTGCAGCATCAACTCCAGCGGATAGGACGGGTCATCATGCTGTACAGTGTCGATACAGCTGAGGAGAGAACATACAGAAATGGAGACACACACAGAGATAAGACAGACAGACAAGACATACAGGCAGGCAGAAACACAGACAGACACATCACAGCATTGCGGCACAGCGACGGCATCGATGAGTGTTCATTGAGCAGTCAACAACCGACCATTCCCTATGGGTTTACACCGAACAAACACTCCAATTTGAACGCTAAACCTTTCCTGGTTGGAGCTGCGGTGTTCACACCAAAAACCAGGCCCCCCTGCAGCTTATACCCCAAACTTGCAGTTTCATTCTTCAACGTTCAAACAAAAACACAGCACTGGAGTGTTATCCTTTGCCTCGGGGAGGTGTAGTAAGGGGGAGGGTTACAGGTTATGACCTGGTCCAGATCTGGTCCCCAGAAAAAATGACACATGAGGGAACAGTGGGAGTGGTACATGCACACAAGTAAGTCACACCATATGTATGATTACAACACAGTATGGTAGTACCAAGCACACACATAACAACAACATGATGTGATGAGCACAGCATTGGGGTGCTCAGCACACACATACCAACATGGTGTGCACAGCGTTGGGGTGCTCAGCACACACATACCAACATGGTGTGCACAGCATTGGGGTGCTCAGCACACACATACCAACATGGTGTGCACAGCGTTGGGGTGCTCAGCACACACATACCAACATGGTGTGCACAGCGTTGGGGTGCTCAGCACACACATACCAACATGATGTGCACAGCGTCGGGGTGCTCAGCACACACATACCAACATGGTGTGCACAGCGTCGGGGTGCTCAGCACACACATACCAACATGATGTGCACAGCGTCGGGGTGCTCAGCACACACATACCAACATGGTGTGCACAGCGTTGGGGTGCTCAGCACACACATACCAACATGGTGTGCACAGCGTTGGGGTGCTCAGCACACACATACCAACATGATGTGCACAGCGTTGGGGTGCTCAGCACACACATACCAACATGGTGTGCACAGCGTCGGGGTGCTCAGCACACACATACCAACATGGTGTGCACAGCGTCGGGGTGCTCAGCACACACATACCAACATGGTGTGCACAGCGTTGGGGTGCTCAGCACACACATACCAACATGATGTGCACAGCGTTGGGGTGCTCAGCACACACATACCAACATGATGTGCACAGCGTTGGGGTGCTCAGCACACACATACCAACATGATGTGCACAGCGTCGGGGTGCTCAGCACACACATAATATCATATGCACAGCATTGGATCACGAGCACACACATACTATAAAACCGGAAAGTTTAACGACCAAAAAGTTCAAAAACGTTTTTTTGTCATTTTGGCATGATAACGTGCAGAAAGTTCAACGATGGCTACCTGGCCACCCATCTGTATGCACATCTTTACACAGACATCTCAAACCGGGTTCGCGGATTTTCCGGTTTTACAGTAACATGATGTGCACAGCATCGGAGCCCCAAGCACACACATACCAACATGATGTGGCTACGACAGGACTCACAAAGGTTTGAGCTTGAACATCAAGTGCAGCTGCTGACGGAATGTGCTAAGCAACTCCGTAGGAACTTCAATCTTCTGAGCAGTTCCGCTCACAAACGGCCAGTGAAGGGCTTTTAGTGTCTCCTCAAAGTCTCTGAAGGGATACAAGTGAGAAAAAAATCAGTCAATTCCACACCATGTGTTGATTTTGAAGAAAAAAAAGAAAAGAAATGCCGAAACCCGGGATTGAACCAGGGACCTTTAGATCTTCAGTCTAACGCTCTCCCAACTGAGCTATTTCGGCCTGCACATGAGAGGAAAGCTGTAAGTGGCACCACATACCATTCCTTATAAGCCTTTCGCATGATGGGACAACAAACCATGGCATAGGTCCGCAAATCACACAGTTCATGTGTTTCTTTGCTGGATAAATCCCCCGCGGCGGAATTCCTTCATTGCGTCATGTTTGGTGCAATGCGATGAGTCATCCCGATGAATTCTTCTAAAAGTTGCAGTCAAACCGGGATGCTTCCTCAGGGTATACTGCCGAAACTGCGATTCTGATCGGAGTAAAACAAGAAGTAAAACAAAGCGCACGATCCCAAACTAGTTTTTCGACGCCAGTGGTGACTCTTTATCGCCTTCTTCTTTCGCCAGTGCAGTCAGTCTCTTCAAAAACTATTTCCGGTGCTTTCCTCGAAGATAATTTCAAACGATTGAGGAAATTGAGAAAGCATCGAAGGAGCATTTCTTGGCTGAGTTGCACAGCTATCACATATGCTTATCCTCGATGGCCGGCAATGCAATATTTTTTGCAGCGTCCTCATTTGTTCCTGTCGACGATGTCCAGGGATTCTTGAAGAAAGAGTTTGTTTTTGAGAAAGTACGACTTGTACGTTCGAAAATAATGTCTTCAAAAAAAGCTTTGAAATGTCGAGGCTACAGCCTTGAGTTAGGAGCGGTTCCGGGTGTAGTTTCCAGAAATCACAAGGAACCCAAATTTACCTCGGATGGCACGTTGCGCATGACGTAATGTAGGAATTTCGCCGAGCGCTGGGTGAATGCCAGCTGCACACTCTTGGGAGTTATGAACTCTTGATACTACATTGCAGTAATATCGGGTGCCGGAGAAAGTAGTGCCGAAGAACGGACAGGCGAAAATTTCACCAAGCACAGCATAGCGATATCAAGAGTACATAACCCCCCGGAGTGTGCAACGCCGATCCAGCTCTGCATAGGGTCTTGGTCGAGCGGAATCGGATCTTCTGATGTCATGCGTACACTCCACACCAGCGCAAGGCCGGTCTCGAGGCAGGGCACCACTGTTTTCGATCCGAGAGTACCCGCGACTCCCCGGGTTCCCCTCAAATGTGTACGGTATTATGACGCAAAGATCCGATTACGCTCGACCAAGACCCTATGCAGAGCTGGATCAGGCGTTGCACACTCTGGGGGGTTATGTACTCTTGGTGATATGCATGCAAGGTGATTCTACTGCACACAGACTGCTGTACAGTGAAACCTGTCTAAGACGACCGCTCAAGGGACATTCAAAACGTGGTCCCTGTTACCAGGCGGTCTCCTTATCCAGGGTCATTTGACTGGAAATACCATCCCTTAGTCCTGGTTTAAGTGGTCTTCTAGGACAGGTGGTCGCCTTATCCGAGTGGTCGCCTAGACAGGTTTTGCTGTACATGAAAATAAGAACGGTCCAGGCTACGAGGCTGACCCAATCAGCTGTGCAACCAGTCTTTGCTTGAGCACAGTGGAAATTAAACTTGTCAAAGCCGACCAACGCCCATTCACTAATCAAGGATCTCAAAAACGTGGTCTCCGCATACCAGTAGTTTCACTCCCCTTATCCAAGGTCTTTTTTGAACTGGAAATGGCCCCCATTCGGTCCAGGTTTTGGTGGTGGCCACATCATAGGGATTGCCTTGACTGTGTCGCACTGTGGCTATATGCACACAACACATGTCCTTACTTAGTCAGCAAAGCCTCAAGGATGCGACGCCAGTGCTGCGCTTGAGAGTCGATGCAGCTGTGTAGATGACCTGCATCGCTGAGCCAGGACTCCCTGGCAGCATCCTGTAACTTCAACAGGTCATGGAAGACGTCGACGGCCGACGCTGTGTTACCCTGTCCATGATGTGTTGAGATCTCAACGCTGTAAACAAGAGAGAGAGAGAGAGAGAGAGAGAGAGAGAGAGAGAGAGAGAGAGAGAGAGAGAGAGAGAGAGAGAGAGAGAGAGAGAGAGAGAGAGAGAGAGAGAGAGAGAGAGAGAGAGATAGAGATAGAGAGTGAGTGAGAGAGAGAGAGAGAGAGAACATGTTTGATCTCCAAAGGCACTAAAAACATAAAAACGTAAAAGAGCAACAGAATTTTTCTCCACGGAGAGTCACTCTGATTTCTTGGGGTGTGTACACCCCATGTAGTTCAGACCTAATTTCGTTCACCCAGGAACCGAGTTACTTTCCAAACAAAAACTTCTGCTTGTACAAGTTGTACAGCACTGTGTACCCACATACATATTCCATCGAGGACTTTCACCCACATACCATATTCCATCAAGGACTTTCACCCACATACATATTCCATCCAGGACTTTCACCCACACACACACACACATACCATATTCCATCGAGGACTTTCACACACACACATACCATATTCCATCGAGGACTTTCACACACACACATACCATATTCCATCGAGGACTTTCACACACACACACACATATCATATTCCATCCAGGACTTTCACACACATACCATATTCCATCCAGGACTTTCACCCACTGCAAGTAGTGCTGGCAGCGCAGAAGAGGCTGAGCGCGGTCCAGCAGAGAGCTCAGCTTGCTGCACATCGCTCCTGCACTCTCCTGACAGCGCTCTACCTCGGTCGACACCTGCAACAACAAGATATATACACGCGCACACACACACACACGCACACACACACACACACTTGCATGCACATGCACAAACCTTCCTTCCTTCTTCTCCACTGCCATGACTGGCTAAGTGGCCCCATACGGGGCAGCTCTTGGATTAGCGCTGTCTCCGGGAAGCGGCACCAGGACCCGACGACTGACGTGACGGCGCATTCCCACGGGTTATAATTGCTATTGAACGCCGCGATGTACAACGATGCCGTGCGATATCCTGACGGCGGCGGAAACTGCGGCTGCACACACCGCAAAGCAGAGGCTTGTCGACAGGCTCTTGACGGGCAAGTACAATACGATCCACCCCATCAAGGCACTGGGACTTCCACTCACGGCGATTACTTGCCACGTCGAGCCAGGAATTGGGCTCAATGCCAATTGCCGCCAGGTCGGTCCGCACCACGTCCTCTTGATTTTTTTGCTTTGGACGCCGTATTCAAATTTCCGTCAGTGTCGACAAGAGTCCTGACGTTCCACGTTCCCAGAGACAGAACAACCTTTCGAGCCGCTGGTGCACGCGAGTGAAAAGACTCTGGGCGAGGGTTTGCAAGACCTCTACACCCAGGCGAAAGAGGGTCAGCGCGAGTGGTCACATCCGAAGTGGCCATGTCGTCAACGCTGAATTTTTCCTCCTCCGCGGCAGCAAGATGAAGACTGCCTTGTCTAACACCGCGTCACTAAGTGTTTTCTACTCACCAGGGCTGGCCCTGGCAGAAGCCAGGAGCCAGCCCGTGGCCCCAAACTCACAACGAAGAAAGAAGAGTTCGGAGCCCCAAAAACTGCTTCCTCCTCTCTCAAGAGAAAACACACACACATGCACAAACACACACACACACACACACACACACACACACACGCACACACACTTGCATGCACATGCACACACACACACACACACACACACACACACACACACACACACACACACACACACACACACACACTTGCATGCACATGCACACACACACACACACACACACACACACACACACACACACACACACACACACACACACACACACACACACACACACACATACGACGTTCATTTTAAAAAGCATACCGGCAATCAAATGGCGGCAAGAGTGAGACGAGGGCATGCATCTCTGTCATGAGCATAGACCAGTTGCATAAGTGGAAGCCAGCACCCAGGATGTCACGGATTCGAAGTGCTTAGCGGACAAGCATTCAGAGTCAGACCATTGCACTTCATTTTTCGCTGCTTGTGCTCTTCACATGTTTATGACATGTACCTTGAATACTAACTTACTAAGCACACTTTTCTGTGGCCCATGGGGTGGGGGGGGGGGGGTGCTAGCGTACGTCTTAGCACAGTTCCACTGTATGTGGACTAGAGAAGCAAATAGCCTTTCCTTGCATTGCGCTTCAAACTTACCTGAGTACATTCCTTGACCGTTCTGTCCACTTCATTGATATAGTTGTCGGCCGAGTTCACGGCTGCGTCGAGTGCTGTTGAAGATCCACTGGAACTGGCACTGGAGATCTAAACAACACAACAACACAGTGCATGCTCAATCTCATCCAATTGCTCCCCTCGGTCTCATCTGATTGCTCCCCTCAGTCTCATCTGACTACTCCCCTCAGTCTCATCTGATTGCTCCCCTCAGTCTCTTCTGATTGCTCCCCTCAATCTCATCTGATTGCTCCCCTTAGTCTCATCTGATTGCTCCCCTCAATCTCATCTGATTGCTCCCCTCAATCTCATCTGATTGCTCCCCTTAGTCTCATCTGATTGCTCCCCTCAATCTCATCTGATTGCTCCCCTCAATCTCATCTGATTGCTCCCCTTAGTCTCATCTGATTGCTCCCCTCAATCTCATCTGATTGCTCCCCTCAATCTCATCTGACTGCTCCCCTTAGTCTCATCTGATTGCTCCCCTCAATCTCATCTGATTGCTCCCCTCAATCTCATCTGATTGCTCCCCTCAATCTCATCTGATTGCTCCCCTCAATCTCATCTGATTGCTCCCCTTAGTCTCGTCTGATTGCTCCCCTCAGTCTCATCTGATTGCTCCCCTCAGTCTCATCTGACTACTCCCCTCAATCTCATCTGATTGCTCCCCTCAGTCTCTTCTGATTGCTCCCCTCAATCTCATCTGATTGCTCCCCTCAATCTCATCTGATTGCTCCCCTCAGTCTCATCTGATTGCTCCCCTCAGTCTCATCTGATTGCTCCCCTCAATCTCATCTGATTGCTCCCCTCAGTCTCATCTGATTGCTCCCCTCCGTCTCATCTGACTACTCCCCTCAGTCTCATCTGATTGCTCCCCTCAATCTCATCTGATTGCTCCCCTCAATCTCATCTGATTGCTCCCCTTAGTCTCATCTGACCACTCAGAGGCGTCACACACGGTACGACCAGTATGACCATGGTCGTACTACTTTTCGTCCAGGATGGTCCGCCCAGAGCGCCAAAACGTGCCCTGTTGGCCGAAAAAATCCAATTTTCCCTGGACACCCCGGTCGTACCACCCCCCACCCCCTTTGCCCTGTGACGCCCTCTGTCACCACTAGCACAGTCGTCCCTCTTTAATCCGGCACTTTATAAACCAGCACCCTCTGAAAACCATCATAACTACCGTAGAATCCTGTGGATAAGCCCGTGGGCTTATCTGTTTCACGAGGACATTTCGGTGGGCTTACACAAGAACATGGGCTTACACGCGGGCATGGGCTTATACGCTGACACCAAAACTGTGCATTGAAAAGGACCAAGGAAGTGAGAAATATATTGGCTGAATTGAAAGCCACTGTGCAAACAAAAACAACCGATGATTGTGTTGAAATGTACAACAACAAACACTACATGTACTATGTACATGGTATGATCAAGAGTCCATAATTTATGGACTCTTGGTACGATTTAGGCCCATGGGCTTGTACGATGAAGCTTTGTGATGTTCCAACTTTCCCTGGGCTTACACGCGGGTGGGCATATCCGCGGGATTCTACGGGTATCAGTAACCAAAATGTCCTTGCAATTGGCTTCTGCTTTGCACCCATGCTAAAATTTGTCACCACTCCAGTACTCTTTGCGACGTGTAGTTTATAGCGCAACACTGACTTAGCACTTATGCTAGTTGTGTCTGGTGGAGTTCACAACACCTCCATTCTGCACTATTCCTTTCGTGCTGGTTTCTCACATGGCATGTGGGTTAGTTGAGTGTACATACATCATGTGCAACAGTATTTAGCTCAACCCTTTCATTCAATAACTGCTTCTCCTCTGATTGACGAGTTCTCATCATCTTATGGAACGAAACAAGACTTGTCAGGAGTAACACTACTTGCTACCGTGGAGTGCGGCTGGTGAAGTGTTTGTGCTGGTGTCTGCAAGTGCTGTGTGGTCTCGTCTTGTCAAGAAAATAACCGACCACAACTATGAATGGACGGACCAAATGAAGATGGCATCAACAGATTAGTAAAATTGGAAACGAGCCATCAACTAAATTCTGGAGAACACACACGATACGAGTGTAAAGATAAGGACAAAAAATGAAGTGTGTATATGCATAGTTCACGTGTGACACCGCTAAATTCCGATCCCGCAATTGTAGTCTAAGGTTTCCCAAACTTGAAGAAGCCTTTCCAAAGTTTGTTAACAGCGAAAGGCTTGAATTGGAATTGCAATTTGAAAACAACAAAAATTCACATACTTGTTGGCTAATTTCAGCTCTCTCAGCCAGCAGCTCCTGCAAGACTTTTCTAGCACGTGGGATATCATCAATGCAGACAATCCGTAGCTGCTCGTCTAAATACTGCCGCTGCTCCTCCATTGCTTCGTGTTTGGAATCACTAGAACTGTTCCCCACTGCCACTGGGTATGCACGAACTAGGACAAGTAAAGGTAGTTGTCATGGTTTAGGGGGTTTGTGCATTGTGCTTGTTTTTCATTAATTTTTTGAAGAAGCAGGATTCAGCTCCAAACGAGATGAGATGACATAATAATGACATCAACTTTGCATTTCTCTCAAAAATTTGCAAGAAAAGTCGTTTCCCGCGGTCACTCGAATTCGCGAATCCGTTGCGAAAAGTAAACATCCTCTTTCCCTGCGCTGCACTGCTTCATGCTTGCGTCGTTGTGTACGAATGCTGGGAGTTTTGCGGTGTGTACTACAAATGTCATGAAGTGAGCAGTCATATCGATGCATCGAAGCTTCTCTCTGGAAGGTTGATGGCACTGTACTTCTTGCTGGGACGAAAAGCTGTGTTGTAGAGCTGTTCTATTCAGGAGAGCGTATCAAATGTGACTCGAAGCTAGCCTGTGGGCATGTCGAGCGCCAAGAAATTCGTGGACCCGGAATGGGATCTGATGATGGAGCAACGCGGGCTGTCGAGAAAGCAGGTTCGCCGGAAGACCGGTTTGAGCAATTTCTTCGGCCTGAACGCCCAGCAGACGGATGCAGTGCTGAGAACGAAGACGATACCGCCAGAAGAAACTGACGTGTCTCCTGTCCTAGTAAAATTGGGCGCGGGTGAAGTCCTGGAATTCAGTGCTCTGCCGAAAGCGGAGGCCGACATAGATTTGGAAAATGGCCAGCGGCCTCGCTCGAGCACGTTTACCAGTGGAACGTGGAGTCGTATGCTCAAGATGAACAGTAATACTAGCGGCAGTAAAATGGACGTAACTCATAAACCTGGTTCTTCTCCAACCAGTCCCAAGCGAGGATCTGGAGTAGCGTCCTTGCTCAAGTACAGTTTTCGCAAGGACCGTGACCCGCGCTGTCAGCAGACGCTGCAGCAGCAACAGCCGGAGCTGGAGTCGGGCGTCCATTCCTGGTTCTCGGACATGCCGCCCGGTCACGCGGCTGCAGAGGCCGAGCGAGGACGACGGCAGACCGTTTCCGAGGGTGGTCTATCGGCGCGTGATCCAGCCACGCGGATGACACTGGCACCCACCTTCACTCCGCCGCCAACAAGACGGGCGCGTGGCGGAGAAGAAGAGATCAAGCTGACGCCAGGCAGTATTTCCATACCCTCGGCGTTGTCATGCCAACGTTCATCCAGCGTTCACGTAATGTCATCGTCTTGCGGCAACACCAAGACCCAGGGAGCAGAATCGCGGACATTGAGCAAGAGTGTCGCAGCTCTGGCGCGAAAAGCAACACCACCGTATCCGAAGCATGGAGCACCGCATTCGCAATGCCAACAGCAGGCATCGCTCTCAGCGCAGTGTTCAAGCAGCAGTACGGCGTCAAGCGTCTCGTCATCGGCACTTTTCGCTAGACGAGCAAGCCCCGGGCAAGCAGCAGCGCCGGTCTCGTCATCGACCGCATGCTCCTCACCTCCACCACTCCCGGCAACTACAGCAGCCGTGTCCTTGTCGTTCCAGAGCAAGCCAGAGACCAGTGGTGGCGGCGGCGGTGCAAGCAGCAGCAGCAGCAGCCTGTCGCAGTCGTGCTGTCGCCTCAGGCAAAATCTTGTAAGTGTGTGTGTGTGTGTGCGTACATAGTTGGACTCGAGTGGAGAGCCAAGGATTTCTAGGAAGAACAAAGGACCACTGAACTACAAGTTACGCTATAATGTCCACTAACATCATCAGTTACTTGACAATCAACTTGCTACTTGTCAAGTAACTGGTGGTGAATAGTGGGCATTATAGCGTAACTTGTAGTTCAGTGGTCCTTTGTTCTTCCTAATACCAAGAGTACATAACCACATAACCGTGGTTATGTACTCTTGGTAATACCCTATGTGTGTGTGTGTGTAGGGGGGGGGGGGGGGTGTCATGTGCTATACAGTCATGTACAGGGGTGTCACACACAGCTCAACTAGTACCACCATGGTCGTGCCACTTTTCATCCAGGATGGTCCACCCACGGCCACGGTGCCTGTAGAGTGCTAAAACGTACCCGGTGCAGCGTGGCTGAGGTGGGGGGGGGGGGGGGTGTAGGTATGCTGTGTAGTAGGATGCAGTGCAGTGTTCCCTGTTGCCTCCAGAAGTTGATACACGTGCTGTACTGCTCTGATAATCGAATGGTCCGCATTCGTTGAGTGTGTCTCATGCTGTAGCAATAATCAGTCAGAAAGTGCGATAACAGGGCACAAAACTGACAGGCTGCTGAGACATTGAACGGTAGTTGGTTCCGATAACTCGTTCCCGTGTGTTTTCTTCTACTTTACATTTATTACTGGCTCAGGATCCGAGTTAAATGTCTCATTATTGTCTATTTGTTGTCGAATCTCTTGCACCGCACTGCAGGCTGATATTCGTCAGCAGGACTTTGCCATTCTCACCACACTGCTGAAACTACGCGGTGAGATTCGCGACCTGAACTCAGTCAGTGCCTCGTTCGAGAACGACGCATGCCTTGAGTCGTCCTCGCTCTTCACGATATCGTCCGAGGGCATGGTGACGCGGCAAGCGAGCAACATGACCGTGACGGGGACCATCAGCGATGCGTTCCTGCCAGTCAGCAGCAATACCAGCATACACGGTGGGCACGACAAGCTTGTCATGCCGGGATTGGCCACGCTGTCTTTAACCGCCGTCACGTCGTCCACTGCCCAGCCGAGTTGTAACGGTAGCTACACCGTCGCTTCTGCTGCCGATCGCCAAGACATAGCACAGCATAGCGATGATGACGATGATGATGATGGTTACAAATGCGATCCTGCTGACGATAATTTCTTTCAGGAATGCGGCGACAACGATTTTGGCGGCGGCTTTGGAATCAGGCCGCCACCTCACCTGCTCGAGTTTCTCTTGCACTCGGAGCCGCTGAGCTGGACGTCAACAACGAGTGCAGCAGCCGTACCCTCCTCATGCAGTGGTGGCTCGCAGCGATCCTCGTGCAGCTCCCTGACGAGCCCATCGTCCGAGTCCGAGCAGGATGACTCGCTGTTCGCTCCGTTTGACGACGGCTTGAGCACACCCGAGCGTCGTGTTGAGCAGCAACTGCCCAACTTCCGAGTACAGCTGCTCGGCTCGGATTCGGAACACACGCTTGTCAACGAGGTGGGAGCAATAAGCATGCAGGAGCCTATCCCGGAGGAGCCTAACCTTGACGGTGACATGGACTCGGATACGGCACGAGCCAGTTCGCTCCGAGCTCTTGATGAGGACAAGCTAGAAGGTCTTGACACCATGCCGGACACACACACGCTGCTGGCCCGATCCAGAGCATCGCTGGTCGATCGCTGTCATTCGGCCACTTCGGCACGAGGCTCGCTGGACATGGGCGAACCGCGCAGCGCTCCGGCGCGTTTCTTCTCTATGTCTGCGGCCCCACTGCCTGTTAACCAATCCTTCTCTGCCTACATCGATATTAACCAGGAGGGCCGCATCAGGACCGGCACAAGCACTACCAGCATATCACCGTCGTCGTCAAACTGCGGTAGACATTCTGGAGATCGTCAGGTTCCGTGGGAGGATTCCGACGATGCCGAGGCGAGCGGTGTCAATCGTGCGCTGACGCGAGACCGGGCCAAGACAATAGCGCGACGCCGAGCCCAGCAGATGCGAGTTTCCGGTCAGACCATGAACTGTGCCAGCGAAATGGACATTACCGCGGAAATCACCGGGTCCTTAGACCAGTGTTGTGATGATGCGGCTGGTGGCGGCGACGGAGAACAAGGGAAGGAGAACCTTGATGTCACTGGCAGCACTGGTGTGGGAAAGTCTGGCGGAGGCAATGGCAGCAGCAGCGGTATTGGGGATATGATTCAGCGTCTCTCTCGCCGCGGCAGCCAGATGCGATCAGCCGGCGACATGATGCGCCGCTCGACTAGCACACGACTGCCGTCTCTATCGGGCGGTGGTAATCCAGACAGCGGACGGCGCAAGAGTGGCGTCAGCACCACCGCCACCCCCAGGCACACGGACGGCGCAGCCGCCACTGCGGACTGTCACAAGAGCAGCACCTTCTCATACTCGCTGCGCGAGAAACGTGCTCACTCGCCGCACTCTGCTCGCGCCAGCCCCAACTGCGACGAATCGCTCGAGCACCAGCAGCATCGGCCCCGCGAGCGGCGCCTGTCCGATCAGCAGTCCCTGGCACAGCTCGACCTGGTGAAGCCCAGCACGAGGATGCCCTCTCGCCAGCTGTCCTGTGAAGCTGCTCCCAGCCGAGAGTCCAGTCACACTCGGTCGCCCTCTTTGAGAATACGGAGTGACATGCCGCGTATCCTCAACTATGGCTCGTTCCGCAGCAAGCTGAAAAGGAAGCAGCCGCCGTCCACTTGAGAACATGAGTATTGTAAGTCATAATTATCGTCCGCTTGCCAGAAATGGCTGCTGCTGCTGCTCCTGGAGCCTGGCGTCTGTTTGATCTCAACAAAGGCGGCTTTGTTTTGCTGAAGTGTTCCTAACCGTTGCAGCGCCGGTTGGGTCCATGTCTCCCCTGCCCCGCACCGGCCATTGAGCAATGGCGTGTTTGCTGTGCTGGCTACAGCAGCAACCCTTTCTTCACCTATGATAATGCCCGTGAGTGTGTGCGACAGATGGCATAGTGAGTGACTGCCATGAACCATACTGTGAAGCAGAAAAGGCCACGAGTATGTTTTGATCCCGAATATTCTGTATGGCAATGGGTCTGAAGTGCTAATGTAACCACATCAGTCCGCTAACTTCCTTCATCTGTCAGCTCAGAGAGTACACAGTTTCGGTAGAATGTTCTATATCTATATTTCAACTTGATTGGTCTGAACGGTGTTCCGCTTTCGACCGGAGCACACCTGGAGTGTATCCACCCGGTGTATGTGTGTGTGTGTGTGTGTGTGTGTGTGTGTGTGTGTGTGTGTGTGTGTGTGTGTGTACGCCGCCTTCCATATCATCCACGCAGTGGCATTGTTGATTCCGTGTGAGCTTGGCAGAGGCAGGCATACAGCATACGGTGTGTGTGCCGTACATGCCTCTCTGGCACTACTGACTTCATCTTGCATAGTTATACACCACCGTAATCATATTATTTTCTCCAACGCTACAGAGAAGGTACTCGGACTGACTACAGACCACCTCCACACCCCTATTCTTATGTCTGCCACTACTTACCCACTTTTTCTACCGCTTTTCTCTATTTTCTTCTAGTTTTTAGAAAGAGAGAGTTCTGTTTCATCTGCCTTTCCCCGAAGCAGACTATACCTGCTTCTGTCTGAAACCGCACGCCTGTGCTCCTTTTTCTTGCTCCTTTTTTCCCGTACTGAGAGGCCCGCTTAGTTTTTGTGCAATAGTCTCCAGAACAGCGCTGGTTGGAATTCTTGCCGTGCTTCCAGAAACTCCTGCGCTCCAGCACGCACACGTGCATTTTTCACCCGTCTACATTTCTGCCACGTTGATGCAATCGCGTGGCTAATTATCCGCAATGTTTCAGCCTAGCCCCTGCTAGGCACACTGTGGCTACAAGTTAGTTTTTTCTTAATTTTAATGATGTTTTTACCATTAATTTTTTTTCCGCTCTGCTGGCTCTGAGCATGTTGGTTATCAATGATAGAATTCACAACAGTACATGTAGTACGACAACACTATTGTAATTGTTTGTTTGTTTGTTTGTTTGTTTTTCATCAGGGGGCCCTATATGTATAGGGTTCCTGGGGTTTTATTTTTTTTATCACATCACATCCCATAAGTACTTTGGATCTGTATGCTCTGGCAGCTTATTCAAGTAACTAATGATTGAGCAGTCGTGCATGCGTGCAGAGTGCATTTCGTCTTCCCAATGTCCTGTGTACGGCGCCGTAGACTTTTGTGGGAGCATGCACCGTAGAGTGATAAAGGATGGGTTGTCTGCTCGCCACAAAGAGACTGGTACGGCAGTGCATGCATACTGGAAAGTACCGTTGATCCGCCATTCTCTCTACACATTATGTTTGGTGACACTCATATCATGAGAGCCGCAGGGAACCCTTGGCGGCCGGATAACGCCGGCAGAATTTGGTACACTTTGGTTGGCATAAAAATAAATTAAATAAATTTCACGGTTCGCGTGAGACTCGGCTGGAAGCCGAGTTTTCCGCATCCGCCGTGGGAACGCCACCACCCTCTAGGATCAAACCACCCTCTTTGGTTGGCATGTTTCATCCTTAATTTTATGAATGTTTGGTCTGTGGATAAAGAAATGGATCAGAATTCAAGTAAGTTCCCACCATAAGGTTTGTATGGTTCTGCCAATTTTATTTCACTGCTTTTTGAACAGACTCTGCCAGGCCTAAGGCCGCACTGTACATTGTATAGGGTTCACACGTACATGATTGCACTGGATGATGCAGTGTGTTCTACTCAGCCGCCGGAGACTGCTAAGTGTCGGTTGCGGTTTGCGGCTTCGCGGATCCAAGAGTTTGGTCAATGTATTTTCTGATTTAAATAAAACATAATAATTATTATACTTTCTGATTATAGTGACCAGAGTCTAGAGATAGTCCATGGACAGGAAGGGTCCCTACAACAACAGCATGTGCATCTACTGCTGCCGTATGTGCACACTGCTGCTCAGTGAAATCCGATCGTGCACTGCTTTGTACATACCGGTACTAGTCAAGTCAGTGCTCTGCACGTTATACTACTGTAAATACCAGGGAGTCGTAAAATACCGGTATTTTACGACTCCCTGGTAAATACTTTATAAGCTTTCATTGGGCGAGTTATTACACACATTTCGGTCAATTCTAGAACTAGTTATGGTGGATTACACAAATTCGTCAATCCTGAAGAGAGGGCGGGTGGAATTGCGTACGCCAGAATTGATGCACTCGACGTATAACACCATGCTAGGTCCACGTGCGCGCGAGGGTGCACGGGATCCCACGTGATCTCCTTTTTACGATATCTACGTACATGCAGTCGTTCGTTTACATGGCCGCAATCCGTTCATTCTGTTCATTCGAGAATTATCCCCAAAATCGAAAGCACCCCTCGAGCAGCACTGCACTGTACATGGCCCTGGGGTTTAGCACAGCACACTGCCAGGCCTACGTAACAACACATGTAGCCAGGAATAATAGGACACTCACAATTAACGCGTGCAGAGAAACACGGCAAACGGCAGGATGCGTTTACAACCGGGGAAAATAGAGAAGATAAATCGAAAGTTCGAAACAATCACGAGTGTGGTAGGTGGGTGGGTAAGGGGTGCACACTGCACAGCAAGGACACGACTGTCACGGTCACCAGGCAACTCATGCAGACAAACACAGTCAGCCAGGCAATAGCTGTGTGACATGACAAGACCAGCAGCAGTGGACTTGCATCAAAATGGGAAATGGGGGCAAAACTTGACGAAAAACACTGGGGTCGAAACGAGGAAAAAAACTAGACAGCAGGATGTAGATGAATAGAGTAAAGGCTATGTTGCACTGCAAAGGAAGGTGTGCCGAGTGGACGACGGACAGACTGGAGTGAACGAGAAAGAAGGCACGTAAGCGGCGGCTGGAGGGGGAGAGGCAAGAGCATGGTCGGGAAGTGGGACGTGGAGAAGTTAGACGGGGAAAAAGGTTCTATAGGATAAAATATGCTGAAAGCCCTGTTTATAATGCAGAAGATTACATTGCTATGCTGTCCCAGTAGCAACCGAAAGGTGCTCGCCGGGGGGAATTCCGGGATAAAATGTGAACATACAGAACGGTAAAGTGGTGGGAGGCAGAAAATACCGGCACAAGAGTTTCCACAAGACAATGAAACGGGTTTTTCAAATGACGTACGACGACAGAGCCCGAGCCGCTAGGAACGGCTTGACGAGACGGCGGTGATCGGAACGAGAGACGAGAAATGCGCGCGTGCGTGCGTGCAGCAACGAGGCAGCAGCAGCGGCGGCGGAAATAAAAGCGACTTAGCTGCTGCAGAGCAAGTGCGGACGGTCTATGCGATACAGTGGCAGATACGGACAGTTCGATAACAGTGGAAACGTGGTCAGGTGAGAATATATGAAACATGACCACCAGCTACAAGGTGCGAGTGTAGTAGAAGAGAGATACGGACACAGCGAGACGATACGACAACAGAGCACCGACGAGCAAGGCGGACAGAAACGGACAGTGCGGTCATAGTATTTCACGGCGCAACCCAATGCTGCTGCTGCTTTTTGCCATGCCACCACCGCTGCTGAGACAGAGGAAGTCCCGTTGAGCCGCCTGCACATTGTTATCATGCACAGATCCTGGAGATGGGCTCTCTCCCGCGCACATTGGCATGGCATGTTGCTAGGTCATCACCAGCAGTAGGCCTACAGAACGACGTGCTGATACGTAACATGACGGTGAAACGGACAGACTACGGACTACGATGCTGGTTGGTGTGCCGGGGTCTGCAGAGGAACTACCACGCAAACTACTTTCCGTGATGCCATGAACACCAGTCACACCATGCAGCCAGCACAGCATGGCATGACATACACGGCAGGACGACAGCCATACAGACACAATCAGCCGTGGGCGACGATGAAGAAGTACGGATAGAGAGGACGAACGAACGAGAGCACATCAAGACAGCGTTGACGGGGCAGAGCAAACGTTGCCAACTGACAAGAGGTTCAGACTGTGGGTACACCAGCTACTGGCGGCCACTAGGAGAGTGTAACATGTACTAGTACATAGATTGCGTGCACAGACGAGTGCTGGACGAGTGCAGGAAAACGAAGAATATCCCGAGTAGCAGATTAGTACATTGCAGACCGACTGTGAAGATGCACACGGAACTGACCGGCTGGTCTCAGCTGGCAATGGAGATTCCGCACGACTGCAGGCGAAGCGCCTGCTCCGTGAAGTAGCTGGTCGTGTCGACGTCCTCAGTGGCAAAGCGAACTAGCCATGGGTGAGCCTATTGCGCGAGAACACAGAACAGAGAGAAACCGACACCATGAAGGTGAGGTGAAGGCAAGACGACAAGAAAACAAGACATTACAGTCAGACCTCGCATAACCGCACACATCTGTTCTCCACAAAAATATCCGGATAGGCGAGGGCAGAACATGACGAATAGCTGAAAACCCCAAAGACTGAAATGCACTTGATGCAAAACATGTGTAGCTGCACACTCGCATCAACATACATTGTACTTGGCAAATATAAAACAAATTACACGTTTCATGTCTGAAACAGTGTAGAAGAGGTACTCGACGAGGCAGTTAACTCATGCACCTGTGCACTCCAGTCACAATACAGTAGATGGTGGAGTTCATGTCCAGATCAGATCATATCATAATTATCATATATCAGATCATATCATATCAGATCATATCAGAGCTCTCTTTCATAGAGAAACATTCACAACAAACACGTACCAGAAGGCCCTCTCTGTACTTGGGTCGATCTTCGTAGTTCTTGGTTAGGCTGTACAGGCAACAGTTGAACACGCACACACACACACACAGACATACACACACACACACAACTTTTGACCTTTGGACGCCCATCACCGGAGGCGATGATAGCGATGCTACAGCGGAAGCCATAGCAACTTGTGCTGGGATTGCACCATTCAACAGCTTGCAAGGCTGAAGAATTGACCACCACTGTTCAGCTTGGTCTACACCACACAGCTATTCGAAGTGGCTTTTTCTGGCCAGTGAATCCCTACTTTTTGGGCTTTTTTTCATTTTTCCCCCACAAGTTACTTTGAAGTAAGTGTGTGCAGAAACCCCACATATGGAAGAGCTTTGAGTGGCAGACGTGCTGTGTGACGTGTATGGCGTGTCCCCTATAGGATATGTACACCGAGTCGGTTGGTATTATACTATCAAAATGTACATGTAAACTCCAGACCTCGAAAAAAGTCAACACTAGTTTAAAACGACTTCAAACGTGATCGTGAACGCACTATGCAAGTCTGCGACACTGTACATTCAAACAGGTCCTCTTTACGTTGCGTTGCGTACAGGCAACAGACAGCAGCAGCAGCAGCACAAACTGAATTGTACCACCACCACCGCCACAACCACATTTAGTAGGTAACCAGAACGATGCCAACTGGCGATGTTGTTGAGGCAATGAAGAGATCACCATTTCTCACCGCCAACCAACTGTTCAGCCCTACAAGAGAAAGCATGACGAAATCACCAATGATTGAGAAGTATTCTGCACCAACAAGTCGACCCCGGTTTCAAGTCGACCTCCAGACTTGGGGCCTCGATTTACCGGTTTAAGGGCAGTTATACCCCGGTTGTAAGTCGACTTCCCCTTTTTAGGTCATTAAAAGGTCGACTTATAACCGGTAAAACAGGGTAAATCATGCCCTGGAAAGAGTCCTCAGTGTCAGCTTACCAGACAGCAACAAAGTCCACCATCTCCTCACTCCACTTCTTGTCGTGATTGTCAAGTCGTGGAGCGGCACCGTTAACTACTTCGTCCAGCTGCTCAAACACACTGTCCCACGGCCGATAAGGGAAGCGGCCCAGTGCCATCTCCAGCTGCACACACGTATACACACACGTATACACACACGTATACACACACACACACGCACCAAGAGCAGCAAGCAGGAAAATGCAATTAATTACTACAATTTCGTGGCTGGTCACTAGTCACGGTGGCCTTTAGTTACAGGTTTTACTGTAGCACAGTTCTAGTCGCGTTCAGCAGGGGGTCGGTCACAGTGCATTTTGAATTTGAGACCGTCCGTGCCTGGCGAAGTGGCCGGTAGTACCACTGCTGGTCGCTAGTCTGCACGGTGGTCTTTAGTTACAGGTTTTACTGTAGCACACTTTGAAGGACCTCTGTACACCAGCCAGGCAGCCAGCTAGCAAAGAAGCACCGTTGCTTGCTTACCAGAGTGATGCCAAGACTCCAGACGTCGGAGCGGATGTCGTATCCACCCTTAGTGCCATCCCTAGCCTCCTGTGGGCATATCCGCTCCGGCTGTATACACACACAGATACGCACGCCCACCCACATCCATACATGCGCATACACGCACACACACGCACGCACGCACAGACACACCAGGTGACAACGGCACAGACAATAATCAAGAAAAATCTTAGAGGCCTCTGGAAGTTTCTAACAGAAAAATGAAACACACCAAAATAGTATTTGCAATACAGAATGGCGTACAAGGTGTCATAAAAAGAAAGAAATTACAGCACTGTTCTGTTCTTTTTTTCCCTGTGTGTCAGAATCATGTCAAATCCATTCGTTTCTCCAATTCCGCCACACATTCCTGTCCTGCACCCACCTACAGAGGAGGTGGTCCCCCCCCCCCCACACACGCACAGACAAGTGTGTTCAACTCACCGCCATGTACGGTCGGCAGCCGACATCCTTGGTGATGGCAATCGAGTCGACCAGATAGCCGCTGATTCCGAAATCACACAGCTTCACATGGCCTTCCCGATCCACCAAGATATTGCTGGGTTTCACATCCCGGTGGATAATCTTGATTTGTTCCTTGAGATAGTCCAGGGCAAGAACCACGCTGCGTCCAATCTTACCGAGGATATTCTCGGGAATGGACGACTGCAGGTCCTTGAAGATGTATGTGATCCACTTGTCCATCGACGTACCCATCAGTTCCATGCATATCCACACGTCTCCCTGGCAACGGCACACACAACAACAAAATTTCACGGTTCGCTTTAGACTTAGTTCGGCTGAGTTTAGCATCCCCGCAGAAACGCCACCACCCTGCAAAGATCAAAGGCGCAGATGCAGCTCCTAAAGCGGTTGGAGGTGAGTAGATCAGTCCACCAGCAAAGTGGTCAAAGACTGAAAATCCCATTCACTGCATCCATGTATGTACACACACACACACACAAGTAGGAGGTAACGAGCGGGTTCTCTGCCAGGGGGGCGCCCTGCCCCAAAAATGGGGTATTATTGAAAATATGTATTATGTGCATGTATTATGTGGGTTCGAATCCCACTTTTTTTAGGGGTGGGGTGTTAGGCCGCAACCACACTACGTAAAAATCACAGTACAAAATTTCATGCATATCTCAGTACAAGTCGGTACGCAACCACACTACACTTTTCGGTCTGCATAGTTGACGTTTTCACGCGAACAGCACGTGAAGTTGTCGTACCAAAGCGTGTGCCGTGCGCTGGAAAAGACCGGGAAATTCAAAAACAATGCTGATGCTGATGCTATGTACGACGACCAGGTACAAAAACAAAGTTGTACACAGGAGATGGAGCGCGAAAACGACGAAAACGACAAACGTGGCATTCTACAGGGGTGCGCCAGTTGCTGAAAACCTACAAAGCGCATTTTGCATTTCGCACGCGTCGGCATGACGATTTCTACTGTAATGCAGTTTGTACGTGATTTTGTACCTAGTGTGGTTGCAGCCTTATACCCTACCCTAAACAATAAGGTATTATCAAGAGTACATACCCCCCAAGAGTGTGCAACTCCAGCTATGTGGTCTGCGACGGCAGAACTTCACATCACGTGATGAACCCGTACACATTATTTGCGCCATTTAGTATGAAGTATGGAGACCGATCGCGGCGAAAAGTGCGCTTCGCAAATGCAGCGCTCTGCGATATATTTTACCAGTTTCGATCGTGTTTTCGTTCCGTCACGCTGCTGCTAATAGAGATATAGCCTTCTCCAGCTAATGTCGACATCCTCTAGTCGTGGTAGACACCTGGAGAGAGCTGAAGCAGCGATATCTCCTCAGGATCTGAATCGAAACTGCCAATTTTCATCGCTGAAGCCATCACAGCATTCGCTCTCCAAGTACTGTCGTGGACATGGAAATCCAGTCGATTGACCGGGGCCGGCGCCCTCACTCAGCGCAGACAGAACGTAACGTCGTTGCATGCAGTGCACGTTGATCCGATATGATGCGACCAGCGAGCGTGCTGCAGCGTGTGTGTACTGCTTACCCACGGCTGCATGGCCAGCGCCCTGGGGCCGCTAGACGTGCGACCGGATTTCCATGTCCACGACAGTAGCAGCGAGAGGGAGGGCAGCGATGGCATAAAATCACCAAGGCAGGCGGAGGTCATCCACTAGTAACTATTTCTTGTCTTCTCAATCACCAATCCTCGCTCCACGTGAGTAGATCAGCAAAAACTACATATTTCAAATCTATACAAAGAGAAAGACCAAGGAACTACAAGTTACGCTATACTGTCCACTAACACCACCAGTTACTAAACAATCAGCTCATGCGATAACATTGCACGACACTGACCGACGGTACTGACGTTCTACAACTAACTGGCTATCAGCTCTAGCACATCTTGGATGCGCACTCCAACAGCCTTCCAACTTGGAAGGTTCTAAGTTATAGAAATAACATAAGGAGGGGAAGGTGAGCGCAACCAAGATGAGCACGAGCTGAAAGTCTCAGCTGTGAAGGACGTTGGCGAATGTTCATGCATGTCGATGACGATACTGGCAAGACCATTGGACAATACGGTCAAACCACGATTCAGGAACGCAAAGCAACATTCCACACAACTTGTGTGGCTCAAAAGATGCGAAGATCAATAAAAGGGTTGAGCCACACAAGTTGTGTGGAATGTTGCTTTGCGTTCCTGAATCGTGGTTTGACCCTGTTGTCCAAAGGTCTTGCCAGTATCGTCATCGACATGCATGAACATCCGCCAACGTCCTTCACAGCTGAGACTTTCAGCTCGTGGTCATCTTGGTTGCGCTCACCTTCCCCTCCTTATGTTATTTCTATAACTTAGAACCTTCCAAGTTGGAAGGCTGTTGGAGTGCGCATCCAAGATGTGCTAGAGCTGTTAGCCAGTCAGTGTCGTGCAATGTTATCGCATGAGCTGATTGTTTAGTAACTGGTGGTGTTAGTGGACAGTATAGCGTAACTTGTAGTTCCTTGGTCTTTCTCTTTGTATAAATAAAACCTTGGCTCTCCATTTGAGTCTATTTCAAATCTGAAATTAATAATTGCAATAATTTGAATATTTGACGCAATTGTTTGCGTCTGGTATTTAGACGATACATCCGTTTTCCGCCCCTTCTGTTGCTGTTCATGCATGCAACTAGTGCCTGTGGTATCCTTCTGTCACTGTGCGTCCCAATGGCCGTCCCTGATACGTCTATACTTTATTTCAAATGTAGCGATCTCAATGGTCAGAATTACGCACAATTGGCACATAATTGGGTATTCCGTGTGTGCCCTCCACTTATAGCTGCATGCTGGATTACAATATGTTGACAAATGGACCCATTCATTACTATAGATTCAGAAAAACATAACTTGCACATACAAAATGCATCTAGATTTTATCCTATAGGTCCATCATTGACGAGGAGTACCCTACGCATACATTGGATGCGCGGTACATAAAGGGTTAAGACCAGTGTTGCTACACCCGAATCGGGTTGACTTGACTCCGATGGAGATTGCCGAGTATCTGTGTAGGATCTCATCAATGGTTTTGGTCAGCGGCGAGAAACGCCAACGTCTCCCGAAGATCGTCGTGGACGGTGTGGAGGATTATGGGACAGCATCAAGCCGGGATACTGGCAGACTGCTGCGATGCTGGGACGATGGACGCAGGTCCATGTTTAACCTGTCGAAGGCTGACGGCGCCCTCGATAACGTCGAAGAGACATTCCGAGACGCTGAAGAGATAGAAGGCATGGAAGTCGTCCAGTTGATTAAGGACTTGAATGGCAGGAAGATCTTTCGGCAAGACTTGAAGATAAATAAGTACACGACTAAAGCTGTTCAACTGTCAGTCCTCGCAACAAGGATCACACGCATTGTCGTACGTGTCGGCACAATTGACATCGACGTACAAGGCCATCATACGAAGATGCCTGAAGTAGTGTGTGACAGTATCGAAAGCCGGAAGAGGAAGGCGGCTGATAGCATCGTTCGTGATGATGTAGATCTGGCTGAATCACTCGTCACGATCCAGGCGTCTGAGACATCCCCTGTGATCGAAGTTTCGAGAAAGCGCTCGTGGGTCGTACCTTCTGTACATGTCTTTGATGACTAAACTCTCTCTCTCTCTCCTTGTCTCTCTCTCGACGGCGTGCGATGCCCTGTTGGCCGTCCACAGTTTCCTTAAAAGTACCACTGCTGACGAACCCCAGCTAAAAAACATAAAAAAATCAAAAAAAGACATTCAAGCTGTCCGTCTCGTCTACCTGAAGCTGAAGAAAACCCAGAGTTTGCTGCGCATGGAGGACGAGGCAGACTAGAACGCTGACCTCTCCTCCATCTCAGACTTTCTCAAGAACCCCGAGGTAACGGAGGACATCGAGCGCCTGATGTCTGAACCTCCGACACCAGACGCACACCGACACCTTGTCCACTACCTCGCGCTGGCATTGGCGTTGGCCAATGGGCAGAGGCCGAGTGCAGTCAACAACATGACCCATGATGAATACGAGAAAGGAGTGAAAAAAAATGGGTGACGACGGCAAACTGGTGGTGGGGGTGAGAAATCACAAGACCGGGGCTACCCACCTTGCGTTTGTGTGCGCAGACGGGATCCAGTTGCGTGCCATGATGCACTACAATCATCAGTATCGGAGACTGATGGCCGCCAGCAGCGACGCCTTTCTTCTCCTCCCGAGCGGTGGACAGATTGAGTCCAAGCACCATAGCAAAATGGTGACCTGGATCGGAAAGAAGTACGGACTCAAGATGTCCACTGCAACGGAGGGGAGGAAGCTCATAGAGTCAAAGGTCTTTTCACCATCTTTGGGCGGGTTTGGGAGAGCAAGATCAAGGCAGTGGCAGGTAGCGTGTATCACACTCCTGGCCAAGGGGGAGGTGTCTGATGATCCTTCGAAATTCCGACCGATTGCTCTAGCAAACACGTCCGGGAAGATCTTTTTCACCTTAGTTGCAAAGCGCCTCTTGAAACATATGCTAGGCAATAAGTTCTTCGATGGTGACAACCAGAAAGGATTTATGCCTGCAAAGGCTGGGTGCTTAGAGCATACATCACTTTGTTATTATTATTATTATTATTTTTTTACTAGAGCCACGTAAACCCGTCATGTGTGAGCCATGAATAAGGGGATTATGAGGCGATGCGTGATGCAAAGACGGCAAAACGCCAAATTTGCATTGCGTGGATAGATTTGAAGAATGCATTTGGTTCAGTGCGCCACAATCTGATACAGTATGCTCTAACCCACTACAGCTTTCCTTTGCAATTCAGGAAATTAATTTTTTCCTACTACGACAGTCTTTGCGCTTTCGTCGTACAACCACACACTCCCACCTTTAATTACAACATTGGTGTTTTCCAGGGGTGCCCCTTGTCCCCGGTCCTTTTCAATATTTGTTTCCAGCTTCTGCTGGACTCACTTGCAGCCCCTGAATTAAGTTGCCTCTCCTATGATTTTAAATCTGCCCCTTTGCAAGTGTCCCAAACAGCTTTTGCTGATGACTTAGGCCTCTATAGCAAATCTAGTGCAGGTTGTCAAAAACTCATTGCGGTCACGGAGGACTTTCTCTCGTGGACCCAATGTATGCAGGCGGCGCCGCACAAATGCAAAAGCAGTGCAGCAAAGCTTGTAGATGGCCGGTACAAACCTTACGATCCCTGCCTGACGATGTCAGGGAGGAAGATCGCTTTCATTGACACTGCAGAGTTCAAGTTCCTGGGGCGAAGGCTGCATGCTGATTGCTCTGAGCAGACCCAGCGGGAAGACATCCGTCAACTCACTGTATCTCTCATGCAAAAAGTAGATGGCTCTTCAAGACCACCACAAGCTATGGCTTTACCACCATCTTGTAGTGCCCAAGCTTTCTTGGTCTTTCCAGGTTCTTGAACTCAAACAAGGTTTTGTACGTGAACTGCACTTTATGTGTTTACCATTTCTGAAGAAATGGTCAGGCCTACCTCGATGCGCAAACTCTGCCATTCTTTTTATTGGCAGTCGCAAACGCTTTGGCTTACGCCTCCACTACCTTCCTACGGTGTGGAAAAAGTGCCAGTCCATCAAATGGCACATTCTTCGATCGAGTGGGGACGCGCGCATGAGGGCGCTGTACACTCTGCGTCGGAGTAAGGATCAAAGCTGACAAAGCGATATGCGGCGACAATAGAGCTGGAGTGTGCAGAGGCATCAGTAGGTTCAGGGACTCTCCGTCCACCGTCATCTTCAAGTCATCGTGCAGGGTTGGGTGCTCGTGCTCCGAAGCAGCATTCCAAACCCCCGAGGAAGGATCTCCTTCAAACATTTGAGGAGATCAACGCGCAGGAGCAGATTTTGAGGCTGAAGACTCTTCAGGTGCAAGGCAAGTGGTTGGAGTGGACATCGGTGATGTGGCAGGACCTCTCGTGGAAATCCCTTTTGTACGGTGGTACTGGTAAGGATTTGAAATTTCTTCTCGCATCAACCCTCGACGTGCTACCTTCTCCGACGAACCTACGCCGTTGGGAAAACACCGTAGTGGATCCGTACTGTAGTTTGTGCCGTGCCTGGGCCTGTACTACGCGCCACGTGCTTGGCGCTTGTCGCGTAGCGCTGGACCAGGGACGTTACACCTGGAGGCACGACAACATACTCGGGGTCATCGTCAGGAACATGCGTGAGGAGATTCGAATCCGCACTGCTGCAAACACCGTACAAACAGAAAATTCAAATGAGCTTGACTTCATCTCGTTTTGCAAGGCGGGAGAGAAGCCAGTTCGCGTTCAGCCCAGACGGAAGTTGGTTACGACTGATCTCCTGTCAGCGGCCTCAGACTGGAAACTTCTTGTCGACTCAGTGCAAAGATTTCTTTCCCTAGCTGTGTTGCACTTACCACCCTTAGACCAGATATAGTTCTGTACTCTACGAGTCGTAGGATTGTATTCTGGATGGAGTTGACAGTTTGTGCTGAGGACAGATTCAGTGTCAGTAACTCGCGGAAGGACAGGCGGTATGCGGATCTGGCAGATCAATGCCGAGCAAACGGGTGGCAGGTCGTTTCTTTTTCGGTTGAGGTAGGTGTGCGTGGTTTCATCCCGGACTCTCTTCGGAGGGCTCTGAAAGCGCTTGGGTTTTCTAATCGAAGAATAAAATTTATTTGTAATTTGTGCAGTAAGACGTCTCTGCGAAGCAGCTACATCATCTGGTTGCGACGTCAACAAAAACACTGGCCGGAAGATCCACTTTTCTGAGGTACTGTATGTGGGGCTCCGTTTATTGAGGTGCGTTGAAATTTATTCTCTTTATCTTATTATTTCTTTTCTATAATTTCCCCATATGAGTTCCTATCAGTTGCTGTGAACACCTTGAGTGGAGAGCGCTTGCTCGAGCGTTGAACCGGGTTCTTAATCCACCATACCCAGTTCGCAAGGCTGGGCGGGGTTGTGAGCAGGCTTTCATTTCATCTTTTCTTATTATTTCTGCTTTTCATCTCATTACAAAAATTCTGCGCATTTTTTCTCCATCTGCGCATAAAATCTAGACTGACAACCTGCTTGTTAAATCATGCACCTGCTTTCAGGCGTAAAAACCCTGTTGTAGAGGTCTCAGTCCTCATTTGTTAGACTTACCTGTCTTTATAAATGTAACTTACTCTCTCTCTCTCTCTCTCTCTCTCTCTCTCTCTCTCTCTCTCTCTCTCTCTCTCTCTCTCTCTCTCCGTGTCTGTCTGTCAGTCTCTCCCTGTCTCCCTGTGTGTGTGTGCGTGTGTGTGTGTCTCTTTGTCTTTGTGACAGACTTACCTCTGCAAACAGGCACCCATAGAACTGCACTATGTATGGACACTCAGTACTCTTCTTGACAACATCCAGATCCATGAGCAGACGACGCTGCTCACGCTCATCCACCGTATAGTGGATACGCTAGAAACACACCCACACATAGTCACGCACACCCACACATAGTCACACACGCATAGTCACACCCACCCACACATAGGAATACAGACAGACACACTCACACCCTGAGTGCGTTCGATTATCGCCGCGAATCGATTCATGAATCGATTCGCACTATTCACATCACACCACGTGAATAGGGTGAATGGATTCCGAATCGATTCCAGGGCTCATGACATGAAAATCGAACGACTTGAATGCATGCGAATGGATTATGAATCGATTCAAGTGCATAATCGAACGCAGCCACTCCACCAGGCAAACGAGACCTAGATCCCTTCTCCTTTCGTACATTTTACTTGGAGAACAACAGCCCTATCAATTTCAAAGCCTAACATGGCGTGTTCAGCCGGTAAGGATGAGACGCACGTTATACACAGAGTGAGAGAGGAGAGCTATAGCATACCTTGACAGCCATGCGTGTGTCGGATTGTTTGTGTCTCTTGCACGTCACCACTCCGTAGCTGCCTTCGCCAAGCAGGCCATCATCTGCTAGGTCGGCCGGAGTGCACTGGTCGAAATGCTGAACAGTAGACACAACAAAGTAAAGCAACATACACACACACACACGCCACCATTATCACCAGCAGTATCACCAGCAGCCCATCAGGATCACCACCGTCACCACCACCACCGCCAACACCACAACCAAGACCACCAGCACCACCAGCATCACCACCACCAGGACCTCCAACAGCATGACAACACCATCACCACAGGCAGCAGCACCAGCTGCATAACTGCCCCAAATGATAAGTGTTACCCCAAGACAAGGAGAAAGTATGTCACAAACAGAACTGCAGATACCTGGGCACACACACACACACACTTGTACTTGTTCACTGCCAAAACTGGTCAAGTGGGTCTCCCCAGGAGAGGGGAGAGAGACTCAAAAGGACTCTTGGAAAGATGACTCAATTGGCTATTGAACCGCCCAACGGCCGACACCCTCTGAAATCTCCAAACTCTGGCTGGACTTGCAAATGATCCCACTTATGGGCTCGCCACACCTCAGTGAATGGGTGAGGACAAGGTGCAGAAAAAGGATTGACGGCATCAGGGTATCCGTCCCCGGGATCCAACTGCAGTTACCCCTATCCCACAGCAAAGGTAATCCTTGCTACTAGTGTGGGACACACACACACACACACACACACACACAAACACACACACACACACAAACACACACACACAAGCACTCATACCAATACAGCCTGAATGTAGGTACACACACGTGTAGAGAGAGAGAGAGAGAGAGAGAGAGAGAGAGACAGAGAGAGAGAGAGAGAGAGAGAGAGAGAGAGAGAGAGAGAGAGAGAGAGAGAGAGAGAGAGAGAGAGAGAGAGAGAGAGAGAGTATGTGTATGCTTACCTTTCCACGAATGGTGAGGCGTCCCAATGGCAGATCAGAGATCATGGGTGGGTTTATCTGCTTTTCACGAATCGTAACTCCACTGCTGTGGTGAAGTACACAGGAATATACATCCACCCATATCCACACACCCACCGACATACCACACACACAGATCCACCCAGACACACACACACCCGCATCCACCCAGGAAGCAAGGTCTTTGGCACATTTTTCACCCTTCATACAAGCAGCAATGCACAACAAACTACCCCGACTGGTATAGTAAAACAGTCCTGTGAACTAGTGTGAGATTGCGTACTGGTACGAAGGAATAGCAGTGAGTCACTATCGCCTAAATGAAACGAAAAAGCTTGGCCGCCGCTCTTTCTCCGGGAGTTGGGTGTTCTGGTTCAGGTATTCTTGTTTCCATACATTTCAGATTCAGACTGTGTAGATGGCTGCAATGGAGTTTGCAAATCCTTACAAAAAAACATTTCCCGCAAATACATGTACTCGCATACGTGAGGTTCATGACATGAGGTGATGAATGACATGATCAACGTGCTAGCTCTCTCACCTTGAAGTGGGGAAATTGGTGGCTGCAGTGCTGGGGGATGCAACCGGCGTGCCGTCAGGAAAGTTCACGGGCGATTGCAGGGGATGAGCCATGGATATTCCGCCCGGGATCGCCTGCTGCTGCTGGCGCTGTGGCTGCTGTAATGCCAGGCCGCCCACATCTGGACCACCATTGGGTTTCCTTCTTGGCCGCCTGGGTGGTGCATTGGGGCCTCCGAAGATGATCGGTGGTGGACGTCTCGGTGGCCCTGCTGCACATGGTCAACAATAACCAAAAATACAAAATCCACAGCAAGTGTGATCAGCAACAGCAGCAACAGATTTACAATGATATTGCTCATTCCAAAATAATATTTGTTGAAGTTGCATTGAAAATGTCCAAAATTGGCATGGCCGAGATCTGACAGGACATTATTAGAGTTTTGCCTTTCCTTACCCGACATCGCGTTGGCTTCAGCTGACCTCCCGAAACTCGTTTCTCCCTCTCCACTACGACATGGGATCTACACCACCACCAAGAAGCTGCTCACGGACGGTTAGCTGAATATCTAGCACTGATAATTCATTGCAGCAAGAGGAAATGCCAGACCACGCGTACGCACACACACACTTCGCAAAACAAAAACAACACGCAAAACGAAAGCATGCAGTCAGCGAGAAGAATCAGATCTGAGCTCATGCAGTCATGAGATCATCCCTGCATATTGTGTGTACGTAACCATTGGTAACACAGACCACTCCTTCCGATTTTTTTTCCTGAAAGTGTGACGCATTACTCCCGTTTTTCAGTCAAATATGCACCGATGTACAGTTAATTGTCCCTTTTCTGAGATTTTGGCGATTTGACACCCTCGTGCAGCGGGAAATTTGAAAATAACTCCGTGCGCCTTCCAGGCTTTGCTGATCACATCGTGTTGGGAATGGGAGATCGATGAAGAAGGGGAAGCTGAAGCTGGAGGCGAATCGATCGATTATGGATAAAGTTCCGAACGAAATTTGTTGTAACAACTACTTGAAAGACCTTGTAGTTGTAGCGTGACGTCTTGTAAGCGGCACATCCTGGCCTAGTATACAGACGCTGCGGGGGATTGTACAAGGATATCGGGGGAGATGAGCTATTGAAATCAGGACGAAGAACGATGAACGAAGCAATCAAATCAGGTGAGAGTTACGTCCACGTTTTTTTTTTTCCTGTTTCCTGCTGGGCGATCACGTACGTGCGTGACATTGGTATCCAGACCTGGTCGGCTGTCTGGCACAGCCTGTCAGGCTTGATGATGGAGCATTGGAGGCTGCCTGAACCCAAGTCCTTTGCTACATACTAGTATCAAAAAGGACCTTTCCAAAACTCGAATCTAACATTTGAATGCTACATCATCAGTACATGTAGTACACTTGTGGACTACCACTGTGCAGGCAACACGTAGGATAATCATGCAGTACTTTACGACATGATAATATTCGACTCAAGAAAGAGGTAGCTTCAATTCCTCTCGAGCAATTAAAAAAAATCCACAAGTTCATGTACTTTCATTGCCTTCTCGTCCGGTTGGTACAGGCAGAAAAGAAACTAACCAGAACAATTAGTTACTATTTTACCATGGAAAGTGATGTAAATAGCAGTAAGACTAAGAGGAATAGAGACAAATTTGCAAATAATTCTATAGAAAGTGTTGATAAAGTAAAGTGCCAATAACACACCTACGCTCACATGGAAACGAATTCAAGCAGTGTACACTGCTGTGAGAACTATCAACACTATGTACTAGTTGAGTAACTTTGATATGATAACTTGCAGTACAAGCATGGGGCTGCATGTACCTGCGCATGCATCGACGAACGGTCGACACCTTGAAGTAGCGAATTGAGTTCTCTTCAACTTCCAGTTGGAGTGAACCTAGTCGATCGTTCTAAAATTCGTTTCACCCCTAGTGATAACGCTTTCTTTTTGCACACACAAGATTTTCAAACGTAATATACATGTACACAAATAGCACGTACTATAAACCATGAGCCCCATTCTCTAGGAGATATCTACATCTGCTCTGTTTCAATGTCCAGCATAAGCGAACGTGTGGATCAAGCATAACTGCTTGGTTGACGCTGCCGCGGAAATGCGTATAATAATATAATAATAAACCATGTACAGGTGGTGGAGGTGTGACCGTGTGCCAGTGTCACAGTTGGCTGGCTGCACTCTCGTACAGACAGTGTACTCCTCGATCCTGCATCCTGACAGTAATGGATGTCTATTACTGGATGTAGATGTAGGCCAGGGAGTCGTAAAATACCGGTATTTTACTACTCCTTGATGTAGGCACGCTGCAGCACACATATGCATGCACTGTGCAAGTGAGCGGTTTTGCCAGCTAGCTAACTGCAGCCTCACGGGCACCTATTGTACACATATGGGGAGCAAAAGAAGTTTCAGAATTTGGGGAAAAATGACCCGGTCGGCCGACCTGAAACAAGGCTACCGTATTTCCCCGTAAGTTAGTTCTCCCCAATGACTTAGTACCCCCTATAGAAAATACACATTCCACTGCCGAGGTTATCACCCCGGAAGACAGTTCCCCCCGAAAGATAGTAAGTTCTTACCCGTCCTACATGTACAGACACCGTACAGTACATACATCATATGCACGGACACTAGAGTTGCGCAGGCTTCCCACTGCGTGACATTTACCCCCGATAAAAAATTACTCCCCGAAAGATAGTACCACCCCCGAAAGTTAGTACTCATGTGGCTGCTAAGTTCGAAAGTTAGTACGTACTAACTTACGGGGAAATACGGTATTTTTGTTTGGGCCTAATTATAGGAGCTTAGGAGCTGCATCTGCGCCTTGATCCAAGAGGGTGGTGGCGTTCCTGCGGATGCGGAAAACTGGGCCTTTGGCCGAGTCTCACGCGAACCGTGAATTTATTTTTATTTTTAAATTATAGTGTTGGTCAATTACAGTGTATGCTCCACAATCTACGCACCATGTGATGTGATTGCCATTTGGTGGCTGTGGTGCATAATCGCCAGTCTGACAATCAAGGCTGTTGCCTGCCATCACACCCGCTATGGGGGGGGGGGGGGGGGGGGGGGGGGGTCGTCCTCACTTGGAACGGACGTATATTCTCACTTTCTGCATCACATTTTGTGGATACTCTCACTACTAAGATACAACAGGTGAATACTTGAAGTAACTCAGAGCGTCGATCACACCTCTGGCCACACACCTGCACGTTTGGGAGCAGACGCGAAGTGAAATGCACAGCACTGCTTTGTGCCAGTGCCAGTGCAAGTGTATGGATTTTAGCACTCGTCATCACTTCTGTCAGCTGGCAGCTTGAGCTGCTGTGCATGTAGCGCCGTATGTCTGTTAACTGGCTACTTGAGCTGTTGTGCATGTAGTGTTTCCAGAATGGGTTGTGTGACTTGTGTCATTGAAGTAGTAGTAGTAAGTAGCATTAAAGCCTCTTGTCCAGGCAAAATGAATTACAATGAATTGCACGTATCATCATTGACGTAGTACTCATTGGAACTGTCTGAATCAGCGCTGGGAGTGCTCTCTCCTTGCCCCCCCCCCCCCCCCCAGAGGTGTGAAGTGCAGTTCACTACTTAAGTCAGGCTGAGACTGTGATTCGCAGCTGCGCTGAGTCGAGTGGCTTGATCTGATGGTTCAGTACCTGAATTTTGTTCCTTCTGTTTGTTGTTGTTTTCTAGCTGGTCCCAATGGAGCAGGAGAGACTGCCATCTCCGACGAGGACCGTGTCATTTTCAGCCGACTCGTGAGAGATGGCAAGAAATATGCCAGTACGTTGCAGTGTGCAAGTTCAAGTTGTATACATTTACGTGTCATTTAAGTGTAATGTGCTTGTGTTTGTGCTATCTATCCCAGACCCTATCCTACTGTCTGTTACCACACACATACACACGCACGAGCAGAGAGCAGTGCATAGTACAGAATCGTAAGCCTTTTTCAAGTCCACAAACACACAGAAGAGCTGCTGACGGGGTTCGTAGGCTTTCTCGATGAGCTGGCGGAGTGAGAAGATGGCATCAACACACCGAAAGCCACACACACACACACACACACACACACACACACACACACACACACACACACACACACACACACACACACACACACGCTTTCACACTTTCACACTTTCACACACACACCTGTAGCTCCTTCTTGCTACATTGCTCCCCCGTCCCAACAGGCTATATGCATGTATGGCAGACAGATCATGGCCAGGTGAGCATGAGTACAGTGTAGCAAGGTAACGGTGCCTGTAAACAACCCAGTGTTTGTTTTGAACCCCGGCTTGTGCGCAAATCCAGGCACTATCCACAGTCACGTCGATAATACTTGAAGTATGTTACATGGCGGGCTTGTACTCGAGACCGGCTTTAATATGCAGCATTCCTGTGTGTGGGTGCTCCACTGTGTGTGTGTGTGCTCCACTGTTTGTGTGTGTGTGTTTGTGCTCCACTGTGTGTGTGTGTGTGTGTGTGTGTGTGTGTTTGTGCTCCACTGTATGTGTGTGTGCCCCACTGTGTGGTATTACTACACAGGTGAAGGAGAGCTCTCAAAGGCACTGTCCTGCCTGACACTGGCGTACGACATTCGTCCCACGGAGCGCATACAGAAGCACATCACCAAGATCCAGGCCGCGCTGGACGAGTACAGCGGCAACGAGGACGAAGACGAAGCGGCGAGCAGCGTGAAACCTGCACAGCACAATGAGCAATGCCAATCGCATGTCGATTCGGTGGCTACTGAGCATGACAATGGAGCGCAACAAGCTACCACCGGACTCCGTGATGTTAATACCCGCTCCGATCATCAATCATCTGATCATATTTCGGTTGGCATGACAAGCACAGACTCCATGCCCATGCATGATCGTCAGCCAAGGTGCGAAGAAAAGCCTCGCAAGCGAGCACTGATGGGTCGCAATGCCTACGTTATGAACGAGGTGAGTCCGGTTTGTGTTCATCAGTTGTTTCCATAGTGTAGCGGTTATCACGTTCGCCTAACACGCGAAAGGTCCCCGGTTCGATCCCGGGTGGAAACATCCATTTCTTTTTGTCCTTTTTTGCCATGATCTTCCGTCTAGAATCCATAATCCCCGTGTATACATGTACACAAGTATGGTCAACTCCTTCCTTGAATATTCAAACATGATTTCATTGATTTGTTATGCTTTCTGTGTTGGTTTTTAATGCAGGCACCATCAACAAGCACAGCGGAGATGAAGGATTCTCGGCGCTCGGCAGCTGGCAAGGAGAATGCGTGGCTGTCTACGAAAAGCCGCCGTGCCGACGATGCAATTGAGGATCGCCGCGGCGGTTTGAAAGCGGAAATGGCGCCGAATGGTGTCGTGTTGCGCAGCGTTTGGGACAAGTTGTACGCACATCAGCGCAAGGGTGTGCAGTGGCTGCTGGATTTGCACGAGAAGGGCTGCGGTGGTATTCTTGCAGATGATATGGGGTAAGTCGAGCTGTAACCGTGGTCGCTCAACCCTCTGGATATGTTGTTGTTGCTGCTGCTGCTGCTGCGGTTGTTGGTGTTGGTGTCGGTGTTGCTGTTGCTGTTTAGCCTTTTTATTTTACTTCACCACAGGCACAGGCAATATCTGCTATCTCACTGGGAGTATGCCAATTTCTCGCATAGATATGTCCCTGAACATTCTGTGTATGCTGTTGACGTCCTTGTTCCCACAGGCTTGGCAAGACAGTGCAGATCACAGTCTATCTGGCATCTCTAGTGGCTACAGAGCGAATACACAGTGCACTGGTCATGGCACCGGTGTCTGTTCTCACCGCCTGGCAGAAGGAGATCAAGAAGTGGTGAGTGCTGACTGTAGTTCCGGCAAGATACAGTAAAACTTGTAACTAAAGACCGGCGTGACTAGCGACCAGCCTGGTACTACAGTAAAACTTGTAACTAAAGACCGGCGTGACTAGCGACCAGCCTGGTACTACAGTAAAACTTGTAACTAAAGACCACCGTGACTAGCGACCAGCCTGGTACTACAGTAAAACCTGTAACTAAAGACCGGCACCGTGACTAGCGACCAGCCTGGTACTACAGTAAAACGTGTAACTAAAGACCGGCACCGTGACTAGCGACCAGCCTGGTACTACAGTAAAACGTGTAACTAAAGACCACCGTGCAGACTAGCGACCAGCCTGGTACTACAGTAAAACTTGTAACTAAAGACCGGCGTGACTAGCGACCAGCCTGGTACTACAGTAAAACTTGTAACTAAAGACCGGCGTGACTAGCGACCAGCCTGGTACTACAGTAAAACTTGTAACTAAAGACCACCGTGACTAGCGATCAGCCTGGTACTACAGTAAAACCTGTAACTAAAGACCGGCACCGTGACTAGCGACCAGCCTGGTACTACAGTAAAACGTGTAACTAAAGACCGGCACCGTGACTAGCGACCAGCCTGGTACTACAGTAAAACGTGTAACTAAAGACCGGCACCGTGACTAGCGACCAGCCTGGTACTACAGTAAAACCTGTAACTAAAGACCACCGTGCAGACTAGCGACCAGCCTGGTACTACAGTAAAACCTGTAACTAAAGACCACCGTGACTAGCGACCAGCCTGGTACTACAGTAAAACCTGTAACTAAAGACCACCGTGCAGACTAGCGACCAGCCTGGTACTACAGTAAAACCTGTAACTAAAGACCACCGTGACTAGCGACCAGCCTGGTACTACAGTAAAACCTGTAACTAAAGACCACCGTGACTAGCGACCAGCCTGGTACTACAGTAAAACCTGTAACTAAAGACCACCGTGACTAGCGACCAGCCTGCTACTACAGTAAAACCTGTAACTAAAGACCACCGTGACTAGCGACCAGCCTGGTACTACAGTAAAACTTGTAACTAAAGACCACCGTGACTAGCGACCAGCCTGGTACTACAGTAAAACCTGTAACTAAAGACCACCGTGACTAGCGACCAGCCTGGTACTACAGTAAAACTTGTAACTAAAGACCACCGTGACTAGCGACCAGCCTGGTACTACAGTAAAACCTGTAACTAAAGACCACCGTGGCTAGCGACCAGCCTGGTACTACAGAGGAACCTGTAACTAAAGACCACCGTGACTAGCGACCAGCCTGGTACTACAGTAAAACCTGTAACTAAAGACCACCGTGACTAGCGACCAGCCTGGTACTACAGTAAAACCTGTAACTAAAGACCACCGTGACTAGCGACCAGCCTGGTACTACAGAGGAACCTGTAACTAAAGACCACCGTGACTAGCGACCAGCCTGGTACTACAGTAAAACCTGTAACTAAAGACCACCGTGACTAGCGACCAGCCTGGTACTACAGTAAAACCTGTAACTAAAGACCACCGTGACTAGCGACCAGCCTGGTACTACAGTAAAACCTGTAACTAAAGACCACCGTGACTAGCGACCAGCCTGGTACTACAGTAAAACCTGTAACTAAAGACCACCGTGACTAGCGACCAGCCTGGTACTACAGTAAAACCTGTAACTAAAGACCACCGTGACTAGCGACCAGCCTGGTACTACAGCGGAACCTGTAACTAAAGACCACCGTGACTAGCGACCAGCCTGGTACTACAGAGGAACCTGTAACTAAAGACCACCGTGACTAGCGACCAGCCTGGTACTACAGTAAAACCTGTAACTAAAGACCACCGTGACTAGCGACCAGCCTGGTACTACAGTAAAACCTGTAACTAAAGACCACCGTGACTAGCGACCAGCCTGGTACTACAGTAAAACCTGTAACTAAAGATCACCGTGACTAGTGACCAGCCTGGTACTACAGTAAAACCTGTAACTAAAGACCACCGTGACTAGCGACCAGCCTGGTACTACAGTAAAACTTGTAACTAAAGACCACCGTGACTAGCGACCAGCCTGGTACTACAGTAAAACCTGTAACTAAAGACCACCGTGACTAGCGAGCAGCCTGCTACTACAGTAAAACCTGTAACTAAAGACCACCGTGACTAGCGACCAGCCTGGTACTACAGTAAAACCTGTGACTAAAGACCACCGTGACTAGCGACCAGCCTGGTACTACAGTAAAACTTGTAACTAAAGACCACCGTGACTAGCGACCAGCCTGGTACTACAGTAAAACTTGTAACTAAAGACCACCGTGACTAGCGACCAGCCTGGTACTACAGTAAAACCTGTAACTAAAGACCACCGTGACTAGCGACCAGCCTGGTACTACAGTAAAACTTGTAACTAAAGACCACTGTGACTAGCGACCAGCCTGGTACTACAGTAAATCTTGTAACTAAAGACCACCGTGACTAGCGACCAGCCTGGTACTACAGTAAAACCTGTAACTAAAGACCACCATGACTAGCGACCAGCCTGGTACTACAGTAAAACCTGTAACTAAAGACCACCGTGACTAACGACCAGCCTGGTACTACAGACCACATGGCCATGCACGGACGGTCTCACGTTCCATATACCGTAAAGTACCGTTGATCCCCCCCCCCCCCCCCACGCCATGTCGCTTCCCAGCTGGGTTTTCGGCGGGGATTAGATCAAGGCTGTCAAGTGCAGTACGATGTACAACAACGTAGAAGTTCAGACTCGATGTGCTGGATTATGCACATTTTCATCCTGGATTGGCAAGTATTGTGTACAGCAGTGCATGCGTCGGTTCAACATCGTATTTTCGTTGTATACGCCGAAGTCGCTTCACAGGTAGAAAATCGACAGGGGGCGGGAATTAGAGAGGGGACGGATCAACGGTACTTTACGGTAATGGTTGTGCGGTGCAAACCTCTAACTAAGGACCACCTGCCACCGTAGGCTAAAGACCGCCTTCTCTGGCCCCAAGGGGTGGTCGTTAGTCACAGGTTTTACTGTACATAAATCCCAGGAGTATGCAACTCTGCATATGGGGTCTGGTGTGGCGAGTTGCCCGTATTATGTAGCCGCGAACTATGGGCCATTGCGCCACTAGTGCACTGTCATTGAGTTCCAATGGCAATTTGCAAAACTAGGTCATCTGTACATGCACAGGTTTTTTTCTTGTAGAGTGAACCTGTCTGATGACAGACTGTGTTGAGTGTTTCACATAACTTGGCACTGCCCCCCCCCCCCCTCCTCCTCCTCCCCCCTCCTCCTCCTCTCCCCTCCCCCTCTCCCCTCCCCCGATTTGGAACAGACATATTGCTTGCTCGGACACAAACACTTGTTGTTCAGCCATTTTAAAACGTTGAAAAGCCATTTTTGTGATCCAGAGGCAGATGAGTCGGAAGGGTGCCGCCCGATAGACAGGGGTACCCGGACCTGGGTAGTCTGGATAAAAGGTAGTTTGGCTGCACTTTTGTAAGAGTGAAGCACAGACCTGCTACAGTGTTGTAGTAGTGGCTTTCGAAATCAGTAGAAGAAAAGAAAATTCCCCAAAAAGTACATGTTTCCACCCGGGATCGAACCGGGGACCTTTCGCGTGTTAGGCGAACGTGATAACCGCTACACTATGGAAACAACTGTGGAGGATGTTTGGGCATGTGTATCTCTTGAGGGTCCCTGGCCGTCCGACCTTTTATCTCAATCGCGCGCAACACAGACTTTCTGGCACCCCTCGCCCACCCCCATCCCTTCCTCCAAACAGCACTCGCATAGTGAAGTCATTTTAAAACAATCATACTGTTAGGTACAGGTCCTCCCTTACAATCTTACCTACAACCTTTCCTAAGCTGGCCGGCCTGCATGCACCCGTACTACATCATACTCACCTTTCGTTCCGTTGGCCTGGGTAGCTACTTGCGCGCCCATGTAGTCGTTTCGTTCGTCTTGGTCTCTTGTCTCGTCGTCTATAAGAAACATCGTTCCACTAACTTGTTCCCGTTGTCCGTTGTAATGTCTGGAGAAGGTGTCGTCCGTCGTCCTAATTCATACTCAACAACACCGTAAAAGTCCGTAAATAAGTACCTGCCCGAAATGAATACCCCCTACATTCGTTTGACTCTGTCTATACCGGTATGGTTCGCACATCCAGCACTTAGCATTGTACAAAATGACTTCTCCACTACACACAAGTCAGGTCCGAAGGTTAGTTCGTGCCCGAATGTTAGTACCCGCCCGAAAGTTAGTCCGGGTGTGACCACTAAATTAGAGTAAGTACGTACTTATTTACGGACGTTTACGGTCATATTATGTGATATATGCGGCTGTTTCGTCCTGTGAACTTCCAATCCCACACACCCACACATACACTCCGTACGTTTGTGATAAGCGGCGAAAATGATGGCCAAACGTTTGGCTTTGTATTAACTGTCATGATTTTCACAGGTATCCATCTCTACGCCTCGGCTGCTTCCATGGCACCTCCAAGAAGCAGCGTGAAATGGACTTGGAGCGGGTACAGAAACGTGGTGGAGTCTGCCTCACAACATATGGTAAGACCGCCGAGGAGGGACTGTTTTTGACTTTGCTCCAGTTGTATGATGTATATATGTTTGTGTAAGGGCAAGCATATGTGTGTGTTTGGGGGGGGGGGCAAGAGACATACAGAGAGAGAGAGAGAGAGACAGACAGACAGACAGACAGACAGACAGACAGACAGACAGAGACAGAGAGAGAGACACAGAGAGACACAGAGAGACACAGAGAGAGAGACACAGAGAGACAGAGAGAGAGAGAGAGACAGAGAGACAGAGAGACAGAGAGAGAGAGAGAGAGAGAGAGAGAGAGAGAGAGAGAGAGAGAGAGAGAGAGAGAGAGAGAGAGAGAGAGAGAGAGAGAGAGAGAGAGAGAGAGAGAGAGAGAGAGAGAGAGAGAGAGAGAGAGAGAGAGAGAGAGAGAGAGAGAGAGAGAGAGAGAGAGAGAGAGAGGATGGGTGATTGATTGATTGATTGATTGATTGTAGTGTAACACCTTTTACATCATGTTTGTGTATCTGTGTGGCTTTCTATTATTGTTAGGTATGGTCCGGTCTGGCCTGGAGGATCTCACTTGTCATGGCTCATTTGCTTGGGTACGTTCCTGTGAATCACTGTTTATGGGTGTGTGTGTGTGTGTGTGTGTGTGTGTGTGTGTGTGTGTGTGTGTGTGTGTGTGTGTGTGTGTGTGTGTGTGTGTGTGTGTGTGTGTGTGTGTGTGTGTGTGTGTGTGTGTGTGTGTGTGTGTGTGTGTGTGTGTGTGTGTGTGTGTGTGTGTGTGTGTGTGTGTGTGTGTGTGTGTGTGTGCATGAGCATATGTCATCGCGCGTCCAGTCCCAAAGAGAGATTTGACCATTCCAAGGACATCAGGACAGCAGCCTCCGGAAGCACAATCAACACCAGGGGTCTTACTCGTACAGGTCTGGTAGATCCTTCCTGAATCCCTTGTCCTTTGTTTGTAGATGGGCATGGCTATAGGTACATGTGCCTGTGAAGTAGTTCAGATGAAACTGTGGCATCACGTTGTACGAGACAACAGTCATGAGTTGTTTCCATAGTGTAGCGGTTATCACGTTCGCCTAACACGCGAAAGGTCCCCGGTTCGATCCCGGGTGGAAACATCAAATTCTTTTTTTCGCAATTGCATATGTTTCAAAATTCTCAAGGACGCCTCATGCAGCTGCTTATATTTGTTTCTGGTTGAGTTTGATGATGCTTTCCCAGTTTTTATTCTTGCTCCGCCTGATCACCCTGCTCCTGCCTTCTATCGCGGTAGGAAGTCAATCCTTGCTCGCCCTCCCTGTGTGCGGTTTCAAAAGAAAAGGCAACTAACACAACAACAACGACACATCATCGTGAGAATAAAGATTTGAAGCATCTCTTATTGGCCACAGGCCGTTGTGTTGAGAACTATTTGACTCAACACCAAGAACAATGTCGTGGCGTACACAAAACAGCTTTGGTTGTGGCACAAGTTCAGAGCAGCCGCAACATGTGCACCGAAACCTGAGCAGACCGAACGCCAAACGACGTCTGGATGCTACCCTCAGGGGCGGATCCAGGGGGTCAAGGGGTTCAGTGGAAGACCCTGAATTTTGCAAACTTACCACGGGAAACTACTTCAAGTATAATTATGCATGGACATGTATAATTAAGTATCAGGTATTCAGTTTTGGCTCAACTGGAGCCCCCTGTAGAGATCTCTGGATCCGCCCCTGACCCTTGTGTATTTGAGCGCATCAGTTTAGATCCTGCAACGATGCTCTCTCTCTTTCTTCTCTACAGGATTGTCTGGTCCTTGATGAAGGTCACATGATTCGTAACAACAACAAGACTACTAAGCAGATCTACTCGCTGCTGGCCAAGCAACGACTCATCCTAACTGGCACCCCGATTATGAACCGTTTGGAGGTCAGTAATCTGCTGCTGGTGCTGCTGTTGGTGGTGGTGGTGGTGCTGCTGCTGTTGGTGGTGGTGGTGGTGCTGCTGGTGGTGGTAGTAGTGGTGGTGGTGGTGCTGCTGCTGCTGCTGTTGTTGCAGGGACTGCCGGCGCTGGTGATGGTGGTGGTGTTGTTGTTGTTGTTGTTGCTATTGCTGCTGCCCCGGTATGTATGTTGTATGTCTTGCTGCTACTGCTGCATTTGTCTATTTTGAATGTCATTCTAGTATTGAAGCTGACGCTCGGTATAATGTAAATCTACCTGTTTTGGCTTACATGTCGGAGCCTGGCTAGCACCATAGCTTGCACAAGGGTAAACCTGGCTTTCCCCTGCATCTTGGCTTTGGGCCACCCGGAATTTGTTCGTTGTTTCGGGTCACCCAAGCGATCGTATTTTTCCATGCAACCACAGAAAGCCTTTTAGTCTCGGGAAATACAAACATAGGATAGAACCATGGCTCCTTTCGCCTGTATAGCTGAGACATGGCCTTGGCAGGACCCATATCAGTGCTGGGTGGTCTTCACAAATAATTATAGCATGTGAGTTTGTCATGAATGCGTTCATGTGTGGACTCACTCTGGAGAGATGCGGAGCCTAAGCGACCGACTCTTTTGCAGCTGTGTGCTGTGACCCCAAACAACTGAGTAAGCAAAGTAAAGTTCACACGTCCGCTTTACCACCGGCTATACAATTGTATTGAGAAACACAACCAGCTTAGGAAGCTTCGCTTGTGCCAGGCCACCGCGATGCCTGTGATACCAGGGTGGCAGATGCAGCTCCTAACGGCGAGGGTGAGGTGGTATGTCTCACAACCAATGCCTGACAAGGGGGCGAAAACAACTGAGTGGCCTACTGTAACACCAAGAGTACATAACCCCCCAGAGTGTGCAACTCCACTATGGGTGCTGTCCCGACAGAATTTCAAGTTGACGTCATTTTGATGATGCAATGCGCACTGTACACGGATTACCAGACGAATCCGGAACCTGTGGTTGACCGAAGCAGATCGATCCTGTACAAATTATTGCAAAGAAAAACGTGTGATGCGTTGACACCCGTACACATGTTGTAAATCACTGGTGCAAGGAGCATTGCGTCATAAATAATGACGTCAACTTGAAATTCTGTCGGGACAGCAGGGTATCAGTCCGTGCGCCAAATTCAAAAAAGTCGTCTAGAAGTTGCACTTTTATTTGCAACCGCGGGAAATTTGAGGGGTCTGGAGAAGAAAATTCTCAATGGGACTCAAAATTGACAAACAAGACGACGACCAGCGCTCGAGCATAGTACCTTTTCGCCATTCCTTCGTGCACGATACCGATTCTAATTGATAAACACTACCCTCATGTTTCGTTTTATGCGCAACGGACGAAGCGAAGTGTCTTTTTTCGTTCACGAAAGAAAGGTAAGGAAATTGTCGTCTTCGCGACACCCTTCGGATTATTTAGTGGGGCATTGTGGGCCAAGGGTATTTTTTCTTTTTCTTTACAACTATCCCCAGGTACTGAGACGGCGCTGATATCCTAGGAGTTCTGTTGGTGCAAAATGCCAGGTTACTGACTTATGGCGAGGTTTGTCCACCCAAAAATATGGGAGATTTCTTGGATAACATACACACATAATACACACATAATACACACATAATACAGTGAATGGTATTGCAGTGGGCATCCAAAACAGTTGAACCAAACCAATATGGTATGATACCTAGAGGCTAGGCACACAAAAATCACTCAGGAATTGGACGCAAGTCCCGGGGCCTTGGTGCGTCATTACACCCGGACATTGAATGTTTGCCGGCGCACGGCTTTTGCTTCACCACTTCACACAAGTTTACGCACTCACTCAATTCGAAAGACTGGAACGAGACCAAACCGAATGTGACAACTAAGAGCGAGTTGTGCATTTGTTGGAACAACGTTCGGGCATTGCGAGAAGGATATCAGCAGGGTCCAACAATGGCAGCAACAGCACCAGGTGATGATGGAGTACCAAGGAGCTTGTATCATGCACATTACAGTGAGCAACAAGAGAAACCGTACTGTGGTACGTGAGATCAGAGCCTGGGCAGGATGATCGACAATGTACACTGTGCTACAGCGCCTCAATTGTGCGAGAGAAAACAAACAGACCAGCAAGCACAGATCATGAACTGGTACACAACATTGACAAAGCACAAACCGCACAGCAAAGTTACAGGGCATAGCCGAGCGTTTTGCTGCCAACGAATTACTTGAGAAGGGAGCAGTATTCCTTGTAACATTGCATGGAGTATACGAGAACGCAGAGTCAGAACCAGGCGTAACAAGGCAAGACGGCTACTGTACAGGGGACAGGCTTGACGATCACTTGCATACTCGCAATTTTGATGCAACCAGGAAATTAGGCATCACGTCATACCGAAGTGGCTTCGACACGCTACATTGCATTCATAGCTGTACGGTGAACCTGTTACACGAGCTTCTGTGAAACAGATAGCATGCCAATGACCTGCAAGCACCAACAAACGCAGCCGGTAAAACAAACGCTACATAACTGCCCAACATAAACTTGTACATGCTGATGAGAAGCAAGAATGCGCTTGATGTTGGAAGTTATGCTCGCATATTCAAAAACATGCATGGAAAAACATCAATGACATTGTTCATGAATACAACAGATACATCATACAGGGAGAGTAAGTAATCCTTCCTCCGTTTTGTATACGCGCACGCGCGCGTGTGGTAGATAAATCCGTTTGGCATGACTTTCGATCGAGGTTGCGTTCACCGTAGAGATAGGTGAACTCGAATCCAACACCTCTCACTTTCGCTCTACTGCCCCTTTGGGGCCGATGCGATCCTTGTGCCAAGTTGTGGTAGTGGCTCAACAGAACAGGACAGGTGTGTGTGTGTGCGCGTGCGCGCGCATGTGTGTGTGTGTAAGTGTGGTTTCTGAACTTTTCTCACAATCGTATAAGTTTCATTTTTTCGTGAAAACCCAGCTACACTGTGACCGGTACAATCGCATGTCGTTTATCTGGCGGTCAGTCACATGGCATGTCGGGTATCCAACAGCACCGCACTGACAGCTTATAGACCTTATATTTAGTATTTATAGTCCTACTTCAAGTAAATGTAGACAGTCAGCATCATGAAAGTTGCCATTACGTTGAGTTAAATACAAGCCAGTCTGTAGAGATGAGCACGACTGTCTCAGGGTAATACTAGTGATAAATACAGGTACTTCGAAGTACTGTCTTTTTGATCTGTTAACACAAGATGGCTTTGTAGCTTCAGTCGTCCAGAATATTCATTTTATTCCGCGGGTGCCGCATAATTGACACGCAACTGTACTTGTGCAAGTCTCCAAACGCTACGTAATTGGCCGACATTTACTTGTCCACGGTGATGAGAAACACGGCTCCTAATTTTTAAATCATGAAAGGATTACATACGCAGGTACATCCACACAATGTGCACTATCCTGAAGTCGTGCGCAAATATTCAAAATCATTCACCGAACACAGAGAGGCGCACATACCGTAAAGTACCGCGAGAGCGCCCCACCTATATTTTGCCGCGACAGATTTTACAGCCAGGGAAAGGAAAATCGTATGGCAGAGTGCAACGAAGTTCGTACGGTGTGAGCAACTTAGTGTACTAAGGTCACACTAAGCAGGTTTTTGTGTGGAGCTCGTTTCCGCTCGAAGGTACGGATTGTCTGCAGAGCGTGCAATATGTGTACAAAGTTCGTATCGTATAACCTACAGACAGGAGACCACCTCCACAATACGACCCCGAAAGGACGAGATGGTGGGGCACTCTGGCGGTACTTTACGGTACATGTAAATACGAAGGAACCACATGCGCAGCAAGGAGATTAGTCATTACTTTACTTATGAGTTGATGGATAGAAGTTTCCTTTCAGCTGACCATTACCACTCATGAAAGCAATAGTGAGTGCTGTTGTTCTGATTCACAGGTATATATTCGGCCCTTAGCGCAATGTGTTTTCGAAGCTAGGCACACGATTTGCATGAGGAAATCATGCAAAGATGTGACATAAGGCCCTACAAACATGACCTAGGTAAAGGGATGCCATTATTTGCATTTGCAGTACTTTGGCATAGGATAATTTGTGGATGATTGTGTTGATCAATTTCACATAATTTCACGACAGGTCATAGTTTATTTAGTGGGGCGTTGTGGGCCAAGGATCTACGACCATCTCTTTTGCATTTCGAACAAGTAGACACTTTCAACAATTCATACAAAAAATGCCTTCAGTGCAAAACATACCGTTCGGACACACCAGGCAGTCCTTTCCAGCCTTGATTTTCAAGTGCAGACGTATCCACGATGACCTTCGAGTGAACTGCGGCTTGGAACACTTTGAATACGATCCACACACTCAAACTAACTAGACCACCGCATAGCTAGTGTATTCACGGAGCCAAAGAAGTCTCCTTCTGCCCCCACAGGGTCTTGGTTAGTTCTCTAGAAGGGACGAGAGCCATACCTAAATTCAATAAATTCTCCAATTCCAAAGGCCTCAAATGAAGGCGTCTTGGTGACTTCGTTTCCCGCGGTTGCAAATAAAATCAGCCCTTGAGTACCCCTTGGCGCACGGACTGGTATGTGGGAGTTGCACACTCTGGGGGGGTTATGTACTCTTGGTAACACTGGATGGAGACTTGTGAGTGCAAGGTCTATGGATTCTCATAGCAAGGCTGTGTTTGTCTGCTGTTTCCATAGTGTAGCGGTTATCACGTTCGCCTAACACGCGAAAGGTCCCCGGTTCGATCCCGGGTGGAAACATCAATTTCTTTTTTTCTTGCTTTCCAAGACAACTTCTGATCATAAGGTGGTGGTGTCCAGGTTACAACTCCCGGGTGGTGTCCAGCAAGAGTACATGAAAACCAGAGTGTGCAGCTCGGATGGGTTGCTGTCACGGCGAAATTCCGTGATTACATCATTTTAGTGATGTAGTGCGTACAAGCAGGATTCAAGCAGGTCTCTTTCTGCACAACTGCAGCTCAGTTGTACGCACTACGCCATTTCCCGCCTCAGATTTGGGCCAAATATGATGTAATCACGGAATTCCGCCGTGACAAACACCCATAGTAGAAAAGCCCCAAGCTGCACACTCTGGTTTTCATGTACTGTGTAAGCAGAAAAAAAAACATTCATCTGGAATTTTATTTCGTCTTTTTCGTCCAAGGAGCTTTTGGACAACTAGTAAATTAAATGCTGGACTAATGTCGATTTGTCCAGCTTTTCAACACACTCTTATGATCCATGGACGAAATTTAAAACCGGACGAACTCCCTTTCTTTGGAGTTGGACGAAAGTATTGACCGACGGAATTTTCTGCCTGTACAGTAGTACTCTTATGTCCAGTGATGTCTGTCTGATCATGGGGTGAAGTCTAGCCAACGAAAAAATCGTTTTATAGCGACTCAACACCATCAAAACAATCAAATTCAAGTTTACTATTAGAAATACCGAAATACATGGCCGAGGCAGGCCTAGAATGTCATGGCTTGATAATCTTATTTCATGGACTGCACTTGACGTGCAGTCCTTGCTAGCTGCCGCACGCGATAGATTTTTATGGCGCTCACTTGTTCATACTTGCTCTGTGACGCCCGACGGCCTTAGGGCTATGGGCTTATGATGATGATGATGATGATGATGATTAGAAGTACATTTTTATACGGGTAACTTATACCGGTATGTGTCTATGTGATATTGAGGTCTCACTGCAGAGTATAGTATACACAGGGGTCTATATACGGTGCTACATTTTCAGTGTATGTACTAGCTCTTTGTATGTATGATGTAAGTCCGTCTTTCTTTCTTTTTGGTGCGTCTGCACTGTTCTTCCATGTACAGGAGCTCTGGCGCCTGTTTGATTTTGCCACGAACGGCAATCTCTTCGGCCCGCTCAAGGACTTCAAGGAGAAATACGAGCAACCGATCGTACAGGTATGCCATGCTTGCAACATACAGGGTATTTCCTGTGAAAAAGCCTCTTCTGGAACTCCACGTCTTGCGTCGATGGCCAAATCTACGCTCATGGTGGCGTTGGCGTGTGGTGTTTCTGTGCAAGCCGAAATAGCTCAGAGCGTTAGACTGAAGATCTAAAGGTCCCTGGTTCAATCCCGGGTTTCGGCATTTCTTTTTTTTCTCCCTGTTCATGAACATGGGTATGGTGGGGGTGGTGCATGCGCGCATAAGCACACAGCATTCAGAAACCATTTTTGCAGGCGATTCTTGACACACGTGTGGCGACGTGAGTGCATGCAGACCGCAGACCATTGAGAGAATCGTGTCTAATGTGTACGCACCACACCGAAAGCATAGCATGAAGTGCACACTGAACACAGCAGATATTGAACTTTACCGGCAGAGCAAAACTTTCTTCAACGCAGGATCAAATCTTTATTTGAGCCTAGCCATAAAAGTGGTATATCTGCTGCAGTCATGCCTGGGCTTCATCAAAGTCACCAGGGGTTTCCAAAGTTGTTTCTCTTGTCACACTCATTTATTGCTTTTCTTTCTCGTTACGAATCGTTCGATCGTGCCACACATGAGCAGAAGATACACCGGAACGAAGCGCTGCTGCCTGACACGACATGCACTGATTACAACATGTGGAGAAAACAAGCATGTTGAGCCAGATAAGCCCACACACAGAGGCAACGATACCTGGCCGAATGCGCACAAAAGTGGAGAGTCTATCTAGACCAGAGATCATCTGTCCGAAAGAAAATGAAGACAATCAACTACGGCCGGCCTTTCGAAGGTAAACAAATGAATGTTTATGAACAGGGAGAAAAGAGAAGAAGAAAAAAAGAAATGCCGAAACCCGGGATTGAACCAGGGACCTTTAGATCTTCAGTCTAACGCTCTCCCAACTGAGCTATTTCGGCTTGCACATAAACTGTGGAAGCTGATGCGGCCATGACCATTATCGATAGCTTTTTTTGGTTTATGAAAGGTTTTGGGACGGTGTTCACCCTCGACACGTCTCCTACACCCCACCAAGAGTACATAACTGCCAAGAGTGCCCAACTCCAGTCTATAGGGTCTTCAAGGGAGAAGTTCACATCACGTGACAACACATGTACACATTGTTTCCACCGCCTGTGCAGCATGATAGCAAGAGTACATATAATATACCCCCGGGTAGTCTTGATGATGGCTACAGTACGATCGGTTGCCGAAGAACTAGGGGGTCAGCCTCCTAGCCTAGACCGTTCTTATTTTCATGTATTACAGTCTATGGGTGGTTGAGTCACCCCGCATGTACATGTACCGTATTTTTCCGGTTATAAGTCGACCTTTTATGACTGAAAATAGCAGGAGAAAAGGTGGGGGTCGACTTACAACCGGGATTCGACTTATAACCGGGAATTATCGGTATCTTCCAAAAATGACCTGCAATGAATACACGAGTGCACCATGTGTATGCATTTTTGCCAAGTTTATTTGCCTTTTTCAAGGATTGGGATGTTTCAGAATCCAATGAGGAGTGTTTATGTGATTTGTTCATGTGTTAGTAGCAGGGAGCGGTTAGCAGTGCTTCGTTGGGCAAAAACTTTAAAAACATAATTAAGACCTCCGGATACGGGGGTCGACCTATAACCGGGGTCGACTAAAAAACCGGTAAAATACGGTACTTGAAGTACTCTGGATCCCATGGAAGGAAACTTTCTTTTTCTAATGTACCACATCTGTCCTTGTATGTCCATGTGTGTCGATGTGTGTGTGTGTGTGTGTGTGTGTGTGTGTGCGTGTGTGTGTGTGTGTGTGTGTGTGTGTGTGTGTGCGTGCTCCACTGTATGTGTGTGTGTGTGTGTATGTGTTCATTGTACCGTGCAGTCTCACTCCAAAAGCTCAACGGAAGCGGAAAAGGAGAACGGAGCAAGCGTCTCTGATAAGCTGCAGAGACGCATAGCACCGTTCATGATGAGACGTACCAAAGCGGAGGTGATGGAGGAGCAGGACAAACTACAGGTGAGTCCTTGTGTACAAGCATACGTGCAAGGCTGAAGGCTGTAGGCTGACTGATTCATGTGGAAGTCACGTGAACCTGGTATAGTAAAACCTGTCAAGGTGACCACTCGCATAAGATGACCACCTGTCTCAAAGGACCCCTACAACCAGGACCAAGGGATGTTATTTCCAGTCAAATGACCCTGGATAAAAAGACCACCTATGCCGGCACAGCGACCACATCCTGAAGGTCCCTTGAGCGGTCGCCTTAGGCAGGTTCCACCGTAGTTCAATCTATTATTTCCCACAAAACAGTGCGGAACTGCTGCAGTCGCATAGAGTGGTGTTCACACATCTTCTTTGGTCATCTGTCTAAATCTGTGTAGAAAGTCAGCTATGGCACATGGACATATGGACAGTGGGCTGGAGATCGCATGGTCAAAATCATATGGCCCATACATGCATGGTTTGAGTGGAGTTGTATCCAACATGGCTTGCTCTGTATGGTCATGTGACCCATAGATGCATGGTTTGAGTGGAGTTGTATCCAACATGGCTTGCTCTGTATGGTCATGTGACCCATAGATGCATGGTTTGAGTGGAGTTGTATCCAACATGGCTTGCTCTGTATGGTCATGTGACCCATACATGCATGGGTTGAGTGGAGTTGTAACCAACATGGCTTGCTCTGTATGGTCTTGTGACCCATACATGCATGGGTTGAGTGGAGTTGGAACCAACATGGCTGCACTGTATGGTCATGTGACCCATAGATGCATGGGTTGAGTGGAGTTGTAACCAACATGGCTTGCTCTGTACAGTCATGTTAATAGGCATACAACAGCTCTCCACTGTGCCAAGCATGCAGAGTACAGAAGGCGGGGGAAATACTTCTAATGCATCCCCGGGATATGCCCCTAGTGCGTGTACAGTCAACTTTGCGTATAACGACACTCGGCGGGGCATCAGAAAAGTGTCCTTATTCGCGAAGTGTCGTTATAACCGAAGTCTCATTCTATGTATTACAGTTGGATGGGACTTTGCTCTGGGCATGGAAATTCTGTCGTTATTCGCGAATTGTCGTTATATCCGCAGTCGTTATTAGCGAAGTTGACTGTATGTGCTTGCATGTCGTCCTCACACTTGTGGTGGAAAATTTAAAATCCAATTTTCTTACAGTTTTGTTTCTTCTCTCCCAGAGAGTACTCAGTATTAGAAAAAGGATATTTGCTTGGATGAATCCCAATGACTTGAGGTACGTTCACAACACGACTAAATGTGTAAATTGCTTGATAATTGTGCATGTGTGTGTGTGTGTGTGTGTTTGTGTGTGTGTGTGTGTGTGTGTGTGTGTGTGTGTGCGCGTGTGCGCGTGCGTGCGTGTGTGTCAACTTGTTGCTGTGTAGAATGCTGCTGCTGGTGACCCTGCCACCTTGCCCTCTGACCCAGGCGTAGGGGAATCCAGCCAGTCTTCAAAGCCTGGGTATGTAGTCTATCAGTTACTTTCTTCTGTTAAAAATTTAAAAAAAATAAATGAGGGATTTTGTGCAACGGATTGACCTTCAGGACTGACTGAAAAACTGCTAGCTTGTCTAAATAAATTCCACATGTTGCCTTACAAGCATCTCCGTATGCATGTATGTATGTATGTAGGTGTGTACTGTGTAAGTAGAAATATTCGTCTGGAATTTAATTTCGTCTTTTTCGTCCAAGGAGCTTTTGGACTAAATTAAATGCCGGACTAATGTCGATTTGTCCAGCTTTTCTATACACTCTTATGATCCATGGACGGAATTTACAACCGGACGAACTCCTTTTCTTTGGAGTTGGACGAAATTATTGACCGACGAAATTTTCTGCCTGTACAGTATATGTTATCAGTGTCCGCTGGTGCGTTCAACTGCCTTGTCAAAGCCATGTCATGATCGCCTTTGCAGGTGGTAGAGGTACAATATTTTAATATTGTCAGCTGGATAACATAATTATTACAGGGTGCGACAGAGCTCTCGGCCATTGAAGAAAATGTTGAGTCACCTCCACCATTACACTGCGCTCTTTAGCCGACTAGACCCTCCTTCACACAAACATCACCACTGCGAGGACACTTCCGTAGACAATATTGATAATTCCTGCAGACAGCTGTTTCGCTAATACATAGCTCATCAGTGAAGGTAGATGTTGAATGATTAAAAATATAGACCAAACTGCTATTATATAAGGTTTCAACCCCCTACATAATAGCAGTTTGGTCTATATTTTTAATCATTCAACATCTACCTTCACTGATGAGCTATGTATTAGCGAAACAGCTGTCTGGAGGAATTATCAATATCGTCTCCGGAAGTGTCCTCGCAGTGGTGATGGTTGTGTGAAGGAGGGTCTAGTCGGCTAAAGAGCGCAGTGTAATGGTGGAGGTGACTCAACAATCATGATAACATAATTATCATGTTTATCCAACTCTTTTTAAAATGTGAAAATCAGTATCAGATCTGTTAGCCTGGAAATGCTTTATTGACAATAACAAATCCTTTTCTAACGCTTGTGTGGCTGTGTGTTTGCTGGGTGATCCATGGATGGTTCATTATTTTCATTCGAACTGTGCACTTGGTGTTGTTACTTCTCACAGAGAAGGCGATTCCACTGACTCGTGTACAACAGCAATGACCTCATCGGACCCGGCAGCGACATCATCATCTTCTTCCTCAGCATTGCAATCCCAGCAGCTGCAGCAGTCTGGTGTGGCTGCTGCAAGTACAGAAAGCGCTGCTGCTCGGATGGCAAAGCTGGGGGAGAAGCGCGACCTGATTGTGTGGGTACATCTCTCTCACGCTCAGCTCAAGCTGTATCTGAACTTTGTTACCGGATCTAAAGTGCAAGAGGTAGGTTTGTCCCGTGCATGCGTGCGCCAACACACACCCGCGTGCACGCGCACACACACACACACATACACACACACACACATGCACGCACGCACGCACACACACACATACACACACACACACATACACACACACACACACACACACACACACACACACATACACACACACACACACATACACACACACACGTAGTGCATACCACCCATGACAAAGGAGATAAAAACACGAAACTGTACATCCGGAAACTTGTAATTGGCACATTGTACTGGCTGTGTGCCTTGAAATGTACCTTGTCTCCCTCTCTCCACACTTTGCTTATGGTTTCCTTCCTGCGCTGTCTTTGTTGCTTGCGGCTCCCGGACGTTTGTGTGTATTGTTCAGGCACTAATGGAACAACGCTCAGCCCTGCCTAAGCTGATGTTGCTGAAGAAGATTACCGATCATCCAGCCCTTTTGTCAGACAGCGAGAAAGAACAGCTGATCACCGATGATGATGAGTAAGGGACACATAGGTACTGCTTTGTGAGGGGGAGGAAGGGGAGGTTTACTAAGCCTATTGCGCATTGCCAAACATGGATTGTATGAGTAACGCGTGTGAGTACGCTGACATCTCTCTTTCTCTCTCCCTCTCTCTCTCTCTCAGCTTTGACACCAACGCTGGCTACCAAGGTGATTATGTGGAATCAGAATCGGAGGATGAAATTATTGATGACTCGCAGGAACCAGGCTATTCCCAGACCACCGCCCGTAGCTCCAAGACCACGTCAGCTAAGCCATGGCTTCGCGGCAGTAAGGCGTCTCTCGTGCAGTCTTCCGGCAAGATAAGCGTTCTCCTGCCGTTGCTGGAGGTACTGAAAGCGGCCGGCCATCGAGTGCTGATCTTCAGCCAGATGACCAAGATGCTGGACATAGTGGAGGCTGTGATGCGATGGAAGGTGAGTTTTCTAATTGTGCTCAAGCCAGGTTTGGCAGGCGCATAGCTCGTGTGCAACCAGCCTAGTCAGGTCACCACACCAGCAAATAGCTGTCATAGGTACACATACTCAGGGTTCTAGCCAAAGGGGGGTAGGGGGGCGCAGCGCCCCCCTACTCCGTTTGCGCGCCCCCCCCCCCTGTGAAAAAGTGCCACCCCTTCCCCCCCCCCCCCTACTCATTTTCCGATTTTTGTGTTTTTTCACGCCATTCAACGAAAATACAGTCGATAGTCACTACTAGAGGGTTCATAAAGGCACATTTGTGAGCGGTGAAGTCGGGGTTCACCCTGTATGTTACATTTTGCATGGCAAGACGATTTTGGACAGTGGAAAAAATGGGTCATGGGGTAACTTTTCCCCATGCCCGCCCCCCTACTGTATTGACCTGGCTAGAACCCTGATACTAGTCAAATTAGGCAAAGTGGCGGGCGGCTATGAGGCTGCCAGTGGTGCATGGTCACCACACCACAGGTGTGCGGGCTACGTCCTTGGTTAGCTTATGGCACCTACGGTACGCGCGTGACTAGTGACAGATGTGAAACCACTCTATTGCGCTAAGGACGTGTGAACAGTGCCGTTTTTGATCCTATTTTGTCGTGTGTCTGTGCTGCAGAACATCCATTGCCTGCGTCTTGATGGTCGTGTGAAGAAGGTAGCCGATCGGCAGCGTATCATTGACAAGTTTAGCCAGGACAAGAAGTACACATGCTTTCTCCTGACCACGCAGGTAGGAGATGAGTAACGCGCAGTGCACGTGTGTGTGTGTGTGTTTGTGCACAAGTCTGCCTGCCTCGATGTCTGTCCATCCATCTATCTGCCTATCCGTCCGTCTGTCCAGTCATACATCTACCTATCCAGCTGTCTGTCTTTCCATCCATCTGTGATTCTGTCCGTTCGTCTGTCTGTTTCTCCATCTATAAAACAGAGAGGTTCCAGGCTGTCCAAGAGAGTGCTGAATACCGAGAGGCAGAGCTGGTTCAAACAATAAGAGGACAGGGAAAGTGTTTTAACTCTGAGTTTCACGCACTAAGCGATCATCAGAAAACTGTTTTCTGATGATCGCTGAGTGATGGTCGCTTAGGCTGTCATCACACCATGGTACAAAGCGCTGCGTCTACGTCCACGTAAGGAGTTTTTGGTCGGTTGTCATGATGATCCGTATACGGGGTGAAAACGGGAGCAGAGGAAACGGGAGACGTAGACGTGGTATGGAGAGGGGGGGGTATACGACTTTTTGTATGAACGTGTGTATCTACCCCAGCCTTTTTCCGAGCGACCCTGTACTTCGATGTACGTGGGTTCAAATTTTTCCAAAAACCTGACTGCGTGTACGCGTCAAGAACTGTGCCTGTCTGATGACACGACCACCCGTTTTGGTTTTTTCACCATAGACGTAGACGTAAACGGGAGTCGGAGAACGTGGTGTGATGACGGCCTTAGTGCGTGAAACTCAGAGTTAAAACACTTTCTCTGTCCTCTTATTGTTTGTTTCTCCATCTATGTACCGTAAAGTCGCGGATAAAAGCTGGGCTTATAAGCATATAAGCCGCTTTCTGCATCAGGCTTTAATGCAAACCAGGCGTGTATGCAAACCATGCTTATATGCACCACTGATATTTTTTGCCAGACTTGTATGCACATCTTCTACGCGCGACATGCGAAAATCTACCACTGACTACAGGTATGGCGCGGCAGTTTTAGTATGCACCGCACATAGCGCATGCATTCTTGACCTACCCGATCCGCATTTGCATAGAAGCCAGGCTTCTACGCGCGACAGGCTTATATGCATTTGACCCGTTTAATTTTCAGGCTTCTATCCGCGATGTGCTTGTATGCAAACCCGGCTTTTATCCGCGACTTTACGGTATGTGTCTACCTGTGTATTGATCTGTTTTCTCTGCTAGTCTGTCTGCCTCCCTGCTTCTCTGTCCGTTTCATGTTACAGGTTGGTGGTGTTGGCTTGACGTTGACTGCAGCCGATCGTGTTATCATAGGTATGGTGCTGCTCTATGCTGGGCTGGGTTGGGCTGGCCTGGGCTGTGAGGTGCTGAGCTAGGCTGGGTTGGCCTGGGCTGGGCTGGGCTGGGCTGGGCTGTGAGGTGCTGGTCTGGTCTGGGCTGGGCTAGGCTGTGCAATGCCGTGAGGTGCTGGGCTGATCTGAGCTGCTTGCTATTCCATGCTCTGCTCTGAACACTGCACATGTACTACTGTCTACTGCATGGCTCCACACTTGGTGTCAGCCATCAACTGATTCAACTCCTTGGCTTCTTTCACTTTTAGGCATACTTTCATTTCGTTGGCAAGAGAAAATCTTTTGGGGTGCCATGCGTACTATGACATGTGTAATGTAGTTTTTGCCAAGACTTGTGCAGTGTGGAGAAGTCATACGAAGACAATCCAATCCGTATCCCCATAATATGTATCCCTAATCACTTCTGTGTACTGTGTGTGGAATTGCTTATGTGTGCCCGTGTATGCCATTGTTGTTTGACCGTGTATGTCATTGTTGTGTCTGAATCACTACCTTGTACAGTTGATCCGTCGTGGAACCCGGCCGTAGATGCCCAGGCTGTAGACAGGTGAGTTTCCGAATGCCACGACGCACATGTCCGGTTTAGACACTTGCACATCCACACATGCCTGGTTTAGACCACACAAGAACACCCTGACCAGTACGATTTCTACCGCTGTGGTCTGTGAAATCCGACCCACAGAGCATATTTGGCGCCCGCAACTTGCACGGCCCTTGACGCCCTGGAAGGTGGTACAAATGCGGTTGGACATACACATGTACTGTGATCGGGACTGGTCCAGGGTGCCAGCTTTGGACTCTTGGGTCAGATTTCAATGAGCGCAACTGCATCATTCATCATGAAGGGTAAATCCGGACTTTGTGCCAGGGAAAACAAGCAGTCATTTTCGTAAAGAGCTCGCCAAGAATTGAGAGAATTATTTTGCTTTTTTGAGCCTTTTTCCCGAGACCATCTCTTCATTGCTTCCGTCTGTTTATGTGCAAGCCGAAATAGCTCAGTTGGGAGAGCGTTAGACTGAAGATCTAAAGGTCCCTGGTTCAATCCCGGGTTTCGGCATTTCTTTTTTTCTTCTTTTTCTTCCCCATGGACATGCATGCATGTTCTTTTCTTTGCGTTGCAACAAAATTCTTTCAATTCTTGCAGCATTTCTTCCTCTTCATTTTTCTTTTCGACCCACCATCTCCAGAGTCTTCGTTTTGTGCGAATTCCGCCATGCCTCATTGCATTTCTGTATATGTGATGATATGATCTCTATAATGCCCTTTTCGCTATACTTTTCCTTCTTTTCTCCACATTTTGTTATCAGGGCGTATCGTATCGGGCAGCAACGCTCTGTGGTGGTCTATCGCCTGATCACGTGTGGCACCATTGAAGAGAAGATTTATCGCAAGCAGGTCTTCAAGGACTCGGTCAATCAACAGGTCACCGGCGATTCATCACAGCCGCTGAGGTACATGCTTGTTCTTGTGTGTCTGTATACAGTGAAACGCGCTGTTTTTAGTTAGATCTTGGCATATTACAAGGCGGTGGAACACCGTGTTTGTAAATTGTGTCCCTTAGTACAACCATCCACGGTTGCTAGAGCCCCGGTGTAGTAAGGGGAACTATTTCCGAACACGGTGTTCCACCACCTTATAATATGCCAAGAACTCTTCCTTTCCTCTCTTCCATGTGCTCTCACAGCCGACTCACTGCTACCTTCGGTAGCCATTACACACACCAACAGCCATACAAGGAAGGGTTGCAGGTAGATACTGAAATTCGTCCTGACAGCTGTTTCGCCTTCATAAGGCTCATCAGAGAAGGTGATATTGAATAGGATGATATCAGGTGGAGATGGTCAGATTTATACTACAAAACATGGGCGCAAGATTACGGGCAAAGTGTAAGAATGAGAAATTACAATTCTCCAGCAACACAGTGCCAGGGGCACTGAGGGTAGCAGTGAGTCGACTGTGAGAGCGCATGGAGGAGAGGAGAGGAAGAGTTCTTTACATTTTATTGGCCGAATAGTACCGTTCACCATTTGAATTTGTTATATGCCGTCAAACTAAAAACTTGTACTACCTCCGACAAGCGAAACTTGGCGCGTTTTTTTGATCTTTTTGTGTTTGTACCACAAGTAACTTTAGTTACTTCACAAGGCTGTGTGTGTGAAGTACGCGTATACGACCTACTTGTGGAATTGTACTCTCCATGCAACCGGGTGCAGGAAGCCATGCGACGAGCTGGTGAGTGGCACATGGCTCGACTAGTCAGAAGCAGGCCAGTCTCTCGTGTACCAGCACAACAGTGCGCGCGCGCCGCGCGTCCATTCTGCGAAGGAGAATCGTCGTGATTTCGCGTTTCAATGCAAAACCAAGGAGTTCTCTCTCTCTTCACTTGATCACTCAGCCAGCACAGAGTCCATACGTCCATGCCAAATAATCCTAGCGTCTTTCAATAGCCTTCAGAGCCATGCGTCTCTGGTGGCTAAGGAAAAGAGCCAGGAATTGCTGCCTGCAATTTTGGACAGTTGGCGAGAATACCCGGCAAAAATGTTGCAGTCCAGGCGCGTTTGGAGGTGTTGCACAGTTCTTACCACGTCAACCTGGATAGTGGCGGCGGAAATGACGACCCTCGACACCGAGGGTCGACACCGTGGCTCAAGCACAGGAGCGACATCGATATTTCCAGAGCGATCACAACAGAGATACTTGCGGCAACTGAATCCGCTCTAGTCGCGCTTTCGTCTCAAAACAGGGACAATTCCTCTCCAGAAGAAACTGCGATCTCTGAATCAGAGGAGAGTGATTCAGCCTAGCTGATGTCTCTAATGTCCTTGTTGAGCAATACGCAGTTGTATTTTGGTGAGTCAATCACTAGTCTTGATTGTAAAGTGTGAGTTATTTCGAGTAATTTGAAGTAAAAAACGCGCCAAGTTTCGCTTGTCGGAGGTAGTAAGTAAAAAGCGTGTTTCTACAATACAAGGTTTATCTAATACAGTGAAACCTGTGTAAGATGATCACTCAAGGGACCTTCAAAACATGGTCTCTGTTTCCAGGTGATCTCCTTATCCAGGGTCATTTGAGTGGAAATGACATCCCTTGGTCCTGGTTTCTGTGGTCTTCTAGGACAGGTGGTCGCCTTATCCGAGTGGTCGCTGCCTTGACACAGGTTTTACTGTACTGCCAATGAGTATCATGCATATGTAGACTTCCACGGTGCTGCTCAATGAAATCCGGTCGCACGTCTAGCGGCCCAGGGCGCTGGCCGCATATGCAGCCGTGGGTAAGCGGTGCACACATGCATTTATGCGCTGCAGCGCGCTGGTCGCATTGGATCAACATGTGCACTGCATGTAACGTTCTGTACGCGCTGAGGGTGCCGGCCCCGGTCATTTGACTGGATTTCCATGTCCATGACAGTAGTATGCTTCAGAATGAGGGCTCTTCTGACTTCAGAATCGGAGATTTGGTGACGTAAGTAGAAGCCAACAAGTCCTTCATCCAGAGCAGTGACAGAATGAACAGAGCAGTGACAGAATGACACTAAGTTGTATTGTGTGTGTGCATGTGTGTGTGTGTGTGTGTGTGTGTGTTTGTGCACGCGTGTGTTTGTGCACGTGTGTGTGTTTGTGCACGTGTGTGTGTTTGTGCACGTATGTGTTTGTGCACGTGGATGTATTGATACTTGCTGTGTCGTCGCCATGATCGTCAACTGCAGGTACTTCACGAGCCACGAGCTTCATAACCTGTTTATGCTGGACAACCCATGGCAGAGCACGACTCAGGAGCGCCTCTCACAGCTGGAAGACACGCAGAGTGTTGGGTACGCATGGCTGCAGAATCACAGACAGTTCTTCTCATCGCTGGGTAAGTGGACTGCTCACCAAGACTGCATGCAGTGTAGTGGAATCTGTGTTTGTGATGTGGCTGTGATGTGTTTGTGTGATACATTTGTAATGTTGTTTGTGTGTGTGTGTGTGTGTGTGCGCATGTGTGTGTATGTGTGTGCGTGTATGTGCGTGTGTGCGTGTGTGTATGTGTGTGTATGTGTGTGTGTGTGTTTGCGTGTAGGTGTTGTGCAAGGTCTCAGTGAACATCATCTACAACTGAATGTTGTGACTGATGAAGACTTCTGGGACGAAAATAAACTGGTCAGTTTCCGAGTCGGTTCATTCTTCACACCTGCCCTTTTTTCTCTCTAGTTCTCTTTCCTCTCTCTCTCTCTCTCTCTCTCTCTCTCTCTCTCTCTCTCTCTCTCTCTCTCTCTCTCTCTCTCTCTCTCTCTCTCTCTCTCTCTCTCTCTTCTTTTTCTTTCTCACTCTCACTCTCTCACTCTCTTCTCTCTCAGTCAGCCTGTCTGTCTGTCTGTCTGTCTGTCTGTCTGTCTATATCCCCATCTTTCTACGTGGCTGGCTGATTGTCGATCGTCTGCCCGTCTGTTGGGATAGTGGCATAGAAGAATGAACAAGGTTTTGATTGATTGATTGATTGATTGATTGATTGCAGTTTAGCTGCAACTCACGGTTTCATGCCAGAGAAAGTTGTTTCCTGAGGTTCGTTTCCACGTGAAAATCTAGTTGCAGCTGAAACTTCATTCCATCTTGTATGTTGTTTGACCGGGTTTCCACCCCAGTGTTGCAGGATTGAAGAGTTTTCCATCCCAGTGCAGGGGTGTAGCAGCCGGTCCGTCCTGTCCGGCTTTAGCCGGACCACGTTTTTTTAACACAATGTCAAAAGTGCCCAGAATGCAGGAATTTGCACCCTAATTTCAACGAAATTCCACGGGAACCCCCTGGACCCCCACCGGCCAGACCATCTCCAACGGCAGTGCTACTATACACCTGCAATGTTGAGAACCGTGTGATCACAAGAAGTATTCTACTGTACAGCCATCCCTCTTTCATCAAGCACTTTCTAAACCAGCACCCTCTATAAATCAGCACAATCATCAGTAGGCAAAATGTCAAATGGCGCCAGATTATAAAGGGACCACTGTATTGGGATATTGATGCCGCTCATTTTGAATTATCCTCACAGGATAAGCCTATGCAATGACTTCTATTTTAATTATCCTCTACGGGGAACATTATTCACGGGTGTCTGTTGCGACAGCGATATACCAGCATGCAATTGCAACAGCAGAATACCCCTCCCCCCCCCCCCCCCCCCCAACACACACACACACACATGTGCACCTCCCTCTCAGTCCGTTCATGTATTCTATTGCTGTGATGTCTATTGTCCACACACAGGTGGGAACACATCACTCTGAAAGTGTCTTGCAGAAACATCGTCATCTCACCAGAGCCAAGTAAGGTTCCCGCACAATCATGATCCTCCAATACGCTGTACTGTGCAAGCGCTTCAGCAGACACTCTGCTGTATGCTGTGCAAACTGTTCTGCAAACGCTCAAACATTCTGTTGTGTACTAGGCAAACGCTTCAGCAAACACTCAAACATTCTGTGGTGTGCTAGGCAAACGCTTCAGCAAACACTCAAACATTCTGTGGTGTGCTAGGCAAACGGCTCTGTAGACACACTGTTGAATGCTGTGTAGACAGTTCTGTGAGCACTGAAAAGCTCTGTTGTATACTGATCAAAGTAAAGGAGTTTATGTTGTCTTGGAGGCATGGGTTGACGTTGACAGTGTGATATACAAGTTGTGTGCACTTTGGAAGTATCTTGTATCGCTGAGCCAACTTTGCCTGTATGGTTTTACTTTTACACCTGACGTATTGTAAGTTATTTCGTGTGGCAATGAGGTCTCTGTCTCTGTCTCTCTCTGTCTCTCTGTCTCTCTGTCTCTCTCTCTCTCTCTCTCTCTCTCTCTCTCTCTCTCTCTCTCTCTCTCTCTCTCTCTCTCTCTCTCTCTCTCTCTCTCTCTCTCTCTCTCTCTCTCTCTCTCTCTCTCTCTCTCTCTCTTCTCTCTCTCTCTCTCTCTCTCTCTCTCTCTCTCTCTCTCTTCTCTCTCTCTCTCTCTCTCTCTCTCTCTTCTCTCTCCCTCTCTCTCTCTCTCTCTCTCTCTCTCTCTCTCTCTCTCCCTGACAGGCGTCATGAATCTCATGGAAATTTGGAGACAGCTCTTGTACATCACTTGAAGGCAGTCAAGCTCGACCCCAGTGATCTGAGAGTGCAGTTCCGCTGTCTGCAGCTAACAGCTCAACTAGGCCTCTGGCACTGACCCAACACGCCAACCTGAGAAGCACTGGCATGATGGACGGTACACGTATGCTGTGTGTGTGTGTGTATTCGTGTTCGTGTTCGTGTGTGTGTGTGTGTTTGTGTGTGTGTGTGTGTGTGTTTGTGTGTATGAACTCTGTAGCTGGCTATAGATGTCTGATTTCCTCCATCTCAATATTACACTAAACTCTTTGTACTAATACCCTGCTAGCTACTATCAGTTGTCTGTCTAGTGTCAACAGTTAGATTCGAGTTTTTCATGGAAGAGGCAGAGCCCGTGCGGGAGAAGGGATGTCTCTTTTTAGTATTATTTTTTTAAGACTTTCAACACACCTTGCTACTAACGTTGCTGTGCTCACAATGATCTTGTCATGAAACCCGCTGTTACTCTTAGAAAAAAGTTTGCAATTGTGGCAATTTGGACTACTCTATGTCATGCGTTCCTTTGCCTGCTGTCCGAGTGTCGTTGGTACAGTAGTGTTGCTAAAGAAGGATCCACGAGCGGGATTTGAACCCAGCACCCGCCTGTCTTTCCGGGACGGTGCCCTATCGATTAGGCTACCGGGTATCACACACACACACACACACACACACACACACACACACACACACACGCACACGCACACACACACACACACACACACACACGCACACACACACACACACGCACACGCACACACACACGCACACACACACACACACACACACACACACACACACACACGTGGCTTCTTCTTGCTACACTGCTCCCGGCCCCGACATGCTGTGTCCTCACGCTGTACCCACTCGCACTTGGGTTTGAGCCATTGCCAGGCACCAATGTTGCAAAAGGAAGGCTACTGGGCATCGAACACCCACCCGTCCATGTGTGGCTCCTTCTTGCAGCTACAGTAGAGTTGTGCATGCATCACCCACGCATCGACTAGTCACCAGGGAGTCGTCGGGTACCATTTCTTGACGACTCCCTGCTAGTCACCATGCGCGGGCTGATGGTGGAGGTGAGAGATGATGGATCTGCACGATGTGATAGAACTGCTCGCAGCTAGATAGAGCGCGTGGTGTTCAGCGTGTGCTGGCTACCGTTTTGCACACTGTGTCCATGATTGTAGTGCGAAATCTGCTGCTACCAAAGCCTCTTGTACGGGGCGAAAAGAACCAACTAGTGACTACTTGTATTGAAACTAACCTACCTTGTGCACTGTGACAGGTTGTGTGAAGCTAGGATTCATCATCATCAATGCCGGCATGCTGCAGCTAGGTGCTGAATTTGACCTGGTACTGTGGTAGGTCTAGCACTGTTCCACAGCCCTACTCCTGCACTGCATGTTCAACCTCATTCTTATTGTCTATGTGATATACCGTAGCTATAGGCCGAAGGCCCAAACTCCTTGTACATCTACTACATGTGGTATAGAGGGCGTGTTTGATTGGTCGAAACCGGATTCAGATCCGGCCAACCCACCTCGGGGAGCAGGTTTGACCGGATCCAACAGATTCTTTTTTGCCAATCAACCTGTTTGGCATGAAAACTCCACATTCGTTCGATTGGACCTAGGAGGATCCGAGTGATCCAGGCAATCGATCGGGATCCAGATCCAACGAATCGAACACACCCTGAATAGAAGCAAAGGTAACCATTGTTTTTTTCTTCCTTGTCAAGCATGCCCGTGCACAGACGGTGCAGTACCACTCGAGACGCGAGTGAGGCCGACAACTGGGTCTGTTGACATACAAAATAAAGCACAGACGACCATGTACAGTCGACTCCACTTATAACGAACTCGAATATAGCGTATTCTGTGATGTAGCGAACCCCCTGCTTGAACCCATACAAAATCGACCCTTTTATAGCGAACCGTTTCCGTTTATAACGAACCAAATCTTGTAGGGCCGCATGTAAACCAACTGCACTCATACAGCCATGAGCCACTTACCAGTCATGACTTGATGCTTGTATAGTGTGAGTGCATTTCTGTTAAAACAAACCTCGGCTATAAAGAACTAATTTTCCTGCAAAACGGTGTTCTTTATAATCAGGAGTCGGCTGTAGATGTTCGTGTATGGTCGACTCCTGATATAACGAACACCATTGTGCAGGAAAATAGTTCTTTACTGCCGAGGTTCGTTATAACAGAAGTGTACTTACACGATACAAGCAACAAATCTCTAACTGGTAAATGACCTGTGACCTGAAGCCGGATCAAACAGGGACGTACTAGTTAGTAGTAGATGGGCGATGGTTAGAATCTGATCACGAAATTCGTTATAATGCGAGTTTATTACAATGTATTGCATCATTTGCATGACTGTACTGTAACAGTCAAAGACAGTACTACTACTGTACTAGTGTCATGTAACTAACTAAATTACTTACTTACTTGTAAGTGGAGTCGGCTGTATACACATGTACACCGTGTACACAGTAGATCTACACTACAAAAAAGTACAGACATGTCGACAGCACATGGCCCCACGCACATCACAAACAAACAAACAGCAGCTGGCATACGTGTATGTCACGCGTGACATGCCATGGCATGGCATGGCGCATATGGCATGCCATGTCGAACAAAAAAACTGTTTCAAGCGTTCTGTGTTGACTCGACAAGTACACTACATCATGTAGACAGTCAGTTGATGCACGCGCGGTACTCGGCAAGCTGTATGCTACACGATCGAGGATCAGGACGACGCCAGCAATGCACCATTCAACAACTATTCTCATGTACTTCGTGCAACGTAGTTTTGCAGGCCTTATGTTTTCCGATCAAGTCCACTGCTAAGTCTCAGCCGCTAGCTAGCGGGGAGTTGTTGGTGATCGCTGCAAGCACCGTGTGCAGTATAGTGCTCTGACTGGAAGACCAAGTGCGGCACCGGACGAGCTGGGTCGTGAATTATTCAGTTCGTCACGTTTTGGGTGAGCGAATCGCTTCACGAAGGTACCCAATTCTAGTATGTATAATACTGTACGATCACGGTGTATGTTTGAAAACCCCCATGGCTATGAATGATTATAATCTCGCCATGTATGTTTTATTCACGATCCATCATCACGTGTGCTCCAAGATACCATTCCGACGCAATGTAAAAAAATTATTGTAGGAGCGCGTGACCACAGATCCGGAGGCGATGATGCTACGAGAACTATTTATTCGGAATGACAGATAATTGCCCACTTTTAAAGTTTGATGCTTTGAGTGTACGTCATTCGGGAGGTTTCGGTCTACGTAAGAACGTATGAAAACACATAATGCCGTACGCGCCGGGGAGCGAGGGCAACTTTCATACTCTGTATGGATTTCCATAGGAAAGCTGTTTCCTACGTTGCGTCCTCCGTAGGAATGTTTGAAGTATTTTTCGCACTTTCCAGATTTATCCATGGCAACGTTCAAGCCGTGTGAAACACAAGGTACACACCACATGGAAAACAATGGAAAACGCGGTTTCGGTTCGTGGTGCATGCTGTGGGCGCATGCAGCCAACGCGTCTCCAAAGCAACAAGGCATGCTTAGCAGCCGTGGAGAAATCACGTAGAGCGAAACCCAACGGCGCTGATTTTTTTTACGTATGAAAATTACGTGCAGTTCCTACGTTATTTTCATGCGTAATTCCGTAGAGAGTAACCTCCCTAATATGTCGTTTCGTGTGTGTTGCTGGCCGTTACGTTCTCAGCTATAGCGGCACCGTGTTTGCAATAGTAATGGTGGTTCCAGCTGTGAACTGTGACGACTGCATTCCACAGCACAGTTACAGGGGCAGCGTCGGAAGGTATTTTAGGGTGGAACGGTCAGTCATCTGAAGTACAGTTTACTCGTGAGGGAGGGGTGGCGGAGCCGAAATTTTTTGGAAATTTAGAGTCCAGATCAGCGTATTTTATTGATTCACGGGGTACCTGGTGCAAAAAGTGGTACGGTCAATACCGTAGTGACCGTAGCGTGTGTGACGTCCCTGAGTTAGCTGTGCTGATAATCACGACCAGACTGTGGAAATGGTTGGTGATGTGAAATTTACATCGTAATTCAAATACGGTGCTGCTCAGTGAAGTCCGATCAACTTGCAAGTGAATGCCATGCTGCACTGGGCGTGGACCTAGCCCTAGACCTGTGAATGCCATGCTGCACTGGGCGCTGGACCTAGCCCTAGACCTGCAAACTCTGGGATGTGAAGTAGGTGCAGGGCGCGCAAGCTTGACTCGCGTGATCAGTTGGATTTCATTGAGCATCACTGTACGCATAGTAGAATCTCTTGTATCCGGCGGGCGCCGCGAGATCGGGATCGAAACTGGTTTCCCTTATTTCAGATTCGTCTGTAACTCGAAAATACACTACAGCAATACAAGATACCGTGGTGTAGCTCAGAAGTAGCGACAAACTCGGCCATTTGAATTAATCTTAACCGTCCACCTCTCCACACTGCGCGTGGTGTAGCTGGTCCATCTTTTAGAGGCGGGGAGGGGGGGGGGGTACCTCTGGCTTCACGGCAGTGATGCCCTCCTGGCCTAGGGCACCAGTGGTCCTCTTCCCGCCCTGGGGCACTTGGCTCCCGTTCTGAGCAAACTCAGCCCAGCACTCGGATGCAAGCGGCACATGCTTTGCACCATTGCTCTTCAAAACTGGTACACTGGTGAGACGTGAGTGAGAGAGAAAACTATTGTTTAGCTTTGCTTAGCTTAGCTTAGTGGTCCCGGGCTATTTTCAAACACAGACTGCTTTCGCTCACATGTATAATAGGAGGCGCAATTGCCTGTTTGTGTTGCGACTTTGTTTTTGGGTTCAATATCCTTTGTTTTACTGGGTTTAAATTTGTATTGTATTTCCATTAAAAAAAATATTGCTTAGCCGAAGCTTTTAGGACTGTTTGTGCAAAACACATTGTTTGAAAGTTATCACTCTCCTTACCAGTAACGCTGTGTTCACAACTGGCGCGTGTACGCGTGAAACCACGCGTTTGGGCTTATTTTTGCTGGCTTTTAGGACGCCATGCGTACTGAAACGCGCCGAAATGGAAACATGTTGGAATTTTCAGCGCGTATCAGGCGCGTACTAGCGTACATGCCAGTCACTTTGACTGGCGGGGTCACAAAATTAGTACTCGAAGGTGTCGCACGCGCTAAATACGACTCGGATTGCTGTTTTTTGTGAAAGCTTGAGCGCGCGTTTGGGCACGCATGAACCGCAAGCGTACCGCGTCCACGCGCCAGTTGTGAACACAACTTTACAGTGCACACTCGATCCTGGAAACAAAGCATGCGTGACTTATCGCGAGTGCGAGGCTTACATCATAAATATTTTTACTTCAGTAGCAAAAAGAATGTCATCCGGATTGCAAAGTGGAACGCGGAACCCCCTCAGTTTTGCAAATATACTACTGGAAACCATATGCATGTACATGTATCAGCTATTCAGTTTTGGCTAAACTGGAACCCCTGTGGAGATCTCTGGTCGGGATACTGTTGCATAGGTCGGAATTGCCTGTCTATGCAGCACCATGACTGATCTGCAACTATTTGTAACTGAGAGGTATGCCTGTCAATGACCACGGTCCTCATTCGGGCCGCCTTGTCTCTACAGGTGTCCTACTGCAGGCGTTTCCACGGTTACTGCCGTTGCCGCGGCGATATGCGATGGGCTCAAGCTTGATGATGAGCACATTGAATTTCACTAGAGGTTAGTCTGGGTCTGTCTGTCCCCAGTTTGTGATCTGTCCCCAGTATGTGATCTGTTCCCAGTATGTGATCTGTCCCCAGTATGTGATCTGTTCCCAGTATGTGATCTGTCCCCAGTATGTGGTCTGTCCCCAGTATGTGGTCTGTCCCCAGTATGTGATCTGTCCGCAGTATGTGGTCTGTCCCCAATATGTGGTCTGTACCCAGTGTGTGGTCTGTCCGCAGTATGTGGTCTGTCCCCAGTATGTGGTCTGTCCCCAGTATGTGGTCTCTCCCCAGTATGTGGTCTCTCCCTGTGCCAAATATGTGGTCTGTACCCAGTATGTGGTCTGTTCCCAGTATGTGGTCTGTTCCCAGTATGTGGTCTGTTCCCAGTATGTGGTCTGTCCCCAGTATGTGATCTGTCCCCAGTATGTGGTCTCTCCCCAGTATGTGGTTTCTCCCTTATCTGTGGTCTGTCCCTAATCTGTACTCTGTCCCTAGTCTGTGGTCTGATTTACTCACTCTCCCACTGCTGCTTGAGGAGCTGCATCTGCGCCTTGATCCTTGACGGTGGTGACGTTCCTATGCTATGTATGCCGAACATTAGTCTCAGTCTGACTGAGTCTCACACCAACAGTAAAGAATAGTTTATGAGATAATCTCAGATTGGAGTTACAAGCAAAAAAAAACAACGAAAAAATGAAAGCTGGGAGTTGCGAGAATATAATGCATTGATCCGTTATGGTTGCTTTTTGCTTGTCGCTCCGTCTCTGACCCCCCCCCCCTTGGTTATTGAGCTCTTTGTGTATAACGTATCTTGGGCTCCCCCCCCCCCCCCCGTGAGATTGGAGTTATACACTTGCGCACTCGTACTGCCGATGTATAACCTGTCTCACTTTGGTAGTTAGGGACGGTGAGACCATGCTGCGGGATTAGCTATGCTCCGACGGTACGTAAAATCGCTTTAGGTGACTATTTGCATGTGATACCATCTTGTGAAGTGTGCTGTAGGTGTTAGCGTGGATGGCATAGTTACGGCTAAAGGTATACACTGCTCTTCAGACCATCTCTCTCTCTCTCTCTCTCTCTCTCTCTCTCTCTCTCTCTCTCTCTCTCTCTCTCTCTCTCCCTCTCTCTCTCTTTCTCTCTCTCCCTCATTCCCAACTGTTTCTCACTTTCACAGACATGCCATTGACGGAGAAGGAAATCGACACGCTTCACAAGATCGCAGCCAGCAAGTCCGACGAGGAGGACATGCCTCGCGGTGGTTCTGCACCGGGACCGGGATCGCCTGGTTCCACGACGGCTGGTGGTGGTAAGCGAGGCGGTGGACCTGGAGCAACGGTGTCAGCGGGGGTAGTAGCAGGAGGAGGTGTTGATCCACTGGATCCGGCCAGCCTGGATGACCTGAGCCTGGGCGAGATGTTCCTGTGGAGTGCAGTGAACCTGTGGGGAGTGTGGCTGCTGACATGTGTGCTCACCATGTGGACGCTGCGCGACTACCTGCCAATACGTGAGAGCCTACAGCAATGTGAGTGCAAAGTGTGTGTCACGCAGGATGTGTGTGCACTAAGACCTGCCGTTGAGATCACCTGCTTTGGGCAGCCACTTGTGTAGGGAAACCACCTGTATGTAGAGATCACCTGACTTTAGAGATCACCTGTCTTTAGAGATCACCTGTCAATAGAGACCACCTGCCTTGAGCAGTCACTTGTCTATGGAGACTACTTCTGAAGTACCTGTTTTTAGAGACCACCTGTCTTTAGAGAGCAGTGACATCCATTTCCCAGACCATATTTGTAATACATTCCAATGATTCCAGTATGTGCAGAAACTGGAAAGACCACTTATCATCACAACCTGTCATCAAGAGTCCCCCCCCCTCCCCAGGGCCAGAGTGTGCAACTACACTAGTGTATGTGTTCGGTGTGGTACGGCAAGGTAGTTGCTAAAGCAAGATTCCACCATGACAATACATGTGATCTTGTACCAGCTGGCTCGATATCAATTTTGAGTATTGTTATTGACAAACATGCATTACACTACACCAGTCAAACACATCATGTTGTCTGTCTGTGCGTGCACACTGCCTCTGTGCTTTTGCCCCCACTATGTAGACTTCTTTGCACTGCAGATGCTGAGCATTGAGGACGTCGTGTTCACCTCGTTCCTGCTTGCTTCTACGCTATTCATACCCGTGGTAGGTAGAATACTGTGGTATTGGCAATGTGATGCTGGTGGTGTGGTGTTGGTGGCGGTGGTGCAACCAACGATACACCGGGCATTGCGTGCTTGGTGCTGTGGAAGTACAGACTCGGCCTCGGGGCTACAGAGCCCTGCACACTGCAGTATCATGAGCACTTGCCATGCTTGCATGGACAATCACTTTTCTGCACCGGCTGAGGATGATTTCATATTTCACAGGCAAGGGCATCACACACGGTACGACCAGTACGACTATGGTCGTACCACTCTTCATCCAGGATGGTCCGCTCAATTCATCCAAAAAAAAAGCAATAAAGGAGCACTAAAATGTGCCCTGTTGGCCGGAAAATTCGATTTTTTCCCCAGGGGACACCCTGAACCCGGTCGAGCCACTCTCCACTGCCCTGTGATGCTCTGACAGACAACTACATATTTTGGCTGGACCATTGGCCTAAAAACTTGATGCAGCTTTCAAGTTTTAATTCTCACTATTTGAACCCCACTGCAGAATACCGATTTGGGATTGATAACCTGAATTTGGTCTGGGCAGCTAAAGTATGTGTAGAGTGAGGGAAGGAGATGATGAGTGCTGGCTTCACCATGTATGGGCGGGCGTGCTGGTGGGTGGGTGGGTGTCAGCATGCTGCTTCTATTCTGGTTACCCTAGCATTTGTAGCGTGTGCGCAGGTAACTGTCTATACTAGTTTGCCCAATATGTGTACGACTGTACGGTGTGGGTATGTCTTGGCCGTCCTATTTCGATGTACTCTGTGTGGTGTAGACCAGGTGTGCATTGGGGGGGTCGATTCACATGGCTTTGCCAGTTGTGTGGATTGGACAGTGATCTGGAGCTAGTCTTGATCTAATGCATTCAGGTCTTGTCCGCTATCGTTGCTATAATTTATACATGCACATCCAGAGCATTTGTGCGGATTTGCGTGCTTCTCTTGTGACGACCGCACATGATATGTGGTATGGTGTGTGTGGTGTGTGTGTGTCCGTACGTGCGTGCATGTGTGTGTGTGTGTGTGTATGTGTATGTGTACATGTGTGTGTACGTGTGCGTCGTCTTGCCAACAGTGCTGTGACTGGTACTGCCATCGCGTGTACGACATCTCCTTCTTCTCCTATATCCGCTCCGGTGACATTCTCTCTTTCAAGCTACCCGAGAAACGTGACACCACTGATGTGCTCTCAGGTAAGCTGTGCCTAGCAATGTAGCAAGAAGAATGTGACATGCTCTGCAGGCGCATATCTGTATTGCTACACTGTCCGAAGAATGCTCAATACCCATATAGGCCAGAGCCTTCCGTACAAGAAAGAGAGGGGAAGCTGTGTTGCGACTCCGAGTTTCACGTAGTCACGATCATCAGGCAACTGATGACTCGAAACCGGGCAGCCTGAACATAAGAGGGAGCAAGGTGAATTGTTAAACGATGTCGGTTTCACTCCCGGGTTTCCCGTTCTAGTCGCCCTCGGGGCAGAGCTGATTTATACACTCTCGCATACAGCATCACTTGTCTGGGCCACACTTGAGATCAGTAGGTCAAGTCCCCAATCGCAATCGTGAGTTGCATGGACTACTGGTCACATAGAACCTCCCAATCTGGAGTCGAAACGCAAATCGTCTGAGACGCTATAATAGCCCCGTGTTGTCTCAGGCACTGTAACGGTGAGGCTATGATGTATGTGTATCTGTGAAGGCTATGATGTATGTGTATCTGTGAAGGCTATGATGTATGTGTATCTGTGAAGGCTATGATGTATGTGTATCTGTGAAGGCTATGATGTATGTGTATCTGTGAAGGCTATGATGTATGTGTATCTGTGAAGGCTATGATGTATGTGTATCTGTGAAGGCTATGATGTATGTGTATCTGTGAAGGCTATGATGTATGTGTATCTGTGAAGGCTATGATGTATGTGTATCTGTGAAGGCTATGATGTATGTGTATCTGTGAAGGCTATGATGTATGTGTATCTGTGAAGGCTATGATGTATGTGTATCTGTGAAGGCTATGATGTATGTGTATCTGTGAAGGCTATGATGTATGTGTATCTGTGAAGGCTATGATGTATGTGTAGCTGCGTGTGTATGTATCTGTATTATCAGGCGCGTAGCACCGCCGTTGGAGGTGGTCCGGCGGGAAGGGGGTCCGGATCTCTCCCCCCTCCCCCCCCCCTCCCGTGACAATTTCAAATTAGGGTGCAAAATCCTGCATTCTGGGCACTTTTGGCATTGTGTTAAAAACAAGTGGTCCGACCCGGCTGCTACGCCCTGATGAATAATGTACATATATGCGTGTAATCATGCATTGGTGGGCATGTTGTTGCAGACTACAAGGTTTGGAGAAACCCGCTGTGTCTATTCAGAGGTTCCGAATATGATCGGTAAGCAACTAACACCCGTTGAATACCGCTTTATTTGTGTTGCTCCGCTGTATGCGATGGTGTGCCGGGAGTCAATGACACCATGCATCGTGCATTTCGTGTATTTGATGGTCGTGTGACAGTGCCGTATTTTCTGGTGTATAAGCCGCACTGCAGTATACGCCGCACCCAGATTTTAAACCACACTCAACTCCACCATTCACCGTTCTGTGTCCGTGTCTGCCTGTCTTTTCCTCGTGTCAACACAGATACACGTGGGTAACGAATGACCAGCCGCTGACCAGCAGAGACCGGGAGCTCACTGCACAGGATCACTCAGTGATGTTTATCTGTGCATCGGATATGGATGATCCGGAATCTCCCGACGCATGTAAGCCGGTCACGCTTTGTTGTACTGAAGACTCTCTTTTGTTTTTATTATCAGACGTTGATGAAGGCACCCCTGTGAGACATGTCCTTTTTACTACAGTAACAGGTTGTTCGCTATCATCGCTGCAGCGATGGACATGTGGAAATCGAAGTGTGTGTGTGTGCGCGTGTCTGTATTCATATGTATGCATGTGTGTGTGTGTGTGTGTGTGTGTGTGTGTGTGTGTGTGTGTGTGTGTGTGTGTGTGTGTGTGTGTGTGTGTGTGTGTGTGTGTACCTGTTCCGCAATGCAGTGATGAACCTGGCATGGCAGTCATGCTGCTCTACATCACGTATTCAGTTAGCACATGAAACACTGGACAAAGATCCAAGGTAGGAGTGCAACTGCTACCCCATTGTTAGATATTGCATGCGTCTTCACTCTGTACATTGACTCTTGATTTGACGGCTGCATGCATCTCTTGTATTTATGGCTACTGTGTGTTACCGTCGGACAACATTACGATTTATTGTTACATGTACGTTCTATGTCAAGTCAACCCTGTTCCCATTCGTTTTCTAGTTCTATACTTACTGCCATGACTTGTCCCGTTTATGGTTATACAGTCTTCTTCTTTTCCTGTCGTATTGCTTTCGTTTACCGGAGACTTCTACGGTATGTCTCTATTCGCCTCCACGATGTCCTTATCCTGACACTAGCATTTTCTGCGTCGCGTACGGCTGGTGGGAATATCTACCCCAGCCGTCGTGATGTAGGCGCTTCCTCATCATAACTACTTGGAGGACAGTCACGAGTTTGAGTATCTCTGATACTAATGATAATGATTCTTACTGAAGTATGAGGAGAATTATTTCCGAGTGGAAAGACACTGAGTGTCTGTGTGTAATAACTAAATGAGCTCAACGAAGAGCCAAAACGTCCTTTAGGATTCTACTACTACTAGTACGGGCAGAACCAGAGTAGGATCTCTAAAATTGGTCCTTCGAGCCGGATTCAATGGATGCGAGGTCGAGAAAGGCTGACCAGAGTGTCGCCTTCGCCAAAGCAAGAATCGCGGTTCTGAACGATATCGAAAATGGATCACCTGTAAGTGCTGTCAAACTGTCACTCGTGGAGCTGGACCTAAAAGTACATTGCTTGCTTAGTACATTGCGGGAGGATCCAGAGTTGTTCGAGGAGTATGTAGCAACACAAGAAATGTATGCAAACACAGTGGCTATGGTTAGTGAGTACATGTACGGAATTTGTTCAAACTACAACAGTTCACGTGCGAGCTCTATAAGTGGTGTACAGTACACCCGGAATGCCGATAAGGTGAAAGCATACTTAGCGAGTCTAGATAAGGACACGGATCACGCACCAGGAGCTGCAGGCCTTGTCCTGAGCGGCCATATGCAGCAAACAGACAGCACGAGTCGTGCACAGGCAGACGCACAGGTTCCCGAAACGGGCGAGAGTGCGCCGTTATGCGAACCCGCTGGTGATCAGACGGCTTTACAAGGCTATGGTCATCATCAAAAGGCAGATACGAAGGATCGGCAAGAGTATCCAAACGACGTAGAAGATGCAACTGCAAATAGTGATACAACGTGGGCGAACGCTTTCGTGCCAGACATTGCTACGCCAGTGATTGTTCCAGAAAGCACCGAGTATATGATTGAGAATGCACAGCAGTTCAACACTGGGACAGCACCATTGGCCCAAACCAACAACTCCATGGACACATTGTGGCAACCTGGCAAACAGACCCCAGAGACTGCATCGCAACCTGTGTCTAGGATGCAATCACAGCGCACACGCATGCAGTACACACACACACAGCCTTTGTATGTGTCGCAGTCTTTGTCGCAGCCCTTGCCTTCATGTATGTCACAACCGTTGTCTGCGTATCAGTACTTGTCGCTGCCTGTGTCGCTGCCCGTGTCGCTGCAGTCGTTGCCGCCGTTGTCTGCGTCTCAGTCTTTGCCGTTGCCTGTGTCGCAGCAGTCGTTGCCTGTGTCGCAGCAGTCGCTGCCCGTGTTGCAGGAGTCGCTGCCTGTATCGCAGCAGTTGCTGCCCGTGTCGCAGCAGACGCTGCCCGTGTTGCAGCAGTCGCTGCCTGTATCGCAGCAGTCGCTGCCCGTGTCGCAGCAGTCGTTGCCGCCGTTGTATGCAGATCAGTCTCTGCCGTTGCCTGTGTCGCAGCAGTCGCTGCCCGTGTCGCAGCAGTCGCTGCCCGTGTTGCAGCAGTCGCTGCCTGTATCGCAGCAGTCGCTGCCCGTGTCGCAGCAGTCGTTGCCGCCATTGCCGGCAGATCAGTCTTTGCCGTTGCCTGTGTCGCAGCAGTCGCTGCCCGTGTTGCAGCAGTCGCTGCCTGTATCGCAGCAGTCGCTGCCCGTGTCGCAGCAGTCGTTGCCGCCATTGTCGGCAGATCAGTCTTTGCCGTTGCCTGTGTCGCAGCACTTGTTGCCGCCGTTGTACGCGTCCCAGTCGGTCTATGTGCCGAAGTCATCGCAGCCTTTGTCTACGTTGCAGCCGTCGTCTATGCCGCAGCCGTTATCACGCATGCTACCGCCGCAGCGGTTTTCCACGCCGCTACCGAGGCCCAGGCCACAGCCGTTGTCTGGGCTACAACAACAGCAGCAGCAGCGGCAACAACTACAGCAACAGCAACAGCAGCAACAGCAGCAGCGGCAACAACAACAACAACAGCAGCAGCAGCAGCGTCAACAGCAACAATACCAGCAGCAGCAACCCGCGCAGACCAGTTGGTCTGGAATGACAGCCAGCTCAACATCGTCAACAGCAGCACCAACAGACGTGTACCGACACCTGAAGAAAGTGAAGATACCTACGTTTAGTGGTGATAAAACAGCATACAGAACATGGAAAGCAGCATTCTCGGTTTGCGTAGAGCAGCAAGATTTATCGCCAGAGCTGAAATTATTGCAACTACGTCAGTGTTTGACGGGCTCAGCATTGAAAGCGATAGAATCTTATGGATACTCAGCAGCAGCGTACACCGCAGCAATCAGGCGTCTAGAACAGAAGTTTGGTGGCGATAGAAGACAGACAGCAGTGCATACAGAGGCGCTGGCGAGGCTACCAGTGATACGAATGGAACGAGCTGCCCAGGATCTGGAGAAGTTCGCTGATCTTCTCCAAGTAGCTGTCATTCACCTAGAAGACGCCGGACGCAGCCAGGAACTTCAGGCTGGTGCATTCTATCAGCAGCTCCTGAAGAAACTGCCACAGTCTCTCTTGACGCAGTACTACCGCCAGATGACAGAAAGAGGTGAAGCGGAGACGGTATGCACTCTGCTGGCCTGGGCATTAAGAGAAGCGGACTACAGAACAACAGCACAGGAGACACTCACTGGCATCACCACACAGCCTGAGGGGACCAGTACACGCAACAAACAGACCTACAGAGAACAGCCAACAGCAGCAGCATTAGCAGCCTTTACGTCCCCGGCAAGTGCCAGTTGCGTGTTCTGTGGACAGAGTCATGAGACGGCCAGGTGCTCTGTCGTTACAAACACAGAGAAGCGGAAGGACATAGTTAAGAGCAACGGAAGGTGCTTTCTGTGTCTGAAACCGAACCACATAATCCGTCACTGTCAGTCGAAGTTGAAATGCGCCAAGTGCCAACGTCGACACCACACTACCCTGTGTGACTCAACATCTGACAGGCCATCACCTGTGACACCACCCACGTCGCGCTATGAAAAGAAGCCGGCCGCTAACAACCAGTCTAGGGCAGCATCGGCTCCAAGCAAGAAGGAACCTACCAATCCATCCGCCAGCAGCGTTACCCTGTCGTCTGTCAGCGTTCTGACATCATCTAGCAAGGACAACAATATGGTTTTGCTGCAGACCGCTAAAGCTATAGTTGCACCAGGCTTACCAGTCCGAGAAAACGGGATCCCTGTGAGGTTGTTGTTCGACGGAGGGAGCCAGCGCTCATTCGTGACACGTGATGTGCAAAGGCGGCTGGACCTAAAGACAGACAGGCAGGAAGGCTTGAATGTCAATGCCTTCGGTGATTGCTCTGTTGGGGACAGCGGTTTAAGAGACGTGGTGAATCTGACCGTACAGAGTACGGAGGGAGACCCCCTGCAGCTGGAGTGTATCGTGATTGAATCAATTTGTGCACCAGTCCAGAACCAGCACCCTGCACAAGCAGTCCAGTGCTGCGGTGCGCTACAAGGCCTCACACTGGCAGACGACAGCGACGGCACAGCCACAATTGATCTATTGATTGGAGCCGATCAGTACTGGCAATTTATGATGGGCAAGACGATCACGACGGCCTCTGGTCCGACAGCCATCCGTACGCGTCTTGGCTGGGTCTTGTCTGGTCCTGCATCAGGCCCAACAACTAGTACGACAGGTACATGCCTCGCTACTGAGGTGCACAGCTTAACGACGACAGCGCAGGTCCTTGATCAGCAGCTTCAACAATCCTGGGAGCTGGAGTCTCTTGGGATACATCCAACAACGGAGAATCAAGTCCATGCAACACTACCTGACAACTTCCGATTCAGCAATATCGAGGAAGTCAAGAACCCGGAATTTGGTGATGTGAGAGATATACACTATGCGCCACATCAAGCCGTTGGTGGAGAAGATAGGACCACGACAAGAGTGCGTGTTGTGTACGATGCGTCATTCCGCTCAGGCAAGGGCCCGTCGATCAACGTCTGCCTCAACACGGAGCCCCATCTGCTGGAGAAGCCCCATCTGCTTGAGAAGCCCCCCTGGTGGGGCGAGTTCTTTGAGAGAATGGTGAGATGCGTCAAGCGTTGTCTCAAGAAGATCCTACACCTTTGATTGCAATATCATAAGTATTCGTTGTTGAGCTACAATACATGCATTCGTTCAGCCTTATGTATCTCAACGGAGGGAGTGTTAGATATTGCATGCGTCTTCACTCTGTACATTGACTCTTGATTTGACGGCTGCATGCATCTCTTGTATTTATGGCTACTGTGTGTTACCGTCAGACAACATTACGATTTATTGTTACATGTACGTTCTATGTCAAGTCAACCCTGTTCCCATTCGTTTTCTAGTTCTATACTTACTGCCATGACTTGTCCCGTTTATGGTTATACAGTCTTCTTCTTTTCCTGTCGTATTGCTTTCGTTTACCGGAGACTTCTACGGTATGTCTCTATTCGCCTCCACGATGTCCTTATCCTGACACTAGCATTTTCTGCGTCGCGTACGGCTGGTGGGAATATCTACCCCAGCCGTCGTGATGTAGGCGCTTCCTCATCATAACTACTTGGAGGACAGTCACGAGTTTGAGTATCTCTGATACTAATGATAATGATTCTTACTGAAGTATGAGGAGAATTATTTCCGAGTGGAAAGACACTGAGTGTCTGTGTGTAATAACTAAATGAGCTCAACGAAGAGCCAAAACGTCCTTTAGGATTCTACTACTACTAGTACGGGCAGAACCAGAGTAGGATCTCTAAAACCCATCTACTGCTGACCCACATGATGGCTGATCCATTTACTACTCCAGTCTATATAAATGCAATTCGTGCAGGGAAAGATAGAGAAGGAGGGTGGATGGGGGGGGGGGGGGAGGGGGAGAAGGGTACCGTGGACATAGGATACAAGTTCCATCATACAACCATAGATTGCGTGGTAGAGCAGTGTCTGCAACCTGCAGTGCGGCGTATATTGTACAACCATCCACTACAGTGCATGCTGTGACCTGTGAGCGGTGGTGGCTGTGCATACATAGTGGCTACTGAGTCTAGTGTCCGGGCCATACTGAGCAACGGTTCCATGTATGTATGCAGCCTGGTTTGAGAGCGGCCTCCTGCGTCTAGAGATCACTCTAGCTTGCACAGTGGAATGGTCACTTCAACGAGTTTTTACCATGTGTTCATCTGTGGGACATAACATTAGAGGTGATTTGGATATCCTTTGTGGCTTCTGATGCGTGCTTCCTGGTTGTGTTTTCCTCTCCATTACCCTCCCTGCTTCACTTCCCCTTTCCCTACAGTCATCCAGCCGCTCTGCTGCTACTGGCTGAAGAGGAGGCCGCGACAATACTTGAGGTACTGTGTTGTTATATTACTGCTAGCAGCATGACAGGATATTGTATCCGTGACAGTTGTAAATTCTAGTAACTCTATATCCTCGTGAATTGACGGCGGCCACTCTGGCGTATTGGTTTTATAGATTATAGAATATTTTTCTGGCCTCTTTGTGAGGGCTTCCGTCCCTGAGCGTGGTGGAGAGTTACTACGAATGTTTTGCGTGAATATGCCTCCAAGTTCCCGCCTGTCTTCAGAAGTAAACTATAATGTGTTACTAAGGTGGACCTGCGGGCTAGTGTCTTCTTCAGGCACCTAAACCCTGCCATGAAGATCAAAGTGTGCAGCATTCTTGTCTCTGCACACTCCCGTGTTGCCAATGATCTCTGTGCCAGTGTAGGGATATTCTAGTTATCTTTGTGTGTCTCCTTTTGTGCACCAGACGGATGGCTTGCTACGACAAGCGCTGAAGAGCCTGGAGACATCGAATCGGCCGATAAATCCAAGCCCAGCAGTGATTGTCGGAAGCACCCAGTCAATCGCAAGTACGCCATATTATTGGTATAATTGTTGCTAGCACCTTCGTGGTGCAAGAGGGTTTGCATACTTTGCTGGTCCCATTCAGGACAATAATGAAAAAGAAAATACAGGGAGACAAAGCCATGAAAATCTCGAAGATTTTTGGAGAATTTTGAAGCTCCACTGTATCCTTGTCATCTTTCCACTTAACCTCCACCCCTTAACCCTTTGGAGCCCCAAAAATCCTGATAATTGGGTGAAACGGTTACCCTTTAAGGCTACAAACGGGTACGTGGCTTAACGGGCGGGTTATCGGGTACCCTTTAGCAGCCAATAGTGACAGTTACTATGCAATAGCGTCCCACATTCCGTGCCAGGAGGACATGCGAAGTCATGGAATTCACAGCAAATACACCACATCGCGACAAGCGCAGCATAGACACTTACTGCGCTACATGCAAAACAGTCAAAGTTGTCATATGTAGCAGGATCGAACCAGCAAAAACACATTCAAACTGTACGACTGTACAAGCCAGCTAATAATACCGTACTGTACTGTCATACACGACTAACGGGTACTGGTTTGCTAACGGATCAGCAGCTAAACAGACGGGTACCCGGGTACCCGGAACACCCCTTTCACCCCTAGATAATTGTATGCGACTGCAATTACGATCATATTCTTTACCTTATTTTGGGCATAACTTTGGTGCTTGTTATTGGATTTCCATAATCTTAGGCTTCCTGGAAAGATCTCCGCGAGCAGAGTAACTAGAGCTCAAATTCAACACCATAGCAGTCACATATCCAACGCCACGGCGCCTCGAATAGTCCACAGAGCTGGATATACGAGCAAATGTCCTCAACGCCAGCCATTTCACTCTCATCATCGTGGAATGCTCATTTTTTTGCGCTGAGTATAGTTTTATGCTGGCCACGTGCAGGAAGCGTGCCTGGATGAATCAGCATGTCATCCAAGGGTAAATCCCTCACTCAAGGCCAGTAACTGAGAAAACGTTCGACTTTCGCCGTGACTGAAATGTCGAGCGTGATATCTCCACAATGCGACATCGTAGCTCTTCGGCGATTGATGCATTGGAAAGCTGAGCTCTTCGGCTTCTTCCTAGATATTTTGATCGTAGAAATCTGTCAAGTTTCGAGTGAGTTACGAACATTTAGTCCATCGACGGTATACAGTCGATATTTGACTGTACGGGCTCCAAAGCCTAAAAGGGTTAATGCATAAACCGTCCTCGACCACACTATGAACAGATTACCAAAATTAAATAATGCTGCGATATTGTGATTCTTTTAAATAATCGGACTGGTTCAGTATTCAGGGGCGTCGGAAGGTATTTTAGTGTGGAACGGTCAGCCATCTGAAGTACAGTGTACAATTTTCGCGTGAGAGAGGGATGGCTGAGCCGAAAAATTTGGAAATTTAGAGCACAAGTCAGTGCATTTTATTGATTCACGGTGTACTTGGGGCAAATAGTGATACGGTCAATACCGTAGTGACTGTAGTGTTTCCGACGCCCTGCACTGCACTCGTATTGCAGTCTTTGCAGTGAGGATGTTCACCATTGAACTCTGCTGTTGGTTTCCCCTTTCCAGGTCGCAATAAACTTCTCCTGGTCTACATCAAATGGCGTCTGGGTATGTGTTCGAGGAAGCTGGGAAACCTAAAGGATGCCGTCCGACTCTTTAGACAGGTCAGTGTGCGAGGTTATAGTTGGGAGGATCCCCTGACACACTCTCGCGATTCAGTGTAGTGGAAACAATTGTTGTGGGTGCCTCCAAATTATTTTAGACCGTCCTGTCCCAGAGAACGTGTGCTAAATGGGCGTTCATCTACCACGATTCTCTTCAGGCCAAACAGACAGATACCATACATACCACCTGAGTGTTTATCTTTGTAGTTGCTGCTTCTGTGGCTTCTGTTGGCGCTGATCACGGTGGTGCTGTTGGTGGTGGTGGTGCAGATGGTGATGGTGATGGTGGTGCAGTTGCTGGGGGATGCCCATCCAGTGCACTTGAGATGTAGATTTGTGTGCTTCTCTTGCGATGGGCGTACATTGTACATGGTGCATAGTTGTTCAATGAATGTATTCGTTGTCGTGTTTATTGTTGTCGTTGTTGTTGGTGGTGTTGTTGGTGTTCAGGTAACAAGAGACTGCCCCTACCTTAGTGCACATGAGAACCTCATCGAGGCACTGCTGGAAATGAAAAACTACGCCGATGTCCAGCAGGTCTTATCCAAATATGACGGTAGGTGCCATGTGTGGATCGTGTGCATGTGTGTCAGTACTCTATTTCATTTTAGTGTGGTGTTACCAGTGTGGGGCAGGCAAGGTGGGGGAGAAAAGGGGAGAAGGGGGAGGAAAGGGGGAAGGAGGGAGAAGGGGGAGGAAAGGGGAGAAGGGGAGGAAAGGGGGAAGGGGGAGGAAAGGGGAGAAGGGGGAGGAAAGGGGGAAGGGGAGAGGAATGGAGGGGAGAGGGGAGAAAGGGGGGGGGGGCTGCATATACAGTCAATGCTTACCTGCTGTTACTGCTATTGCTTCTGCTGCTGTGGTTCTGCCATGGCAGCTGTTCCTCCTCCTCCTCCTCCTCATCCTCATCCTGCTGTTGCTGTTGCTGCTGCTGCTGTTACATGTGCTACTGTGTCTGCTAGTGCCGCCAGCTGGTGTTGCTGGTGCCGAGGTTTCTGCTGCTCATGCTGGTCTGTGTGCTTTTGCTGTTGGCGCTGCCTCTCTGTCCATATACGGATTGTGTGTTTTGTATCTTGATTGTGGCTCTTGTCACTTTGCCAGTGTCAACGTCGGTGTGTTTCTGACTTCCTAACGTTCTGTGCGGCCCGATGTCATTACGCCTCTTGTCATTCTTGTGTGGCATAGATCTTGGACTGCCCAAATCAGCGTCTATCTGCTACACGTCCGTGTTGCTCAGGGCACGATCTGCTGGAGAGTTGCCTCTCGTCTCGTGAGTAGTGTGCCTTGCCCTGGGCTTATAAGGGACGCCTCACACTGCTTTGTTTGACATAATTCATTCGTAGGCAACCTCACCTACACTTAAATAAGCACTGCAGTTCACACAGCTCTGCAAATAAGCACTGAAGTTCACACAGCTCTGCAAATAAGCACTGCAGTTCACACAGCTCTGCAAATAAGCACTGCAGTTCACAACAGCTCTGCAAATAAGCACTGCAGTTCACACAGCTCTGCAAATAAGCACTGCAGTTCACACAGCTCTGCAAATAAGCACTGCAGTTCACACAGCTCTGCAAATAAGCACTGCAGTTCACACAGCTCTGCAAATAAGCACTGCAGTTCACACAGCTCTGCAAATAAGCACTGCAAGTAATAGTTCTGCAAATAAGCACTGAAGTCCACACTGTGTGACATGCAGTGCTTATCAGGCTGCGTGTAGGCGAGTTGCCTAAGAACGAATGATGAAACTAACTTCATGTATTGAAAGTTTGGAGCCTGTCTGGTCAAGGGACCTTCAACATGTAGTCGCTGTGTACAGGTGGTCTTCTTGTCCAGGGTCATTTGACTGGAATTATCATGCTCTGGTCCCTAGCTGTAGTGGTCCTCTGGAGTAGGTGGTCGCTCGTGGTTTGGAAAATTGATATCCGGATAATTGGCATTGTGGTGCATGCGAGGACTTTGTCTGAAGTACTAGCAGGTTGTGTGTCCACTTTTCAGTAAAAGCGTGTGCGGCTCACGTCACGTGATTTGTCATGTGATATGTCATGTGATGTGTCATGTGATGTGTCATGTGATTATGACAAAATTTGTCATGTGATATGCTGCCTGATTTGATTTTTGGTTGGAGGACAACAACCTAGCACACGCAGCGCAGAAGCCACTAATAGGTTGTTCATATGTGACATGTAGCTTCATGTGATTTGTTATGTTATTTGTCATAATAATTATGATGTTAGTAAAGGATGCATTCTGTGTATACGCTATGTACGGCAGTGTGGACATGAACCGTGGTGGTGCTACGAACGTAGAACTGGAGCTGGTGGCGTCCATTAGCAGAGCGGTGGAGTTCAACCCGCACGTGTCGCAGGTTAGTTAGCTATCTTTTTTCTTTCTTTTTACTGAATACCACAGAACCATGAGATGCTGCACAGGGGGCCCGGGACGGTGGCATATTGGATGGAAGTGGGGCGGGGCAAAAGTAACTCCTCCGACCAAAGGTCTCGGATTCATCGTATCTATCAGTGCAGCCAGAGTCATAGGGGCACAGGGGCGGCTCCAGAGATCTCCGCAAGGGGGTCCAGTTTAGGCAAAACCGAATAGCTGATACATCAGTGTACATGTACATGTACTGTATGGTTTCCAGTAGTACATGAGAAATTTAGGGGGGTTCATGGAACCACCGACCCCCCCCCCCCCCCCCCTTTGGATTCACCCCTGAGCAACTGTTGTTTGTTGTTTGGACAGGGGTTATTAAAGGAAAGGAAATTGTGATCACCCACTGGAGCATAGCTGCCAACTCAATTACTTGGTTAAGTTAGCTGGCAGCTGCCTCTAAACCTCTTCCAAGCCCTTCTTGGACCGATTCTCTCCAGACAGGGGATACATGAGGGTGATGAAGTAAATGCAGTCAGAATCATCCCTGAATATGCAATAGAAATAGGCAGGTACATTAGAAGGCGTATAGAAAGGCACATTAGAAGGCGTATAGAAAGGCACATTGAAAAGCATGTGCATGTGATGAGATCTGCTGTAGAAGCCATTCAATGATTCTCATCATGCGCATATACAATGATTTCTTAATCCTTAAATTGACCAGTTTACGTGTACCAAAGGTAGCGATTCTCACTCATTCTCAGCGCTCAATAGCAACAATATGTACTATCGATTTCTGTCTAACGTTTTCTATTTTAACGACAGATATCTCCTCGTTAACTCGTTAGAATTAGCACTTTTTATGTATAGGGATGTTACAGTAGCAGCAGAGACAACCAGTCACTTGTTGTGTATGATAAGGGGGGGGGGGGGGTACAAGGGCGATGGGAAGTGACGCTGGTTTGACAAGACGA